AAGGAATTTTTAGAAATAGTGAAAGAAGGAAGTGCATGATACACTAAATTAAGGATCACTAAAGTGAATGAAAATGTATGCATATTAAAAACAATCTATATTTTTGATGAAAAATACAGAACAGAATGGGTCCTAGAATAGAGCCCTGGGGGACGCCTTAAGTGATGATGTCCAACCTTCCAAAAAATAATGAAGTCAACGATACGTGAGGAAGTTTTTAGCAGTAATAAAGGGAGAAGATGCATGATACCCTAAATTTAGGGTCTCTAAAGTAGATGAGAATGCATGCATATTCAAAAAATCTATTTGTTGTTGAAAAATACAGAATAGAATGGGTCCTAGAATAGAGCCCTGGGGGACGCCTCAAAGGAAACCTTTCATACTCATGCTAATCTTTAATTGTATCAATCTGGAGAGCCAATGGAGTGGATTTGAATGTTGAATATGCTCAAAAAGTCCTGATTTATCCTGTGCTGGTGCATGTGCAAACTTTCATTCCAGCACTATTTAGCGTTTCCTTTAAATTTCCACAAGTATAAAGTTAGACACAATTCAAGGGTGCTACTTTTCACACAGTTGTGCATTCATGGAAAACTTCTTAGGCTACCCTCATTAGCATGCATTAGCTAGTGTTGCATTACCTCCTGTTAAAGTGTTACATGGTTCTGGGTTGTATAGACCTAGCTTAGACCTGAGTTGGTATGAACATCCAGCATTAAAGTCTGAAATTCAGAACAGCAGCACAGCTCTCTTTAAAGTCTACTTTACACATGGTTTGTTGTCCAGATCTGCGTCTAGAGTGACTCAGGCCTGGAAAGACCACAATCCATTGCAACAGCAGGTTGTTGTTTCGCAAAGGTCAAGACTCTGTTTGTCAGCTTGTTAAACTCACTCCTCTGTGACCACTTCCAACTCCGAGCTGAATGAGATCCCTCTGAAGTGCCGCTTTCACAGCTGAAAGTAGTTCTGGGGAATGTATGCAATCAGTAATTGAAGCAGAAGAAGAGAGGGCAGGTAAGGATTAAAGCGAGTGGACACACAGGTGGCTGAAGAAGGAACACAAATGAGAGTAAGCTCGGGTATTAAGCTTGTCTTCTCTGTGTAAGAGCTGAACTGCTCAAAGTTTTTTAAAGGTTTGCTTTGACGTCAGGAGTGAAACTCGGAGCTCAGTCCTGGTTCCATCTGAGGACACAAAATCAATTTCCACACCTTTACCCCCCCTGTGTCAGACTGTCACTTAGCCGCAGCAGGTTTCTGTAAAACGAGGCGGGAGAGGAGAGATTTCAGAATCTCAGCTGTCATCTGCTCGACTTATTGATCTGTACAAATCTCCAAAGACCGGCGGCTCGCCAGCTGCTGCACCGCTGATCATCATCTGAGGAGTTTTTAAGGAGAGATTCTCAGCGACAGTTTAAGTACGAGTAGTACTTTCTTTCATGAAACTTTGGCGTCAATTTAAACTTCGGACTGAAATGGGAACTGGAGTCTGTCTGTTTTAGGGGTGGGTGTTTGCTTTCCTTTTCACGACACCTAAATTGGCCTGTTCTAAGGTTAGGGTCAGGGTAGGGGATGATCACATTGAGGGCGTGGTTTCTGTCAGCTGTGATTCATTAAGAGGCACTTACTCACATTTTGTCCACTGGGAGGGTATCCAGAGGACATCTTTTCAAAATTTAGATGAAGGAAGGGCATCCAGGAGGCCTTTTATTACTATTCAGTGGCACCCCGGGGGGAATTTTTTACGTTGTGTCCACTGGAATGTCAACCAGGAGGGACTGTTTTCCTAATCATGCTAATGGGAGGGCATTTTTTCCACTGTAAGGGTATCCAGAGGAAAGCTTTATAATGGAGGGGCATTCAGACAGCACTTATCCACTGGAAAGGCATTAAGGGACCCTTTGAGTGTTTTTATACAATGGCAGGGCACCCAGAGGGCTTTTACATGTGTTATCTACTGGAAGGGTATTCAGGGGGCACTTAAAGGGATATTCTAGCGTAAAATTGATTTGGGGTCAAACACACCATAAGACCAAGTTAGAAACCAGGTTAGACACCCCGACCAAGTTGGACATTAAAATGATGATCATTACTTCAAGGAAATAATAAAGAAATTATCATAAATGTTCTTCCTTGAGCTGCGGGGTGACGTGCTGAAAACAACATGCAAATGCCCACTTGCCACGCTGTGGGACTTACAATCCTCAATTTCAAATGACATCCATGGTTTAAATGTTATGACGATAATTTACAATTATTTTAGGCTATACTCCACACATCACAGGCAAATGCCCACATCACCACAGGTGGGACTTACAGTATACAATCAGCAATTAATTTCTCGACAGGTCTAACTTAAAAAAAAAAAAAAAGGGGGGGGGGGGGCTTTAACCCCAGATTGTCACTTATGGCACTGTTTTTCCCCTCCCTTTGGACATTGCACAGTTAAAAATACAAGAAAACTACATTAATTTGTCGTGTATTGTCCTATTTTGATAAATACTGATGACAAGGACTTTCTCCTGGGTATATTATTTCAGGTAAAAATCACCCGGCAATAGTGAGTGTGTTACTAATTTTAGAGACAGTGTTTTAAGGTTCAATAAATCACACAAATCTTCCATTATAAATATCCACAGATTGGCACGGCGGCCTAATAATAGACAGTGCTCACCATGTTAAGCTGTCCAAAACGCCACACATCACAAACATGTCCGGATTCTCCTCCTCCTCCTCGTTTCTCGGGTTTTACTGCGTGTTTCCGTGGTAGTTCTGAGTCTTTTCGCCACCCACGACCTCCCGTCCCACAGTCCTCTCCGTCTGAATCTTCCTGCCGATGTCGCGGTTCCCGTCTCTTGCTCCGGCCGTTGGTGGTCCTCCTGGCTGACTGCTAGCTCTGTAGCTGGCTCCTGCTCCGGTTAGCGGTGAACCTGACCAGCTGCTACCCCGGTGTCAAGCTCCTGCCCCGGCTTGGCTCGCTGTCGGTGAACCCGGCTAGCTATCGCGGCGCTAGCCTCCCGCTGCAGCCGGTTTAGACCGTTAACATGGCCGTTACAGCTCCCCTCGTCGACGCTTGTCGAGGCTTTTCTGACTCGTTTTGAAGTTTCATGTAACTCTTCCTTCGTTTGGATAAAAACGGTACATTTAACCGTCTTTTTGACGTGTTTCCGTTGAAACGGTAACCGTTATTTCCTCTCTGCCCCCCTCCCAGGTGTGGCGAATTTCAAATATTAATTCGACGTAAGGGGCGTGGCCTGCATTTTCAGAGCGTCAACGGATCTCCGACTCTTTCAAATGACGGTAAATCTGAATAGACAACATACAATTCTTGGAATTTGTTATGTAAATTAGTACACGTATATTATAATTTTATATCAAACATTTTTATGATTTTATTTTTCTTTTATGAGAGGTATTGGATCCATGGATATACATATATAAATGCTAGATGGCGTCCGCGCATGGCGGCCATTTTGTGACGGGACGCTCGCTCACTCCTAACGTTACAGTCTATGGTGCACGTAGCATTTAAATAACCATAGATTGATTAATTTTAAACCGATTTTCAAACGGTTTGGTCTGTAAAAAACCTCAGAGTTTTAGTTATGTTCCTGCTTACTCATGACTATTTTTAACCATGGATTTACATATATAAACATTAAGAAGATAGGTAGAGCAATAGCTATTGGCCTACACACACAAGGTAGTTATATTGAATTATTTGTATATAAAACATTTAATCATTTCATGCATGTTATATTAGTTATATTTCTATTATAGAGATAGCTGTCATACAAGAAATTAAAATCTTGATTGTGGTCTGCCTTGACAACTTGCGCAAAGCGATTCAAAGTTAGCCCTTGCACGCAAATAGCTGTGAAACAACTGTGCTTACATGATTACTCAAATGTCATAATATGTCCAAGCATCCCAACTCATACCCATGTTATTGAGGTCTGTAATAAACAAAACCATTTGTAAATCTGTCCAGATTTCAGCGAGTTAAGAGTATTTTTGATCATGCAAATTACTTACCTCCCGTCAGCTACCATAGAGCGTACCACATTGGTATACTAGAGTAATATCGCCACCATGTAGGGACGCCGGTGACTTCGCGTTGGGTCATCTAGCCTTTCTTACATATGTCTATGGTTCCATCAGGATCAGGCTCGAATTAATGCCTGTTTAAGGGTATCCAGAGGACACTTTTTATCACATTTTATAAGACACAACACTTTTTTTTAGTGGAAGAGGGTCCAAGGAGCAATACTTTAGAGTTTATCTACCGAAAAGGCATCAAGGAGGAACTTTATGTATTTTATTATGGAAGAGCATCCAGAGGGCAGTGTTTACATTTGTGTTTGCTTAAAGGGCTTCAATGGACGCTGTTTTATGATTTATTCACGGAAAGGATATTCAAATTACACAATCCTGATCGTGGAAGGGCATCCAGGTAGAATTTTTGGGGTTGATCTGCTGGCAGGGTATTTTTTCACATTCCATATAACAGAAGGGCATCCAGAAGGCACTTTTTTCCTACTGGAAGGGCATCTTGGTTGCACTTTTCAAGTATTTTTTTGTGCTGGTGGGGAAACTAGAGGGTACTTAGTCATGTTTCATCAGTTTTTCACAAGTTAATCCACTTTCAGACTATACTAGAGAGCATTCTTAAAGACTATGCTTTCACTTTTTATCTCAGATCAGTTTGAGGGTAAAAGGCTTAAAAAGTTCCACATCCAACTACATGAAAGGCTAAACAGAGTAGTTTATGTGGATTACAAGTGAAGCTGTGATCAATCATATCAGAGACAACAATCAGGGAAAACAGATCGACCATGTGTTGGTTCCTCAGGCTTGTTCTCAAGTTTAATACTGGTGCTATACTGACCTCTTGTGGCCACATATGATCATAACGCTCCTGTGATCATCAGGTTGTTTCCACTCATACCAAAATAAACATGATTTAATGTAAATGACATGAATGACATGAAGAAAGCAGCCTCTTTATCAAACACATAAAAAAACAGCTTTATTTTAGAGTATGCATCACAGCCATTTAAAAATAGCACAGAATCATACGCTCATCTTTTATACACATATGGCGCAATCATAATAATATGATAAACACTGTACAACATATGGAAATACACCTGCTAGCCTCTGCAGCCTGAAATGTGTAAAAACGCGTGAGCAAGATTACATTTTGTGGATGAACTGACATTTTTTTTCTTCTTATAAAAAAGGAAATTCAACTAAAAGAAGTCCTAATAATGAGAACGACACTCCGGGGACACTTTATAAAACAAATGCCCACGTTAAAACTCTTCTCCATCACAACCTGGAATCACAGATTTATTATAAAACACATAAAACTGGACTAGGATCATAAATAATAAAACATATTAACAAATTATGTACAAGGTTTGAGGGGGAAATTTCGTTTTTCACTCTTTTAGACTGTGAGAATTGGATTTTTTCAGATCTCATTGAGACAACGCTTTCTCCAAAAGTTCAATGTCGACCAGCGGCAGGGATGCGACTTCAAAAAACACCCTGAAAGACACAGAATTATCATTTTAGATTTGATCTTCTGATCCAGACTCATCACTTTCAGGGTTTTACACTTACTTGTGGGAGTATTTGTTCCTGACGGCCCTTAATTTGTTGTCTGGAGGCGCCGAAAGCATCGCGTGGAGTTTTCTGACGACGGGAGCCAAATCTGACACCTGATACCCGGAGTGGAACTGCAAGATGGGACTCTGCAAAAACGAGACAAGATAAATAAATATATAAATAAACAAACGGACATATTCAGGACATCTGCACTGTCGCTCAAACTAAAATGTTCAATCTCCGAGATGTGATACAAATCCACGGCTCGGCTTTCATTACTCAGCCTCTGCAGTTTTCAATTTGTTCCACAAACATTATCATCTCTAAACAGCTAAAAATCGCACGGCAGCTGATTCCAGAGGCAGCCGGGAACAAAATGAAATTACCCAGCATGCCTTGTAGTACTGCGACAATGATAACTCCAATTTAGAGGGAAAAACTATTTACATTTAAATTGAAAGGCGGAGGGTTAGTTCACGAGAGAGAGATAGAGAGCTGCAGACTTTAGACCGGTGTGACAGCCGGACAACCAACCACATCAGTTTGTGTGTGTACCACGCAATCCATTTAGCGTGTTGGCCTTCATGAAAATGCTTAATGTATATCTATATGCAGAATGAATCTAAAGCCGAAAACATATAGAGCAGCATATAGGATGCATATTTGGAGTGTAGCAGCAGCGTGGTGCAGCTTGGCTCAGTATAGAGGAAACAACATGCTCACAACAGGTTGTTTTTCCTTTCTGTGGTCGATTTCCTGCTAATTTGGATGTAATTCAGTGACCGTTGAGCTTCTACTTTTTGTGAAAAAGTAACATGATTTTACAGTTTGGGTTTTTGCAGGTTTACTGGTGTTTAATAAAGGGATCTACACCAAATGATACTCAGTCAGGAGTTCGTTTATGGTGTTTTATTTTGAAATACTGGATGGCATTCACGACACAAACGATCCTCTCTGCGTGGATTGACACGAGTTGGAAGCGCAGAGCAGCAAAATAGACTCGGCGAGTATCTTTGGCGGTGCTGCTCTCGATGCGATGCCGCGACGGAGCTGATACGCGTCCTGTATGATTTGCTGCATTGATTAGTATGGCAACCTATTTGCTGCGTGATACACGACGCTGCTGCCACGCTCCAAATATGCATCCTGTATGTTTTAGCCGTAAGACTGAACGACAAGGACGAAATTTAAAATCTCAATATCAATAGGAAACAATACAAGTACGGGTTGCCAAGTAACAAGGAAAATTAAAACCATACAAAAGAATGTGGAAAGTGCTGTTTTACTGATTAGAATTCAGGGAAAATCTAAATAGTTGATTTTGTTACATTAATATCTTGAATGTTTATATCTTGATATAGACACGATAACTAACAGAACACTTCTGGACCTTCAGAACCAAGGGGTTCATCCTGTGCGTTTCTCCTTGCCTCTTTATAAGCATGAATATGTGCTTCAAATAAAGGCCTGGTTGCTTCAAATAAAGGCCTGGTACCTTCAAAGTCCTGTTTTTTATTAACGATACTGACCAGTAAATGATACAAAACGGCATATTTTATATTCATTCAATCAAAGGCTGTCTGCTTGTATCTGTGACGGGTGCTTCATAAAACAGACTTACCCATCCGCCCAGGTCTTTGGTGACCAGCGCCATCAGCAGGCAGGCGGAGGCCAGCAGCGACCCCCTCTCTGTCACCAGCTCCATCTCCATCAGGCTCATCTCACAGAAGTACCGCGCCAGAGTCAGCGTGTCCATACCGGCGCTCACACACTGCGGGGACGCAAAGAGGACAGTCAAGACAAGCGGAGGGTTAAAAGGAGCGGCTTTCCGCCTGCGAGGTCACAGACACTCACCTTGGCATAGCGTCTGAGGAAGCGGTACGGGATGGGGATGTTGATGTCAAAGCGGAGCGCCTGCAGGATGTTGGCCTCTGTGGAGATAAGCTCCTCCTTCTTGTACGCATCGTCGCAGATGTAGAGGAAGTCGTCGACGCAGGGTGGACTGCGCTCCTGGAGTATCAAGAGAAAACACAAAGGAGTGAAAAATGCGCTTTTGGAAACTTTGTGCGCATTAAGGTCGACGTTTTAATGTCAGTCGTTACCTCGAATTTGGAGGCGATGAGCATGGCGGTGGAGCCCACGAGCTGCAGCATCTCCCTGTGCACCGGAGTCTGGGACAGGTAGTGGTCTGTCATCTTGACCGCCAGGTACAGGGTCTCATGGAACAGCTCAAAGTTCTCCTGAAGAAAAACACAGAGGCAGAAACCGTCACCGTGCCGCACAGAGAGAAGAAATAAAGTCACGCTCTGTTTTGTAATTTGGTGTCTGGCTCCCCGCTGAGCGTCCTCTTGATGTTTCTAATTATGTGCTTCAAAACCACTTTTAATCTGAAGCCTGTGGAGATTTAATCAGCACTGATTTCACTTTTAATTTACAAACTAGATTACTGCAGCCGCGTTACACCCTGAGAGACTCTTATGAGCACAAATACGCAGCAGGAGCGCTCACCTGCACTTCAACCAGCCAGTCAATCAGGATCGCCCTCATCTCTGTGTTCAGACTGGGCTGCTGGGGCATGTAGTTAGAGAGGACGAACTTCTCCTGCAGACCAAAACAGAGGAATGAGCTTTGGGAGTCGTGTTTTCAGAAGGAGAGTCGGTTTGGTTTCAGGGTCTCTCACCTCTCTTTTTTTGAGGTAGTCGAAGATGTCCTTGGCGTACTCGGGGCACATGTAACAGTCCTCGGCGTTCTCAGAGTCGATGTCAAACTCCTCTGGGATCTGAAGGAAGGAAAGGAAAGGAAACTACATCTTCAGGACACTTTGGGGGGCTTTGTAACTTCTCAGGGTCTGATGAAATCCTCAAATTCAAAATCTCACTTTCAGTTGTATCTGGTAAAACCGTCTTACTTGTTGTTTCTGCAGGTGTGCCGGAACCTCCCGGACAGCAGGGGGCGCAGCAGCGGCGGCAGCAGCCACCAGCTCTTCGACTGGAGCTGCTGCATCCTTCTGCGCCTCCTCCCTCTCCTCGTCTGTGTCGGTCTTGTCTCTCTCACTTGGCGTCCCGTCTGAGCTAACAGACGAGGACCTGCGAAGAAAAAAAAAAGACACGGTTGACAACGACAAAAAACAAGGCGTGTCGTTTAAAGAAGAAGGAAAAAAATGATTGTTACTTTATCAGGTTGGCTTGGTTCTTCGTCGTCACTGAGGCGGCGCTCGTTTTCTTCGCCTGCTTCTTGGACGTGTCCTTCTTCCTCCCCGGGATGCTGATCTGCACCTTGTGAGCCTTTAAGGAAAAGGATCTGACTTTAGGGTTTTTAGTCGCTCATTCCCGCCTCACTAAAAAACCATCATCCTCCACGTCTTGGCTCGGAGTTCTCAGCACCCTGTTGGTTTCTCAGCAGCAGCTCCTGACGAACACAACGCTCATTCACACCCTGATGTTAAAGCCGAGTACACACATTCACACCCCGGGGAACGACTGCTGGGAACACAGATACACCTACATACAAACATGTTGGAAGTGTTAGTTGGCACTCGACAATAAAAGGACGCAGAGTGTGAACATTTTAATGTCACCACAGCTCAGGAGCTCCACGTCTAGATTTGAAGTCTTCATCTTCATGCGTTTGAGAAACTACGACCAAACACTTTCCAGGTCTTCCTCTGAATCTAAAACCTCTTACAACAAATGTTCCAAACATGTAGAGCGATGCAACAACACCTTGGAGGGAGCCAAGTTCTCCTTCGCACAATCTGGGCCTGCAGTGTCTTCATATACCAGGATGCCATATCGCAGAGTGAGAAGTCGCACTGTTGGGTTTATTTCTGTCAACACTCAACAGCGGGTTTGAAATACTTGTGCGTTTTCAGTGGCTGATTTTTGTAGCCCATACCTGCGTGCACCACCACGTCATATGTGCAAAACAAACACCCATGGTGGGAGGATTTGAGGAATTCTGACTTTTGCAGCCATGAAACACACAAAACACTAGAAATTGCTGCAGGAGTTTTTACACCTGTCAGTTTAAAGGGATATTCTGGCGTAAAATTAATTTAGGGTCAAACACACCATAACACCGAGTTAGACGCCCCTTTGAGAGATGAATGTTGCCGACCGCTTGCTTCTCTAGTTATACCAACTTTAGTAACAACCGCATGATAGTAATACAGAGAGCCACGCGCTCAACCAAAACGCCACTCTATAGCCACAAATAATGCTCAGAACAGCACCTAACTTCATCAACAGGACATATAGGGTCACAGCCATAGTACTAGCCACCAAACATCTTTTTAACTTTGACTAATTTCTTCAGCAAAGAGACTAAACACAACTCACCTACTCTCTTCTAGCAGCCACTTGTTTGTAGTGAGACCTCAGGCCAGTCCATTATGGACTACAGCGGAGTTTCGCAGCTCAAGGAAGAACATTTATGATCATTTCTTTATGGAAATACAATCAGACGGAGACGCTAAGGCAGAAGACCTACCGCGTCTACAGAACAAAATGATTAATATGGTGATAATTACTTTAAGGAAATAATAAAGAAACGATCATAAATGTTCTTCCTTGAGCTGTGAAACTCCGCTGTAGTCTGTAATAGACTGGCCTGAGATCTCGCTACAAACAAGTGGCTGCTGAAAGAGAGTAGGTGAGTTGTGTTTAGTCTCTTTGTTAAAGAAATTAGGCAAAGTTATAAAGATGTTTGGTGGTATAACTAGAGAAGCAAGCGGTCGACAAATTCATGTGGTGTGGGGTGTCTAACTCGGTGTTACGGTGTGTTTGACCCTTCATTAATTTTACGACGGAATATCCCTTTAAGGACTTTTTCTGTCATATACAAAACAGAGCTGGAACTGACTCATTGCAACAACGCTCTACAAATTGTTCGCTATGAAGTAGACAAAAACAGCAGCATCTAACAGCACATAGATTAATATTTTAAACAGCCTTACTTCACTCATCTATGGTGACTGATACATACAACTAAAAAAAGACAACAAATTGACTTTTTACACCTCTTTTACAAAGACAGCAACATTATTAGGCTTTTTCCAAACTGGATCTCTGTAAATACACACATTGAACTTAAACCAACCAGACTTATCCCATCATCCTCTAGGACAGGACTTACATTAGTGATGTCGATGAAAGCAGTCCTCTTCTTGGGAGCTCCATGAGGAGGGGAGGTGGACCTCTTCGCCTGAGATCCCTCATCCTGCAAGACAACAACATGAGACTGAAACCAAACCTCACACAAAGACTGAAACTTCTCCTGGATTTCTTTTTTTGCACTTTTTTCCTCTTCACATCGATTCTTAATGAAACAGCAGCAGTACTCCTGCTTTGTCTGCACACTTTTGGAGTAAAATGAGAATAAATGCATGCTTCTTTTACCTGATTTTCACTGGTTGCTGCATTAGGTTTGGGTATTTTACTCCCAACTGCAGCTATGGGATTCCTCCTCCTCGGTACAGGCATGTCTGGGTGTTTTATCCACGAAAACAAACTCCAATGTAACTGTGTGCAAAGAGAAAGCGCCAAATAAAAAGGCGGGTTAGTCGTAATTGCAAAAATAAAATCTTGATCAAAGTTTTGGATCATTTTACTAACTCGAAAAGATCTCAAAAAAGCCTCCACAGAAGATTTGCATCTGTGTGTCTGCAAGGCGGTGTCTCCACACGGAAACCGCCTCTAAATTTCACATTTCCGCTCTAAAACCTTCTCGTCTTATCGTTTTAACCTACCTTTTCTCCTCAGTTTATCCTCTTTTTGCTCAATCCTTCACTTAAACACGAAGAAGCTGCGGCAGATAGTCCAGTGTCGCTGTGTTTCTCCTCGACTCTGAGCTCGGAGGACAAAAGTGATTCGGCTGCGAATCCAAATCTGCTGCGCTGCGCTCTCATTGGCTGGAATTTGAGCCGCTGGGCCAATCGCGGAGCCGCTAAGGATGCGGCTGCCAAGGGAGCGTTGGTTTCACTACTCCGGCTCCGCCCGAGGTGTCTGTTTGTTAAATTTTAAACCAAAAAAACGACATAAAATCACTTGTATTTGTGTGTTTATTTTGTTTACGCTTATATGAAGTTTAATTAAGTAATTTCCTTCGACTAACAGTTGAAACATCTTATAAACTGTTCAGATAAGTCCCGCCCACTTTAACGGTTGCGGTTTAAATCAAACGAACTCCATGTATGAGGGATTTCAAACACTCCAACGACCAAATGCAGTCTTTAAAAGCACATTGGGGGTTTTATTTACGATTTCCTGAGCGAGGCACGAGTTTTAACTGAAGCCGGTTACGAGTTTATCTCATGACAGGCATAATATTTACACACGTGACATGCACCGTGCCCTTACTGCGCATGATCAGAGATTCTTACAATAGGCCTACTGTGTAAAACATATCAATAAATGTCAGAAAAATGATGTTATAGTCAGAGTTTATGAGTAAACATCGCTTGAGATTGTGTAAAGCAGTGATTAAATCAGACAGGACATCTGATTTTCATTAGGTTAGCCAAAATAAGTTGTAAAAGCGCCGAAACAGATGTTCATATTTCTGATGGGATAAGTTATGATGTAAAGCTCTTGTTTGGATTGAATGTATGATTTTAATCAGTGTTGACAAGTGAGTGAATTCCATCTGCTTATGAGAACCATAAGACGGATCTGAAGGACTCAAATGACCCGTAATGAAGGTTTTCTATTGTAGTTGTGAGGTTGACCTTGTTTCACTTAGTGATTTCAGCCTGTTTCTCCTCTGTGTACAAAAGTAAGCCAAACCAAACGCGTCAGTGTAACTTTACCTTAAAGGGATATTCTGGCGTGAAATTGATTTAGGGTCAAACACACCGTAACACAGAGTTAGACACCCCCTCGAGAGATGAATGTTGCAAACCGCTTGCTTCTTGAGTGACGACCGCACGATAGCAATACACAGTGGTCTGAGGAGCCATAAACAAACCTCAACCAAAACGACACAAATGATGCTCAGAACAGCACCTAACTTCATCAACAGTACGTATAGGGTCCCAGCCACAGTACTAGCCTGTCACGACCTGGCTCTTCAGCCGCGACAAAAACAACGGGAGGTGCACTAGTTAACGTAAAAGTAAGGAATTTGTTGGGAGATAGCAAAACAGCAACTTAGGAGGTGAACACAAACAAACCATGGGGTGTGAGGATCAGTAGATCAGTGGTGTGGGTGCGTGCATGCATGAGTGTGTAAGAGGTGAAATGTGTGGTAAGGTGTTGGAGGAAGGGAGAGAGAGAACCGGTGGAGAAAGCAGGATAGGAAGGTAGGATTTTGTCAAAGAGACTGAACATAGCTCACCAACTCTCTTCCAGCAGCTGCTTATGTGTGGGGAGACCTCGAGCAAGTCTATTACAGACTACAGTGGGGTGCCACAGCTCAAGGAAGAACATTTATGATCATTTCTTTATCATTTCCTTGAAGTAATAATCATCATATTAATCATTTTTCACTGCAGACGCGGTAGTTCCTCTGCCTTAGCATCTTAGTCTGATTGTATTTCCATGAAGAAATGATCATAAATGTTCTTCCTTGAGCTGCGAAACCCCACTGTAGTCTGTAATGGACTGGCCCAAGTTTTCACTACAAACAAGCAGCTGCTGGAAGAGAGTAGGTGAGTTGTGTTTCGTCTCTTTGCTAAAGAAATTAGGCAAAGTTAAAAAGATGTTTGGTGGCTAGTGCTGTGGCTGGGACCCTATATGTACTGTTGATGAAGTTAGGTGCTGTTCTGAGCATTATTTGTGGCTATAGAGTGGCATTTTGGTCAAGCACGTGTTTCTCTATTGCTATCATGTAGTTGTTACTAAAGTTGGTATAACCAGAGAAGCAAGCGGTCAGCAACTATTATCTCTCGAGGGGGTGTCTAACTTGGTGTTATGGTGTGTTTGACCCTAAATTAATTTTACGCCGGAATATCCCTTTAATTTGTTTGAATGATGTCACCTGTCAGTTCCTGATTTCCCTTCAGACGCTCCAAAATCACCCCTGAATTCTCCTTAAACGTTGCTGTTGAGCAATGAGCTCACTGACACACAGATAAGTATTTCCTGGACCGAAGCAGAGAGAGCACGGAGGGCCTTCTGGGGCCCACAACACCGAGTTGCCGCGGTAACAGTTAGGATAACAGAGGGCCGTAAAATCCCACTTGTGTGACCAGAGGGCAGATTCAAGATGGACGCCGAGGGGGAGCTGGCAGCGAATCTACTCAGTGCTGCCAAGGGTGAGGGGGGGTCATGTTGGTTTCATGTCTGGGTGACAGGAATAGAGGCCATGAAATCTATCTAAAGAGAAGAAAATCAAACATCCTTTGACAGAAAGTGAACTGCTAATACCTTTTAAATTGAAATCATCCCTTTACACCGAGTCTCCACAGTCAGAATATCATTAAAACCGTTCAAATTCACCCCCATGTCGACTTGATCTGAACCAGCCTGTAGTTTACTCAGTGTCTAATGAAGTCTACAGAGAGAAATCATCTCACAGCGCCGCTCTCGACCCCTCCCTGCTGCTGTCCTCGCCCAACATTTAAACCATTCGATGGAGAGTTATCGGTCTCTGTCTTTAGCCAAGGAGGGAGGAACCGTTTGATAATTCTCAGGATTCGCAAAAAACGCCAGTTAAACAGTCGGTTTCATGCACTTGGATCCTGTTTAGGTATTTTCTTGTAATTTTTATTACACTTACAAAATCGATTTAATTTAAAGGGTAATTTCTGACTTCTATTATGTTGAATTTATCTGACAACCTCAGGGATTACTCTCCTTACCAAAGGAGATTGTTGCATAAGATACACACATGAGGTCTTTGTCAAGTACTTAGCCCTAATGTGTGCACGGGGGAGAGAAAGTGAGCTGAGGCGCTAGTCCAGGCATGCAAATATCCTCTGTGTGCCAAAAAGGATTAATTGTAAAAAGTATGTTTTGACCAGGTTGAAACTCTCTCACACTCTTCACTTCCCCACCCACCCTCCTTTTCCGTCTTGCACACACCTACAATCTCTCATGCAAACATATTCAGGAAGGAAGCGTGTGAACTCATTTGTCAAACCATTTCCGTTTGCACTCACTTACTCTGAAGACACCAAAGAGCAAACTGGTGAGTTAGTCTGCTGTGAATATGACCTTCCTGATATTTTCTAGATGTATTATCTGCACTTCTCAGTCAAAATTCAACTTTAAGACTCTAAATAATCCATCGCAGAAGGTTAACTCATACATTTGTCTCTTTTTATGAAGGGCGGTGAAATAGAAATGTCATACGAGGCTTTGCATTTCCTGAACTATTTCAACAGCTTCCGTGTTTGTCACTGCTGTCAAAAGTTTGTCTTGATGCATCATCGAATAAGTGCACGCCATCACCGTGATCATATACTGGCGTGGCTCAAACAGGAACAGAGGAGATAAAGTAGTGAAGAAGCATCTTGTCTCATAAACTTTGGTCCAGTCATCCAAGTGAAATCGCCAAGAGAGCGCATTCTTTAGTTTAGCTGTAATTTGTTCCACATCTGCGTCTCATTCTCCTCTGTGTCCTCCTCTGAAAGCTCTGTCCGTTTTCAGCGTGGGTTGTGGTCCACCGAGCGACTGCTGCCAAGATCAAACTGTGAACACGCCGTCAATCACACAATCACACAAACACAAACACACAGTGACATATCAGGCATTTTTTAAGGGGCCGGGGCATAAAAAAGAAAAGGGCACCTTGTCTGTATAATCTGTATAATATTTGATACACTGGAAAAGCATCTTTTGTTTTGTAACGGATAAGGGCATCCAACAGACTGCTTCAAAATATTTTACATTCTAGGATGGCATCCAGAGAGCGCTATTTATTAGATTTGATGCACTGAAAGAGCATCCAGAGGGCACTTTTGATGTTCTTATAACAGACAGAGCATCCAGAGGGCACTTTTGATGTCCTTAATACAGACAGAGCATCCAGAGGGCAAATTTTATGTTTTGTAAGGGTGTCTAATAGACACTTTTTAAAGATGTTACATTCGAGGAGGGCACCCAGGGGGCACTATTTATTAGATTTAAAGTGCTGAAAAAGCATCCAGAGGGTACTTTTGATGTTCTAAATACAGACAGAGCACCCAGAGGGCACTATCTATTACATTTAATACACCGACAGAGCATTCAGAGGGTACTTTTGATATTCTTTATACAGACAGAGCATCTAGAGGGCACTTTCAAGGTCCTTTATACAAATAGAGCATCCAGAGGGCACTTTTGATGCTTACAATACAGACAGAGAATCCAGAGGGAAATTTTTGTTACATGTAATGCAAAAAAAGGACATCCAGAGGGCACCTTTACTATTCTGAATACAGACAGAGCATCCAGAGGGTACTATTTATTACATTTAATGCACTAAAAAGGCATCCAGAGGGCACTTTTTTATATTCATGGGCTGGAATGGGATCCAAAGGTTACTTTGGATGTTCTTAATACAGACAAAGCATCCAGAGGGCACTATTTTCACATTTTAGACACATTTACCAATCATGAATAAGTAGAAAAATTAAGACCAACGTGAGAATACAATAACATCTTCGTTGTGATACTGGATGAATAAATGTCTTTCCTGCAGCGATATTTTGGTCGGCTTGTTTAGATGAATCTTTTGTCTCTGTGGTGAAATCAAACAAAGACATGACCTCAGTACAAACATGTTCATTATTAACATACAGTTAAGTGTTGACTTTACACCTTAACTGAGGGTTTATTCAGAGCTGCTGCAGCGTTTCCTGGTCTCTGTTCTGTCCATTTAGTTAAACAAACTACTCACAGACAGGAAAAGCTTTGTGTAAGGCTCAATATGACGTCCTGCAGAGCGATGACAGTTTTGTCAGCTGATGTTACTGCTCATGTTAAAACCAGTTAGCCGCAACACCCTGACAGGTTCTGTCTTTCTCTCAGTGTAAAAACCTGTTTTTAGTCAAACTATCCAATCATCATGAGTCTGTCCTGGCGAACCTCCATTTTGCTGAAATAGATACAGAGGTCACATCTATCAGAGATCAACTTCTCAACAGCTTTCTTTAGTTTGGCTCAGAGGTACGTGTATCAGGTAAAGTATAATCTGGATTAATCTCGTATGTGTACAAAGAAGGTTTCTGATACCAAACTTGGCTTCCTGTTGGCGGGCTGACAGCTCATATGGTGAGAAGCTGTGGTTTGTCTTTCCATCAGAGGGACTTTTTCATTCTATCTGTCTTTGGGTTTATTCTTCCATTTATTTTCTGCTGCTTCTTAAAAATTCACTCGAGCGTCCTTTAGATTAGCAGCTTATCTAGATTTACTGTCCTCCCGAAGCACGCCGGGAATGAAGGCAGGATTTATAACTCTTAAACTAAAAGAAGAGCACTCAAGAGAGAATGTTTTTATCCTGCCAGACTGAAAAGTTTGGCAAACACGCTCAAATAAAAACATGAATTTGCAGTAATTATAGGAACAAGGCAGTGTTTCAAACCATCCTTGGACTAATGCGTGTGCCTGACCTTTATAATATTCTTAATGCAAAAAACAGGCTCCAAGAAAACCAATATTTCCTTCAATTTTACGAAAATTATTACTTTTATTCCCACAGGGTGCAATGCAGAAAGCGAGTTCAGGTCCAAGGGTGCCAGAGCCCGATCAAGGAGGCCTTGGCAGATCCGATGGCTGCAGGACAAGCCACCTAAACAATGAGGTTCTTGAGAGGTTTGCCCAAAATATGACCGAGAACATAATCCAGTCTTTTCTAAGCCAAATGGAAATGGTGGATGTCGAAGTGGTGTCCAGGTTTAATCAAAACCAGGAGAAGTTAGCTGAGGAGTTAGCCTCTGCTGTGGTTAAAGAGGCCCTGATGGAAGCTGGTAGAAGACGATATGTGCTCAAGAGTTCTGAATCAGAAGGAGAGGAAAGTGATGGCGGACGAGACAAAAGTTCAGACGAATCTGATAGCGACATTGCCGAAGAGTTCCAGACTTCTGTTAACATACGGCCCTGCAACCCACCCTTCACCCAGTCAGGGCTGCCCCTCTTGGGATCTATCGACTACCCTGACGCCCCTCCAACGACGCCCCTCCTCCCGGAGCTTGAGAGAACCAGATACAGTTTTGCCAAGAAGCTCAAAGGGGGCCTGGCGAAGGTTTTCCTACCATCGCCTCCCCCACCAACCCCAAAGGATGAAAAAGACGACTCTGACATCGACCCTAGAGCCGAGCTGATGGAGCATCTGATAAACTCGCTGTCCATGGATGACTCAGGAGGAGGACGCTTTGACGTGGAAGTGGAGGCTTTCGCGGAGGCGCTTTCGTATGACATCCTTGACTCGGCCTTGTGCTCCAGAAACAGAGATTTGACCCCTGAGAGTCAGGATCTTCATGAACTTGCCCACCAGCTGGCTGAAACCATCATCACCTCTTCGCTGGAGGAAGCTAAAATAATTGCCTAGAGTCGTCACGTTGGCGGCCGTCATCCATGTCACTTACAACCTGAAAAACAGTGTTAGCTGATCACATTAGCATCCAGGCTTCTCAAGGTTGACCCTGATGGAAGCTGGTAGAAGAAGATATGTGCTCAAGATTTTGGAATCAGACGAGGAGAGAAAAGTGATGTTGGACGAGCCAAAAGTTCAGACGAATCTGATAGCAACGTTGCCAAAGAGTTCCAGACTTCTGGAAACACCCAGCCCTGCAACCCACCTTTCACCCAGTCAGGGCTGCCCCTCTTGGGATCGATCAACTACCCTGACGCCCCTCAAATGACACCCCTCCTTCTGGAGCAAGAAAGAACCAGATACCTGGTGAAGGTTCTCCTGCCATCGCCTCCCCAACCAATCCTAGAGGATGATAGAGACAAAGCCGAAATCTACCAGGAGGCTCAGGAGGAGGATGCTTTGACGCGGAAGTGGAGGCTTTTGCGGAGGCGCTTTCATATGACATCCTTGACTCTGCCTTGTGAGATTTGACCCCTGAGAGTCAGGATCTCCATGAACTTGCCCACCAGCTGGTTGAAACCATCATCACCTCTTTACTGGATGAAGTTAAAACAATCGCCTAGAGTCGTCATGTTAGCGTCCGTCATTCATGTAACTGTCAAGCTAAAATACAGTGTTAGCCAATCACATTAGCATCCAAGCTCCCCAAGGTAGACCTCCACCCTGTAAAGATAAAGAACTGGATTATACATCTCAGGACTAGCAGACTCACACAAAGAACAACACTGCTATCCACCCACATATTGCCTCCAGACTGACTTCCTGGCTGTTTCAATGAAGTTGTGATTTACTGCGATAATAATGCTGCTGACTCTGAACTTGATTTACTCGGCTGAATTAATGTCTCTGTGACGTTCACTCAAAGCTCAAAGTTTGATTGTGAAATATCATCACGTCACCAGAGAGCCAACAAAAAGATACCGGAGACAGAATGTGGCATATTTACCGACACGTGCCTCCTCAGAGCTGCAGATACCAGATCCTGAATGATGGATATGAGGTTCAGGTTCTGGGTCCAGGGCCCATAAAATGTGCACTGGCAGGATGTTTAATGATTTTTGGATTCTGTCTCCATCTGCAGTAATCGTAAATGTCCTGCAGATGGAGACAGAAGAGCAATGTAAGAGTTTCAGATCTCCAGGTGCTTCCCAAACGAAAGATGTATTTCTTGAAAAAATATATAAAAGTATGAATCCTTTAAAGAAATAAAAGTGGAAATCAGAGAATTAAAAGTATTTTTCTTGGTGAATTGTTTGTTTTTCTTTCTGAATGACTTTTTAATGACAATTTCAGGCGACTAAAGGAACTTCTTATGGTTACAAACTATTGAGAACATGTGATGACCTGTCGGCGGCCTGAAAACTTAATCGATTCGATGTGATTCATCGGTTCCTGTTGGCACTGCAGTAAACCTTTGGCTCATCATTTATGTCACTTCAAACCGAACTTTAATAAGACTCTGCGGGACAATCCAAGTTTTTCTACTCCTTTATTGAACTTCCTCCTTCTTCGACAAATTAACTGGCAGGTCGGTGAATGTGAAACGTACAAAATCGGCTTCGAATTAGAGAGTTTTATTGTCGCACGCACGTGTGCAAGAGCGCTTCTGATCGTTCCGGCAGATCTGCAATCAATACAAAGCACCTTCTCTTTTTCACAACACAGATGGGTCGAGTGGGAGAGTAACCAAGACTGTATGTTATCTTTGACAAAAGTAGGCCAAACACTAACTAATAACACCAAGTGAGGAAAAGGAGATACAGACACTCAGAGGAGATGCTCCCAAACTATAAGGGGGTCCTGGTTTGTTAAGTTGCCTTTATTTAAATTCAACATATTTCACGAATTCATCATGTATTGGAAACAGAGATCGAGCACTCCATTACATGTTCAGGAATCAGAAACAGTTTCAACAAACTCTGGATGTTTCAACAGAAGCACTTTATACTCAGATCTGCTTTCAATCGACTTTTTGTGAGCTGGATCGTTGACTCTCTCTCTTGGATTTTCTTCTTTTATCTTCCCAACAGGGTTCATGGATATCAGGCCAAAAGATTTCCCATCGTCCTGCCAAACACACGGCATCCGAATTATAACCTCTTGGTCAGACTTGAAAAATAAAACAATAAATTAGAGACAGATTTTTCAATTTGGGCTGTCACGAAATCAGATATAATGATTATAGAATATCACGATAACAATAATATGACATGATTTATGCAAAACTTGAAAACTGGAGAAAATTAAGACAGACAACGATGAGAGAAAACCCACAGAACTTTATGATCTATCTACATTATCGACCCTGAAACACCCACCAGATAATTCATTCATTTTTGCTGGCAGTAACCAATCATAATCCTCTTTTTAGAAGTCAGTCCAAACATCTGCGTTTACAGTGTTCACTGGTTTAAAAGCTGTTTGTTCAAATGCTGCAAATTGTTGTTAATATCGTCTTACTCAAACATGGCTGACTGACGGGGAACATTATACAAGTCTGTGACGCAAATATCCTCAGATCTGGAACCCATTAAAAAAACGTTGAATTCGGAATTTATTTTCAGTCGCCTAAAACCTTGTTTTGGTATAAATGAACACTTGAAAACACAATGATAGCTACCAGTTTTTTTGTTTTGTTGGTTTTGTTTATAAACATCTCCACCTTTCGTGTCGCATGGTTTCAGGACGATCACTGTGTCTCTCCATCTTCCATCCCTCTGGCACCGGGGTTGTAAGTAGGGTTGGGTATTGTTTGATTTTGAATGACTCCGGTTCCGATTCCGATTCCTCATTTTGATACAGGATATTTAAAAAATGCATGGTTTAAATGAGGGTGCTAACTGGAGTTCTTCTTTTTGGATGAAATTTCTGAACTTCTCCATGAATTTTTAAATTATATGAACTTTTTGAGAACTTTTCTATGAATTTCTCACATTTTCAACCAGTATATAAACATCAATTTTTGTTGTCAGGTTGTTTATCTACCAAAAAGTACGAGGGCTAACGTTAGTTGGATATTTGAGTTGACCCACTGTACATGGAACAATAAGTAATTTATTGTTTCACTTTTCTGGTTCTGGCTAGTTAGCGGAAGACCAGTGAAGCGCATCAAAGATGGGCACTTGGGTATTTCTCCTCCATGAATCCTGAGTTGTTCAATCATGCTTAATCGTCTCATACGCTTCATCCTCGTTGGTGTTCGGCGGCTTCTTCTTCGTTGGTGTTCAGTGGCTATTTCTTCCGTTTGGTGGACTCCGGCATCGAAACTTGGCAATCGAAATTTTAAAATTTGAACAGTTCCGGGAGAATCGGAATGTTAGTCCCGATCCCCATCGATGCTCGAGACTTGATGCCCAACCATAGTTGTAAGAGACAGCATGTGGGGTACAGATACTAGGGATGTCCTGATCTGATATTGATATCGGATATCTGTCCAATATCAGCAAAAAACAAATATCGGATGTCACAACAACAGAATCACAACAAAATCACAACAACAATGTGTACCAAGGTACCAACAAAGTAGCAAGGAGTAGAAGTGATGTCGGCTGTGTGGCAGAATTTTTCGTCAAAGTTTGGTAAAGACGTTGCAACTGAGTGCAAAACTTGTCACCCACAGGTTTGTGCCAATATCGGATCAATGTCGGAATCAGCCGATACTGAAGACTACAATATTGGTATCGTATCGGAGGTAAAAAAGTTGTATTGGGACATCCTGAACAGATACTGTACAGGCAAGTGGCACCACCACGATTCTGAACAAATATTGGGGTACAAAAATCTGGTTAATCTCGTAAACCTGTTGTGGTCTCCTGTCTGAACAGATCTGGTTTAAATCCAGATATTATAAAACTTCCGTGAACATTCTGACTAAAATTAATCCGATTATTGAATCTCGCTTCAGGGATCAATGAAGTTCCTCTTCTCTTATCTTCTTCTGGTTAATCTTTCTCTTTCAAGAGTCTAAATCTAAGACGTTCTGACTGTTCTGATGTTATCTGAGATTTTGAGTAAACTTTACTTCCAGCTGCTCACGCCCACAATCGCAGCACAGTACTCACACACGCTGACCTGGCAGCAGCCCGCGATCGTCCCTCGACTCACGCGCACGATATTTCATGTAATGCTTAGTCTGAACTTTTAACTCCCTCCGCCGTTGCGTTTCCTCACCACCTCGACACAATCGCACACGTGCTCGGAGATAAGCTGCAGGGCTGGGTGGACAGCTGCGGCGTCGGGGGGAAACACACACATCTGGAGAAATGCTTGTTGTGTTGTGAGGAGGGTGGCTGCCAGAAAGAGAGGGAGGAGATGGAAAAAGACAAAGAGCGACGACATATGTTTATAGGAGGAGAGTTTCATCAGAGTATCATGGGAATAAATTACTTTAATTACTTAAACTGGCCTGTTACCTCTCCTAAAGGTCACTTTTAATGAACGGTTTGTGCTTAATTATGAAAAAGAGAGAATAACTTAAAGCTTGAGTGAGGAACTTTACCAATCTTTACTTTCCTTGAACTCTACCTGCTCGAGAACACAAAAAAAATATCAGTGCAACTCCATTTTTATCAGGAAACTGGCTTTGTTAAAAGTTGAGAAAAACAGAATTTGATGGTTTCCTCAGCCTTTCAACTCCAACTACGATTGAAAGAGGAGCCAAATTCAACAAAACAAACATGAAACTGAAAAAATCTGCTCGTGTGTAAACTCGATGCCAGCAGCGAAACTTCGAAATGGCTGAATGATGTGAAATGTTTACTCCTCTTTTTAAAACAATCAAAACAAATGTCAAAGTCTGAGTTATGAGACCGCAGGACAGATTTTTATTCTCTCAGTCCGCCTTAAATAAGCCAAAAAGAGAGCCCTGGATCAGGTTTACATGTGGTTTCCTCTTTGCATAATACAGTTTAACAGAGGTGGGGGAAAGTCCTTATGTTGCAAGTCCAAGTCGAGTCTCAAGTCCTTTGCTCTCAAGTCTTGAGTCAAGTCCAAGTCAACACAGACAAGTCCCAAGTCAAGTTCAAGTCAAGTCTCAAGTCTTTGTTCTCAAGTCCCAAGTCAAATCCAAGTCCTTTGCTCTCAAGTCTCGAGTCAAGTCCAAGTCAACACAGACAAGTCCCAAGTCAAGTCCAAGTCAACACAGACAAGTCCCCAGTCAAGTCCAAGTCCTTTGCTCTCAAGTCTCGAGTCAAGTCCAAGTCAACACAGACAAGTCTTAAGTCAAGTCCAAGTCAACACAGACAAGTCCCAAGTCAAGTCCAAGTCAACACAGACAAGTCCCCAGTCAAGTCCAAGTCCTTTGCTCTCAAGTCCCAAGTCAAGTCCAAGTCCTGAACTTTTTGTTTCGAGTCCCGACCAAGTCCTAGGAATTTTGCTTCAAGTCCCAACCAAGTCCTTACCGTTTCTTTCAAGTCAAAAACAAGTGCAACTCGTGGAAACAGGCGGGCAATACTAGCGAGCGATTTATGTTCAGTCCTCCCGGTGTTGTCGTTATGAGGGAGGCTAGAGTTTGAGACAGTGTTGCCAAGTTTCGTGAGAGAAATAAGGAAACAGACCTCCAGAAACAAGACAAAAACAAGCAGACTTGGCAACACAACACGGTGTTACCAACGGCCGTAATTCCTGACTATTAGTTGATGCGACACTTTTTAAAGGGTTTGGGCTGTAAGGTATTAAGTGACTTGAAAAGACTTGACTTGACTTTTCAAGTCACTGGGCTCAAGTCAAGTCAAGTCTCAATTCTTTAGCAATCAAGTCCCAAGCGAGTCCAAGTCGTTTCTTGATTTCATCAAGCGAGTCAAAAAGGGGACTCAAGTCCAAGTCGAGTCTCGAGTCGAGTCGTCGAGCCCCCACCTCTGCAGTTTAAACCTTCATTTGTAACTGGAAGGACTAATTCTGCTCACAGACTGTGGATTTTTAAAGCCATGCGGTGATTTCCACTTCAGAGTCATGTCTGATTTTAACGCAGAAGAGCTATTTGATTTTGTTTTTACAATTTTGTAGATTAAATACGTCTTTAAATTGATCAAATTCATCACAAGTTGACCGACACTCCCCTTGGATGTGGTTGTTTCTTGGGTTTTTTCTCTCTTTCCGACAGCGGACTAACTGCAAACACGACTGCGACATTTAAAAAGATGATAAGTTGGAATATTTTATGGAGTTTATACACTTTTTCACCCCCTCAGGAGATCGAATCAAACTCTACTTTCTAACAGGAGTCCTGCTAGTCAGGACTGAAGGGTAAAAACAGCGGGAATCATTTAGAGCATTTGTTTCCATTTTCCATTTGCAGCTGAGTTTGATCTTCCCCAATGGACACCGACAGCGCCGATACTGTCAGGTCACATTAAACTGATCCTCAAACACCGACCACTGGAGGTTAGCGTTTCGTCAGAGCGCTCTTTGTTTGGTCCGATATCAGAGAAGAATTTGGATCGTAGTTGCGGGACAAATTGGGGAAAAATGTTGCGAGGGTCGTTTGGAAAACGCACGGAGGAATTGATTTGCTGTTTGGCTGCGTGGTGAACCAACAATGTTTCATCAAGAGACGGTTTCAACGATTACTCAAACTTTCCGGCAAAAACGTGTGGGATGAAATATCCGAAGACAACTGACAGCAAACTGACAATCGATGATCGTCGGTGTTTACGAGACGGATTTCAAATCTGCTAACTGCGTCTATCAGCGTCTGGCTTCGGATTCATAAATCTAAGAGAGTGAGGTGTGCAAAAGCAATCTTGATAAGGCTGAGATCCATTTTTTTTTCTACTTCGGCTGCTGATAGTTGAGATGAATGTTTGCAGGTGCTAAACTCGTCCCAAATGTTCAGTTCTGGAGAAAAACCATAAAACGACTCGGTTTTATGGAAAAATTCCATCGTTTTTATCGAAAAGGTCTCTAAAAGTGTCCCAGCTGATTAACTTCTCCAGTCGTGATAATATTCGAGAGTCGGAAATACGCAGCAGGTTCAAACCAGCACAGATGATGAATCGGACAGAAGAACATTCAAGAAAACTTACCGCTGTTGTTTGGCAGGAAGCAGAAACACCGTTAATTTGATTGATATTGAGATCAGGATTATTAAACATGATTACTAAGGAGTTCATAACACCTGCCTGAAGGTCTGAATCAAGGTTGCCTGGTGATGTATGAAAATGGACGATTGTTCACTGGTATCTAAAATGGAGGACAAACTGATCTTGTCGGTGTGTGGGAGTCACGAATTATATGATAGTTTTTCTTACAATTACCAAAACCAGAATAAAAAGGGGATCACATGGAGGAAAGTGATCCGGCATTTCAACCGCATCCGGAAAGGGTCCGATCCGGAACAGCGACAAATCTTCGCCGTACGCCAATTCCAACTGGATCCGTTTGTGAAGCGAATTTCGTGGCGGATTACGGACTGCAGGAATCGCGAGAACTCACAAGTACCCGTGGATTCAAATGCAAGTTGTCTTGCCTTTCACTTGTTCGTCTCCACCAGTTTGCATGGCGTGAAATATGATCTGCCTGAAACATGTAGTGTTTTATTTTGAAAAGAAGCCGGGTGTTTTATTTTGTGTCTGTGCCCGACTTCCTTTCCAGCACGGGTTAATCTGTCCGGCATGCTCTGGAGTCTGAAAAAATAGAACTCTTGCGATCTGCACCGAAACGGAAAAACTATCAGCTATGATCCGCGGATACGGCCTTTTCGTAGCCGTTCCGGATGCGGTGGAAATTGGGGGTTAGTGAGGAAGTTAGATTACCTGTTAAATTAAAAAAAAAAACCTTTGTCTATCACTTGATCCCGCCAGTTGAATTGGCAGGGATTACCGTTGAAATTACTGTTGACGCGCGAATAAAGCGAGTAAATACTGTTCATTCACATGTCTAGATTTGCGCGAATGAAGCGAGTTGATGTTTTACTTGCGCTTGGTGTGAGCGCCCCATTAGTACCTTCATGGTGCGCCGCCTAACCAGCAAAATGTCTCTCGATGTGCGCTAATTCACTTTGATTCATTTTAGGTCCCAAAGAGTTTTAAAGAATCTCAAATCAAAATTTTTAGGTGCCACTGTCAAAGGAAAAGTTTGGTTGTTTTCGTTGGGTCTGATTTTCTCAAAGCTCCACTCACCAGACCGGGGGGAAAGTCCAGTCCAGTCCAGTCCAGTCCTCCAACGGTGCATACTTCTTTGACTGGCGGCGGTCCAAGCTTGTCTGCTGCGGGGCGTACACAGACTGTTCTTCAGCTGTTGGCTGTGATGGAAAGCAATCAAAGGAAAGGTTGTTGTCTTGATGGATGAGTCCAAAAGTGGATGCCTGGTAGACCAGATCACGGGCCTCGTAAGACTGATCTAATAACTCAGCAATTTTAACTAATCTGTGTCCGGGATGATGCTGAATTCTTGGTTTAGAGGTGATTTACAACAGGACGGATGTTTCAGATGGCCACAATAAAAACTTTTTTTACTGCATTAACTTCTCAAATTAAATTTGAAGCCAGTGTTCGAGTGTTTCCAGGAACACCACGCAGCTCTGTGATGGTTTTAGAGGCTGGAGTTCAAATATTTAATTAGTGAAACTCAAACTCAAGTGGTGTTAAGCAAATGTTTGTTCTCAGGCTGCGTAAAGCCGTAAAACAGACCACAGGCGAACACAAACCGACACAGTGGGGGGAGAAACTCAGAGGGCAAAGTCGAGGTTTCTGCAAATACTGTCCTTTATTACGAGAAATAAGTAATAAGTTTATGCTCGAATTTCCTGCTGCAATAAATCTGCAGTTTTTTTCCTAACTTTTAATGCACCTGAACTAAATACTTGATTCTGATTGGTTGAAACCCCATAATGACTGTGATTAGCTCTGAATATCAAGGATGTACCGATCACACCCTAAAGCCTGTTGACACTGTGGGAAAAAGTTTATTGTTAAGTAGTGTTCTGAATCAAAGAAGGATATCTTGATATTGGATCCTGTCCTGCAATCCATGTAACGGCATGTTAGAGTGAGCGCATTTTTAAGTTTCTGGTCAGTATGAATGGGAGTAAATATATGATAAGGGGGTCATGGTCATGCAGAATGGACCAATCAAAAGGTAAGACTAGGCCGTAGTGTCGTTAGTGTCACCCATTTGTTTGTGAATTTAAAGGGATATTCCGGCGTAAATTAAGTTAGGGTTAAACACATCGTAACACAGAGTTAGACACCCCCTCAGAGATGAATGTTACTGACCGCTTGCTCCTCTAGTTATACCAACTTTAGCAATACAGAGAGTTACGCATTCAACCAAAACGCCAATCTATAGCTCAGAACAGCACCTAACTTCATCAACAGTACATATAGGGTCACAGCCATAGTACTAGCCACCAAACATCTTTTTAATTTTGCCTAATTTCTTTAGCAAAGAGACTAAACACAACTCACCTACTCTCTTCCAGCAGCCGCTTGTTTGTACAGAGACCTTTAGCCTCTGATTCACCAATCTTGTAATTCACTCCTTAGAACTGGTTCAGGTCAGCTGGGTTAGGTCTACGTAGGCCTGGACGATATAGAAAAAAAGCATATCGATAAAAAATAAATCATATTGATCGATATCGATAATTATCATAATTATTTAACATATATTTTAATTGCAGCCCTGGATGTTTTATGCTATTGCTTAATGACCTACTTTTAATAAAGAACACACAAGCACTGAATTCAAATTAAAACCTTTATTCAACCACCTTTTTTATTTTACCACAACTGAAAGTTTTTTAAAAAAAGAACTTAAAAAAAAAAAGAGATCAACTTAAGTGGCCTGAGTGACGTCAGTAAATACTGACAAACATAAAGACTAAAGTGACCAGAAAATCTGATAAATAAATATTTAAATAGTCTTTTGATGAAAATAAACAAAACAAACAAATATATAAATAAACAGAATAGCTTTAGGTGGGAATAGCATACTACCAGTTTTAACTGTGTGAGAAACTGCCCACAGCCTGGTGTCCCGGGGTCGGGAGATATTTTTTTTTTTAATTATCATGTGATTGACTTTATACGCAAACTGAGCACGAGGCCGGGCACTTCATATCGCGGGTCAAGAGTGGCTAGAAGCTGTTTGAAGCCAGGCTTTTCAACGGTAGTTATTGGCAGTATGTCCCTCGCTATGGAGCATGTTACTGCATGGGTGATGTCCTTATGCCGCTTGAACGCTTTGTTGTATTTTTGTTAAGAAACGAAGTCCAGCTTGGTCTGCTTCACTTGCTTTGTGCTGGTGCTGGCAGCGGTTCCAGAGGATTCCTCCTCCGACGACGTCGAGCCGCGGCGCGGCCGACACAGCTCGTACTCCTGCGGCTGCGACCGGTTTAGATGGTAAAACAAGTTGGTTGTGTTACCAGACTTGGTTTTTACTAATTCTCGGCAAATTTTGCAAACGACCGCTGTTCGCTTTTTGTCAGACTTCTAAAAACCAAAACATTGCCATGCTGGAGAACTACTGAGACCTTTTTTCGGGACAATGTCCTCCGCTTCTCCTTGCTGTATCATTTTTTCTAATACACGTGCTGTCTGTTGTGGTTTGAGAGGGGCTGGGCTTGGTGCCGTAGCGTACCTGGGTCTGCGTTTGTGATTGGTTGGGAGGAAGTAATGACTGTAGTAAAAGCTACATGATAGGCCATGATGAAAAAGAAAGGGAAACTGTGTTTTTCTATCGAACTTTTTATCGACCCGTTTTTTTTCTATCGCAGCACACGTCTATCGATCGATATATATTGTTATCGAACTGGTTCAGGTCAGCTGGGTTAGGTCTACGTTCTGTCTTGAGTGTCAGAAGGTTCCACACTCCAAATATGTGAAACAAACTCCCAGAAACTCTCAACGCTTCAACAACTGAAGGGGCGTGGCCAGTAATCAAACCGGTGGTCACCGTGACGCGGACTATAACCTCTGAGCGTAAGGCGTACCAAGTTTAAAAGGTTGCATATTTTAGGGTGACCATATTCTGAATTACCAAAAAGAAGACACGACTACATGGGGGTGGAGTCACAGAGTCATGCATTTAATTTTGAGTGTTTTTTACACGCTTCTTACTCAGTTATTCCACGCTACACAAATTCAAAACTCTTGTACAAAACCACGGACATTTGAAGGATTTTATGAACTACCCTGGACAAGACCAGACAGACCAGACAGCCCCCCAAAAAAGAGGACATGTCCGAGTAAAAGAGGACATATGTTTACCCTTTATATTTTACAATTTCAGGGAAATGAAGGATTTTAGGGTGACCGAGCAGAGTACAGAGGGGGCCATGCCACCCCTGGCAGTTCCTCTAGACACACCCCTGCTCCCTCTTACTCGTGATTCCAGTTTGTTTTTATTTGACTGTCTTTCAGCCGGTTAAATAAGGTTGAAACTGTCAGTTATCCAAGGTGGGTCAATTGTTCTTTCTCCTCTGAAAACACAAAAGTGGAAAAACTCTATAAACATCAAAAATTGTTGTGCATCTCAAGCAAAATCCAGTCCTTCTGTAACCTGTAATGAACCCCAGCTCCACACTTTCTGTCGCAATATCTGGCACCAGAGTCCCGTGCCTAGAAAGCTGGGCTGCAACTGTTAATATTAATAAGAGAGAGAGAGAGAGAGAGAGAGAGAGAGAGAGAGAGAGAGAGAGAGAGAGAGAGAGAGAGCATTCCTCCGCTGCCTCAGGGTGGTGAAAAGGTTAAGCCTGCCCCCTCTCTTGCAGCTCCCTCTCCGGGCTGCAGCTCATCAGTCCGGCGCTGCCTCCTCCAGCTGCAGCAGCTCCCCCCTCTCTCTCTCTCTCTCTCTCTGCGCTCTCAGACATGGACAGACCCCTCTCTTTGACTCCTCCAGCTCGTCTTTCTTCTCCCTGCTCCTCATGAAAAGCCTCACTGGCAGCAGCGGACGCATGGAGGTCTAATTTCTGCTCCAGTTTTCGCTCAAACTCGTGGAAAGTTGTTGTTGTTGTTGTTTTTTTTGCTGTTCCCTTTGGTTTTTTCTTCAATCTCTTCATGGTCTGCTCATGCGTTGGGAATGCCATGGCCACTCCGAGCGCACAGCAGCAGCACCAGGATTATTACAGATCGGTGAGCAGCGAGTCCACCACCTATATGATGGTCCCTGCCGGAGGAGCGAGCGGGACGGCGCGCCGGGAAGCGCCGTCTAAGATGTGGGTGGCGATGGTGGTGATCGTGGTGGTGGTGCTGCAGATCGCCTCCACGACGGGACTCTTTCTCTACCTGAACATGTCCATATCACAGGTAGGAGCTGATTTACACTTCTGCTGCACGTTGTGGGAACTTTATTCTCGGTGCAAATTTCGGGTAAAGGTTGAAAGAATTGCGCTTTTGTGCGCATTTGGATGCTTGAAAACACGAAGAAATGCTCAAACTTGTGGACGAAATCAGTAAATCAGAAAGAAAAGTTGAAGAAAAGTGAGATTTGCGTGTTTTGAGGTCACTTTTACACGTTTTCTGCAAGCAAAAATCGTCCAAAATGACCAAATTTTTGCCCAACTTTTGTCGATTTCATGCTAAGTTGCTGCAACTCGACAGAAACGTCCTGAAACCTCCAACAGATGAAGTCAAACTCCACTTTTTGGGGAGTAATTCATATCTGGAACACGTTTGGCGCATTTCGCCCCCGCGTTTGACTCGCCAGGCACTTCTAAAAAACAGCCTCGCATGACATGACTTGTTTTAACAATGAAAGTTAAGAGCAATCAAAGCTGAAAGGGAGTGAATGTGGGTCCAGGAGCGTTTATCGGATCAAACTGAATCCATTAAAGGGACATACTGGAGCCATTTGTGTGGAAAAGAGGGCGCAAGGAAGGGTTTTCCGATAAGTAGGTTACAGATGTTGTCCAGAGGTGAAACATGCAGGTCAGGGATGAAGAGTTGAAGGTGTGAACTCTCTCTCCTGTAAGGTTTGATCTACTTAAACCTCTTAAACAGAGCTGTAAGTCGTCGCTATGTGCTTGAAGGTTAAGAAAGAGGTCTTTCTTCCACGGTACGAGGTCTCGATTCCTCCTCTCCAGGAATCAATTATCAGAGCCGCTGTCACCGCCGCGGTGGGTGAAAGCGAAAGCTGACCTTTGATTAGTCCCGCCGCACAAGGAAAAGCTTGTCCGCCGGGCTCGCTTGTTATCAGCGAGGGTGCAAAGAGTACGAGAATGTTGCACTCAAGCAAAGGTACACTTCCTTCGAGTAAACGCTACTTCCTTATCTCTTAACACCACCGGCATTAGTCTGAGGAGTGATCTTGGCTTGGCCTCCATCCAGGATGAAGTTATCGAAGACTTCTTGTCGAGTCTCGAGCCAAAAATTAAGACTTGATTAACTGCAATGATTAAAAACTGGCTGCAAATAAGTTTCTCTTGAGAGACTCGTGAAGGAAATCTTGGCTCGTTGGAGCTGTCAGGTCGCCGTGGCTTCGAATAAGTTAAATGGGATATTTTGGCAGGAATGGAGACGTGGATCGTGATGTACTCGATGGAAGTCCAGCTTGAAACTTTGAGAGCTTTAGCTGAAGAAATCAAACACCAGATCTCACTTGTAGTCGAGTATCATTCATTTGTAGCCTCGAAGTAGGAAGCCGATCCCGGTGAGGTCTAAACTGAGAGTAAACATCTGCGAGGAGAAGTCGAGGTGGGAGATGTGTCATGCTTTCCACCTCCTGCCAGGCCGATAACTCACACAGGTGTGCCTCATGCGTCCCGCGCCGGGCGCCGTAGATCATTTAAAAGGGGGAAGTCTGGGGGAGTTTTCCAACGTTTACCCCTGAGAATAAGAGGAGAAATGTGATCGCTGAGGTAAAAATCGGGCTGTTAACGTGACGGGGGCAGATTTTCAACTCAAAACTGAAGATGTTTTACTAATGTTTTGTTCCTAAAGGGGTAGAAGACTCTGGCTTTGTGACCCGTTTAAGAAACCTCAGGTAGTAATAATGTCAGAAGTCCTTCGTCTTCCTCTTCATGGTTGATGGACGTCCTGGGATGAGAGGGACGCCGTAATGAAGGCGAATATATCAGACTCTCGCTGCATCTGCTTCCAATCAAGACTCTGGCATGAGCGCAACAATCCTGCATCAGCAGAGTCAGCTGTAGAAACAGTCTTTACATACTTTATCTCAAAGTGTGTCGGAGACTGCACTTTCTTTTTCAACACGTAAGAGTCCGGCCTGTTTTGTCTGGCAGGATGGAGTCGGCAGGAAATCACATACAGAACGTTTCAGAGACGATAGTGGACAGAGACGGATGAAAAACACGCAGCTATGTATCTTGAATGCGGGGGAATCCCCCGGTTCTCATGCGAAGGCCGGCTATTTTTAATCTGGAAACAGGCCCTCTTTGAGGCGCAGCGCGGTAACACCCCCCTCCTCCCCTCCTCCGCTCTGCCAGCCCGGTTAAGACAAAAGATGCTTCGAACAATAAATGCAGCAGCACAATGAGGAACGCTCCAGTGTGGCCTCAGAGCTGCGGCGTTCGCACACAAGCAAACAAACCCGTGTGAGTGTGGGAGTTTCCAGGCCTCACATGCGTGGACGTCCTGCTGTTTCAAGCCTCTTTATTCTGGCTTGTCATTCATTTTTTAAAATAAAATCAGGTAATCCAGTCTTAATCTCTACCTGGATCAGACCTCAAAGAAAAGACCTTCTCTCCGAAATCTTTCCTCTTTAAAGGGATATTCCCGCATAAAATTAATTTAGGGTCAAAGACACCGTAACACCGAGTTAGACACCTCCTCCAGAGATAAATGTTGTCGACCGCACGCTAGCAATACACAGCGGTCTGAGGAGCCATAAGCAAACCTCGACCAAAACACCACAAATAATGCTCAGAACAGCACCTAACTTCATCAACAGGACATATAGGGTCGAAGCCACCAAACATATTTTTAACTTTGACTAACTCACCTACTCTCTTCCAGCAGCTGCTTGTTTGTAGTGAGACCTCGGGCCAGTCCATTACTGACTACAGCGGAGTTTCGCAGCTCAAGGAAGAACATTTATGATCATTACTTTATCATTTCCTCTGAGTAATAATCATCATATTAATCATTTTGAAGACGCGGTAATTCCTCTGCCTTAGCGTCTCGGTCTGAAATGATCATAAATGTTCTTCCCTGAGCTGCGGCACCCCTTTCAGACCCTTTGTCCAGCTCTCCAGATGCCTCCTTCACTGTTGCCTGCAACAAAGTGGCCATCATTGAATTATTATTACTATTTTAAACAACAAATGATCAAATAAAACCAACTTTTATGGACCTGGAAGAACTGGAAAAGCAACAACAACAAGGAATAAAACAGGAAGTCAATGTGTGAATGTCTAGAAATGGACCAGTTTGTAACATCATGCTTCTGCTGCCCCTTGTGGTCTACTTGAGAAGTTTGCGGACACTGGTAATCTGAATTTTAGTCCTTCTTGAACATCTTGATCAGGTTGATGTATTTCAGTTTTTCTTTGGAAACTTGCTGAAGTACTTGATCCTGGAAGGCTAACGGTGGATTCCCAAACTTTAGACGTTGTAATCCAGGTTAAGCTTTTAAAGACAAGACTCTAGAGTTTTCAAACTGGTTTAGAAACGACAACAACTCCGAGATTGTGTATTCGTTGGCACTTTTTTTTTAGATTCGTGTCACTTGCGTTGAGTTATCGCTAAGTGACTGACATTCCTTTCCCTTCACTTCACTGGTCCACTTTATTATTGTTTGGGTTCACTGATAGGCTCTGACTCACCCAGCCATGAAACAATACACCCGGTGAGTGTGTGTCCACTGTGTGTGTTTGTGTGTGTGTGGTCTGAGTCACACTGAAGAAGCTGTAGGTGTTAGTTAGGGGGTGTGTATAAATGTGTGTGGTCCACTCACCCTAAAAGGCCAGTTTAGGGGGGCTTTATGCCGATGACGGTCCGACCTATCTGCGTGATGAAAGGATGACCTTAAGGCACGAAACCATGAGGAAAATCCCTCCAAATATTGACATTCCTGTTGCGATATTAAAATCTGAATCATAAAAGACCCAACAGGAGTCTGTTTAAGTCCGAGGTTTAAGATCAGAGTCAGATTTTAGGCCGGGCGATGACAGACGTGGAGGTAGACGGGTTAATCAGGACCATGTTAGAGGGTCTCTGACAACCATATAATCACATCTCTGAAGATTACAGTCTACAAGGCTGATCTCATGTGGGTGATGTAGACTCCGAGGGATTATCTCAATGTATGAGGGCTTTGTGGTTTTATCCCGTTAGCTCGCTTTACAGCGGCGAGTTCAGCACAGGCAACACGTGGAGCAGGCGGTAATGGATATCCAAGTAAAGATTCGTTGATCTGCAGGGATACAAACTAAAAATGTGAATCCAGAAACGTAAATATGAAGATTGTACACTTCTTTTATTTACAAACATTCAAGTAAACTTAACATCTGAGTTGTTATCTAACCACGTTGCATCTTGGAAGTGTCAGAAATATTAGTCAAGTTGTCATAATGTAAAAATAAGCAGTACGTCAGCTCAGAAGTTGTTTGCCGTTTCGTCCAGCAGAGGGCTCTCTAATCGTAACCTGACCATCGCACAACACTCTTAACCACCGAGAATCAAAGGCGTCCTGAGAAGACAGTCACATTAAATTTGACTCCAACTTTCGCTCTTTAATTTTAATTTTAAAAAGTTGCAGATACAACAGGTCAATCAGAGTGCGTCTTAATGACGTCAAGAATTACGATAATAATTAATCATGGTATAGACCAGCCTGGCTTTTTCACACTAGTTCACGCGCTTATGCCAGGATTTCCGAGCTCTGAGTTGGAAACTCATCTGTAACGCCCCCCTGAAGTCGGATTTCCGACTTGGAAAGTTGCACGATCCTCGCCAACCCCGACTTGACGACAACGTCATAATCCAAGATGGCAGCGCAGTGCACCGACTGTAAAGAGTAATAGTGAAATGTTTTATTTATTAGCACTTATGTTTTGTTTTTGCGAAATTAAATAAGTGGTATATGTAGTAAAATACTGTTTTACGTTGTTTGCGCTGGTATAGCTAACAACAACGGCTAACAACAGCTGAAAACCGCTAACGACAGCTGACAACGGCTAACGACAGCTGACTATTCCGATGCATTCAAGTTACCTTGGAAGCCAGATGTCCGAGCTGGGAATGACGTCACACCGGAGTTACCAGTGTTTCAGTTACCAAGTCAGAAGAAAGCAAAATTTGGAGGCGGAAACAAGCGCTTGTCCTTGTCCTTGCTTATATTCGGACAACGCAAGCGCTAAAATAACTTTCGTAGATTTAGCCATCTTGGTTACACTTTCAATTTTGCTTTCTTCCGACTTGGTAACAGAAACGCTGGTAACTCGGCACTCCCAGCTCTGACATCTGACTTCCGAGGTAACTCGAACGCAGTATTGTAAACAACAGCTAACAACGGCTAACAGTAGGCGTCCATCTTAGTATTCCGACATGTTTACTGGAATGCCGTCAACTCAGGTGTGACATAATTCCCATCTCTGACATTCAACTTCCGAGGTAACTAGGACGTAGCATTAATCTCGACTGCCGTCCCTCGGCTTTTCAGACACACACCTGCCTCCTCCTGCTCGTCTCTCCACCTGTTTTTAATTCTTTATTTTTATACGTTTACACTCACAGCAGACTTTTTACGAGGTAAATTTATCAAAGATGTTTTTTACACACTGTTAACCGTTCACTCTGATCTAATCCTCCACAGTCTTCGCTCTTATCTTTGAATAAAGCGAGTTTATTGGACTGGTGGAAGTATGAAAGCGATCAGTGTACATATGGGAGGAAAATTCCCTGATATTTTTCGTTATGAGCCGGGATATAAAATATGATAAACGTCCCAGAGCTTGAATGAAACCATGATTTTTACGTTTCAGCCTCCGCGCCCACATGTTGCTTGAATTTCAGAGTTGGCTTCACGGAGGCTCAGCTGCTTCGATTTGGGGTCTGCCTACGCGTTTCATCCGCCCCAAGACGTGCCGTGACTTCTGATGACACCGACTGAGATAAATGAGGGAAAAACATCAGTTATTTATACTCAGAGCTGTTCCTCGCTCCGACCTCCTTGTGTGGCCTCAGCTGCCGTTGCCAAGACGCTTCTGATGCAACCTCCTATGGCGCATTATAGACCCGTATACATCGGTTTTTCCATTAGTTGCATAAACGTGCTGCGTTTTCTCGCACCAGATCGGGTTTTATTAGCCGAGGTCAACGTCGAATTCAACGTCAGAGGATCAATGGATGACCTGACGGGAATGTGCGAGCGACACGTGTGCTCTACGGGGGGTTGCGGTCTCTGAGAGGGGGTGGTTTTCCCTGAGGCTGAGAGGGCGAGAGGTCGAGAGGGCGAGTGGTGCGTTCATCATCAGAGACCAATTTAAAGTCCAATCAAATCCTTCACTCGCAAATATTTAGATTTAATTCAAAGCTGCTAATATAAACCTCCCTTCCAGGACCGAACGGCCAGAACATACAACTCTTTCTCCCTCTTTCTCTCTCTCTCTCTGTCCCCTCATCCCTCCATCACACCCCTCTCTGTGTTATGCTTTAAAGCCCACATTGAGAATCGAGTTACAGTCAGTTTTAGGGCTCCGGGCAGGAGGGGGGCGAATTTTTCAGGAATGACACAAGCACTTTTTCTTTTATGAGGTAAAAGTTAAGCGACTCTTTGGCGGTGATTTAGGTTTCTGCGAGTACGTGTGCGTGTGTTTACGTGTGGCGTGTGTTAGCGTCTAAACAAGCTTTGGGCCGGGGATTAAAGTTGCGTAAAGTGTTTGAACGTGTGTTAGACACGGAGAGAACAAGACAGCTGGTGTTTAAAGATGCATGCGACGGATGGGCGATGGTTCGACCTTGGTTTTTGTCTCTCTGACTGAATTTGACAAGGCCAAAATGACATCAAAGGAGTAATCTCTTGCAGCTTTTTCAGTAACCGTTGAGTTTCCTCTCCCGAAGCAGATATTCGTTCTCACATGATCTCCATCCACACCATTTTCAACCAATTGGAGACAATTTAGGGTTCTGTTATCCTTAAAACGAAGAGGTGAAACGCTCCATTTGGATGAGGAAAAGCAGCGATTCCTGGAAATAAAGACGGAAGATAAAGAACAGATAAAAGGGACGATCTTGATAAGACACAGATCAGGCAATAAAGTTGCCAGATCTTCAGTTGAGCTAATTTAGGAGGGTTTACTTCAAAGTAGAAATACTCTCACGAGCTAACTCTTTAAGCATGAAAACTGTTAATGGTTAGGTAGACTCATCATAATGGAAATTCTTTTCTGAACGCTCCAAATGTTCCGAATCAAACCACCGACTGGTCTTGGGTTTGGATTTGGAGAAGTGGTGGAGCAAGAGTTTTTTTGATTGGGTCGGCCAAACCGAGGCATGGACTTCTGAAGGGGCGGCCGAAGGGATAAAGTTACAAATGTTCAAAAATAATTGCATGAGATATTTTATCTAGATTATTTTGAGGGTTAGTGATGGGAAGAACAGTTCTTTTGACTGTACTGAATCTTTAGGATCCGTTCATTAAAAGGATTTGTTCGGAAGTCGTTTCGTTTTGTTTACCATGTCATTCACTGACTGACGTTTTGTTCACGGACTGTTTCATTCACTGACTGAAACATGTTGTTCATTCGCTGTGAGTGAATCACGAGACTCCGCCCACTCACTGGCTGGCTGTGTGTCATTCGCCAAAGAGTCACGATTGAGCTCAATTGAACTGAAAAAGGAACGAATCAGGTCTCGGAGTGATTCCGTTCACGTTGTTCACTCAGCAGTTCATGAACGACACAATCACTACAAGGGGCACTATAGGTGAACGGGCAGGTAAACGCTACAAAAGGGACGCAGATGAAGCGTTGATCTGGGGAACGGGAAGAGCACACGGTTTTTACCGCTAATTTGACACCACTCTCAACCTCATCATGAACATCACCATCGTCGCAAGTTGGACGTATCTGTATTTTTTGGTTTGCATTTCATTTAATCAAGAAATGGCAAACATACAACTCAACAACAACCTTGGAGTGGACATCGGATTGGACTAGAAGCGAGTCAAAAACACCAAACTCCCGCACCAAGACGGTGACTAAAATTCAGGTCAGCGTCGTCAATTTGATCTTTAACTTCGAAAGCGAATGAAACGAAGTGGAAAAATGTACATCTACTAAACTTTCCTGACACACGATGAAATGCAAAGAAGCTAGCAGCAGCCCGTTAAACTCGAGATGCACCGATCCGATATTTGGATTGGATAAATCGGCTTCGATATTGACGAATTAACTGGATCGGATATCGGATGAATGATGCCGATCCAGCCTTTTTTTTGGGTATTGGTATCTGATATCGGCCGATACGCTCAGCTCAGGTATCAGTATCAGACTTGATCCGACAAAAATGGATCGGTGCGTCTTTAAGTTTAACACGACCAAGACGGCTAATTTCAATAAAAGTGTTAAACCTTCAGACTTCAAACATTCGATTCTGTGTGAAGATTTGCAGCTTTATGGAGAGTTTAGGTTCAATTTGTGACATTTTACCCATCTTGGATCAGATTCTTGAACATCAACCCCTGACTTCCCTGCAGATGCTCTTAACTTGACAATTTAACCTCCTGTTTAAAAAACAAGATGTGCCAAATATCAGCGGAGTTCTGCTCTTATCAAATGTGACGTTTCCAGGCCAAAAATGCGATTAACTGTCCCTGAAGTCGCCGCGCTGAGGGAGGAGTGAGGCCGAAAGAGAGAGAAAGGAGTAAACTTCACATTATGTCATCTGACAGAGAGCAGACACACACTCAAACACACACACAAACACACACACAAACACACACACACACGGTGTCAGCTCAACAGCTCGGCTGGTGATAACAGGATATTTGCGTTCCCACGTTGGAATGCTCATTAGGATGTAGCTACAGCTGTGATGTGTGTGTGTTTGTGTTTGTCAGTGTGTGTGTGTGTGTGTGTGTGTGCCAACAGCTGGTGCTGTGTGTTATCAGTGTGTTTGCTGACTTAACGTGATTGTAGAGGTCTGATAAATGACATTACTACGAGATGAGGAGACTGACACTCCAAACAAACGGCTGCTGGATCTGAATTTAAAGCTGCAGGTTTAAATTCACTTTTAGTTACTGTTTTTGTGTCATTTTTAGTAAAGACGTTTTTTAAGAGGCCAAATATCCAAGCCGAAATGACGCCAATTACTGTTATTTTAAATCATAACCCTGTCAACTAACAGAAATTTACTGTAATATTACTGTAATCATGAATATTTGTCCAATCAGTGTATAAAATGTTGCGATAAAAGCTTAAAACATCCATTATGTTCAGCAATGTGCAGTTTTCATGCAGACGCGTAGCTAAGTCTAATGAGGTCGTTGAACTGTGCTTAGCTTTTATAGTTGTAAAGTTCGTGAAACACTGCCTGCAATGGATTCGCCAAGACTCCTGCTAGCTCCCTCTGCTGGTCACTTGTTGTTTTGCGATGAATTCGGCATTCTTTGTACGCTAAAGCGGCACTCATTTCAGCCCACTTAAGTACGATAAAACACCTCTTTTTGGAGCATTTGGTTCATGGTAGGACCAGCTCGCTAATTTTTAAAATCAATTCGTACAAAAATTTTAACGTGAAACTAAATTAAGCTAATTCGATTCAAGCTCGGCTATAAATGTTTGGAACTTAAAATTGGGAAAAAAAGCTTGGAGTTAGCGTCGGCAAGTTTTTAAACGACATTATATGAGACAAAAAGGCTGTGTCCGAAACTATGCTAGTCATGCTTTTCGTGATTTGTTCTTACAAGATTCGTAATACACAATTTGTACAAGAAACGCCGAGATTTATTCGAGATTTTTAGGAATGTTACAGTTTGAGACAGAAACTAGGGTGATCGGACGTTCCCGATTTCTGAGGACAGTCCCCGTTTTGGTTGACCAGATTTTAGCGTTTCATAAATGAGAAAAAAAATGCGTATGGATTAGAACAACGGTTATTATGGTAGCTGGGTTGGTAGGAAGCGAAATTAGCATATAGCGCGCAGTCCTGAACAAAATTACTCGCAAGCTAGCAACCCGCAACAAACACTTTAATCGTATATCTCGTACAGGATATGGTTAAAGTTATATTTAGCTAACATAACTCGAATCAGAAACGCTCAGAACAAAATGTTCTACGTGTCTTTTTTCACCTAAATGGTGATGGCGTGAATTAAAGGAAATATGAGCTGATTTAGCGTCAACAATCTGGACTTTACGACGCTTAAACTAATTTCTTGGCGCTGAGTAATAGTGTGATTTATTTCATTGTGTGACCGGAGAAGACTGGAGCCCGCACACCAACCTCCATCCCCATTAGAAGCCCGATAATCAAAAAATCATGCCAGAGCCTGAGCAAAACTGTTCGTTTTCGCCCCAGAAACAATTCAATAATTTGTGGTGTTACTAGGAAACAGATGTTCGAAGGTATAATGTGTCTCAATTTAAACGTCGACGTTCACCTCTACAGTTTATTGACCTCCTACAGCGAAATGTCCTTCCCCTGGTCCATCCATCTTCCCTCACATCCAATCTGAACCGTAAGAGCTCCATATGGCTCCCATCATGTGGAAACCGAACCCTTCCCGTACTTCATGTACATGTATCAAAGTAGAGGACGCTGGAACACGAACAGTCGAACCCTGAAACATTTGAAGGAAGGGGAGCTTTCTGCGATTAGATATCACATCCAAAGTGGTCGTTTTTGTCGATAAATTACATTTCTTTTATAGAAAAATTGAAGCGTATTGAAAACATCTGCTGGCTTTGAATCCACGGATTATATCTTTAGGAAGACAGGCAACGAAAATCGCACCAAGTCCTGATCAGTGCGGCTACCACCCATCGAAGAAAATTGAGTCTGGGACGGAGAAGAAACCCTGAAACCCTAAAACCGTCTAACTCCATTCTCCAAGTTTCTGGCAGCGAGACGTCCAGAGCTGTCCGGTCGTGGTTATAGACGTCCAAATAGAAGAAAACGAATCGAGTGATGCAGGCGCTGATGCGTCCAAGAAAAATATGTTTAGTGCATGAATTCATGTGTGTTTTGCGTGATAAGCTGGTGGTGATTTGCGCTGTAAGGTCATCGTCGGTCTTGTTGATCCAGCCGTGGGACTGGACGAATGTTTCTGTCCCAGAACGAGAAAGAGGTCTTGTTAGTGTCATCTGTCTCCTTCAATATTCTCTCTCTTAAAGTGATTCTCTGTCCGGACGACGTTGACCCCGTTAACGAAACCCTCCTGCTCCTCTGTCAGCTCTCATTTCTGCACAGATTGAGAAACTTTTCTTCATTTCTAGATAATAATTCTCAAATTTTCTTTTTCATGAATCAAAATCACATCCAAACACTTCCACTGATGTCCTACTTTCTCAGCTCCCCCGCCGGCTTCCAGGCTGCAGCCAGTCTTTTTTGGCCTGAACGTCCATAAATGGAGCACGTCCTCTTGAAAAACTTGTAAGGATCTCGGGCGTGTGATCACAAGTCGTCTATGAATCAGCAAATCGAGCGTTTAGCGGGGAGTCTGGCTTTGTTTCCAGCTGCTGAATGAAAAACAGTAATCCAAACAGCTCTGGGAAAGTAGGTTAAATCATACAAGTCATGAATTCTTTAAAAAGATGAGGTTTTAAAAGGTTGAGCCTTCGGTTTTCCTCTCTTGAAGGTGTCGTTTATTCTTTCTTTACCTTAAAAGAGGTAGAGAAGTTGCTCTTTGAATTCAATGTCGGCTCAGTCGCACTTAAAAGGATCTTCGTCTTTAACTCTCAGACTTTCCAGGGACGCTGAAGTAATGCAAACATACTCTACGTGTTTGGAAAAGAGGATAAGAAAGTAGAAGCTTTCCAGAAATAGGAGAGAGAAATCTCTATGAATGTTATGAAAACACGACAGGAGTTAAGACGTCTGGGCTTCGCTGCTTCCAAGACGTTACGCAACATGAAGGTGAGAGTGCGGCGAGGAAAGAGTCTCGACTGTGAAATCAAAAGTTTTTTTCATTTCCACTCATGACATGATCGGACAGGAAGATGAAGAACATAAAGGGCACTCATTTTAACGGGTTTAGGAGTCAACAAACGAGTTGAGATGTTTCTACTCAAAGATGAGACCCTCACTCAACACGGCTTCAATCAGGAGGTTGTGAAAATATGAGAAAGAGCCGAGGTCGCGTCATGATCGCATGACTACGATTGGTCTTGCCGATCTGGTCCCACCAAACCAAACAAACAAAACTAGATTAATTCGATAGATCAGTCACACATGGTCGTCTTTGGTCTGACCTCTTGGGAATTTCCCAACTTATTTTTCATCGTACTTCAGTTTTTATTCTCTTTTGGCCCAATCGGGATGAAAATCTAACAAATCTGGACCTGTAATCTGCTGAGATTTGAGGGATTTGGAGCTCTGTGATCACTCACAGAAGCCCTGACAGCGCAGGATAACCTCTGACTTTATCAGCAGCTCAGGATCAAAACCAGATAAAGACCTGTTGACGTCTCGGCTGATAAGGATGATTGATTTCCTGTGATTATTGGCACAGGTGGGTTTGGTGGTTTTTACTTTGGTGGATGTTTCTCCAGAGTCAAGACCAAAGTTTATTAAAGTTTGTGATTCAGAGGTCTCCAAAACAAAACACAAAAATCCACCGACATTCCAACAGTCAGATTTCAGAGCAAACCGCCTTGTCCGCCCGAAAATATAGCTTTAAGAATGAAGTAACTTTTAAAGAAGAACTTTTATTTCAAGTTGTATGAGAATTTAGCCATAAGGAACGTGGATCATTCTGTAAACTTTTATAAAACTTTCAAAAGTGACACAATTTCATTAGAAAAAGTACCCAAACAAGAACCTGAGTCCAAAGACTGGCAGGCTAACAGGACACTTTAGCGAACTTTTTTTAAGTGATATCAAATATTTACTCAAATCAGAACTTTTAGCTCATATAATTAATACTTTTTAAACATTTACTTAATTTTCTCGTAATTTACAAAGACTTTAAACTCATTAATGTACAAATAAATTATCATATTTGGAATTTTTCTCAAAAATATTGGACATTGATGTTGAGATTTTTCTTGTGTATTTGTAACATTTTTTTTTCATGCTACAAGGCTTAAATTTTTTTAATTAAAAGTTTGTTTATTTAAGTTTATGAATTTTTCTACACAGATATATGACTTTGATTTGATCAAAATTCAGTTTTATTTTTGTAATTTCAGGATTTTTTTCTCACAACTTCATAACTTTAATCTTGTTCGTTCACTCGATCATTCTTGACAAAAAAAAGTTAATTTTTTTACATACATGATTTTCATGTTCTCATTGAAATTTAACCTTTTTCATTAATTTAAGGCTTCATTCCCATTATTTATATTTTTCACAGTATGGTATATCTCAACTGTTGTTAATTCAGGAGTTTGTTCTCATAACAACCTCACTAAACTTTTGTGAATTTCCGATCTTTATCACAAGATTTACTCTAATGAATTATTACGTATTTCTCTAAAGTTTAAGACTTAAATCTCTTTAGTTGAAGAGTTCGCTCTTACAAAAAAATTAATTAATTTTGGAATCTTCATTTTACGACTTTATTGTCATAAAAATTTACAGAATTTCTGATTCTGAATTCAACTTTTTTATTGCTTTTAAAGGATAACAAGTACAGCAGTCTGATAAAGGTAACAGGTACATTACAATCCAAAAAAAAAAAGAAAAATCAATGAAATTATTAAAAAAAGTTTTAAAAAATGGAAAAAATAAACAAAATTTTAAAAAAGGGACCAGGCGGTGACCCCCTTCCACCCCCTCAACTTGGATCTCTATAAAATTTTTACAGGACATAGAAGACAATATTTTAACAAAAAATGCAAATAAAAATGTAAAATTCAGCTTTTTAAAATCAGTTTCCTAAACGTTGCGATCCTAATCTTGTGTTGTACTCAAAGTTAAAAAAGCTTTTGTTTCCAGTTTGGTGAAAACACGTCTCCTGCAAGGAAATTTTGAGTAACAAAACTGAGCCAAACAGTTTTACGTTTATGAGAATTTTGTAAATTTTTGTTAAAAAGAGAAAAAGTATTTCTATTGTTGTTGAAAATGCTCTTTGTCTCAGATATTGTGAGTTCATGTCCCGTAAACCTCACTGCTAAACTATTTGCTGACACATCCATGTAATTGGGCTGATTTTATTGTTTATTTTGGAGGGACCAGATATGTTCCTTCCTGTTTTTTTGTGGATTTGTGGAAATTACTGGTCAGAATTCCTGCTTGTATGTCAGCAGATTCCAGGTTTTGTTTTTGTGCGCAACTTCAAGGGTTTTCCATCTCCTCCAAAGAGAAAGTTCCCGTTTCATTTCTATTCGAGGTTGACGTATTCTCTTTGTTACTCGTTTTAAGACATTATTACTAGTACACAAAGAAAGCTGAGGGAGTTGTGTTTTGTCTCAGAAAGTGTGTCGAAAGTGGTTTGTGACACCATCAGTTAATCATCTGCCAGAACAGGATCGACAGCCGGACAGCTTGTTTTCGTGACACAAACAGAGCGTGATCACACTGGCTCGAGTTCTCCAGTGGATTCTCGTCACGTTCAGCAACAACCCCTGACAGAAACTGTACCTCTTTCCTTCTACTGTTCACTCCTGAAGGCCTCTCCTGAGTCAGACTCGCTCACCACCTCCTCCTCACACTAAAACACTCAAACAGAAAAGCCACCCAGGCTGGACCTGCCCACCCACAGGCACCCAAAGGACCCCACAGCAGCTTCATTTACAGTGTTTTCTTTGCTCTTTCATTAGCTTCACTTTGCTTACAGTTCTGTCATATCCTGAGGTTTCATTTCACTAAATTTGACCCTCAGTGTCCAAAATAGAAGCTTACGATAAAACCAGATTACTGGACTCTCTCGTCTTTGGACCAAACCTCAGATGGAGGGTGAACTAGCAGAAATAGGGACCTGTAAGTAGGGCTGAGCGATATATCCTCAAATCAATATCATGATATATTGATCAGTTCACCTCGATAACGATAAATGGACGATAACTACTCCACAAGCTGCTCACCCCCTCCCATATTAACTTCGTCTACTTCAGCTACTACAACTTTTGAACCGTCCTCCATCTCCTCACCTGTCTTTACGTAGGACAGCGTCTTAAAGGGACATGAGACCATAGCCTACCTGCACACATCCAAAACAAACTTTTTTTAAATGTATTTTTTAGACACTGAATATACAGATATGGGCAAAATGACATCAATTTTTGTTGTAAATTTCGGTATCGGTAAATTTTCGGTTTATCGCCCAGCCCTACATACAACACTGAATCTTGTTGGGCTGGTCATGCATCAAAATGCTTAATATTGTTCTGTTTTGTATCCTGTTGTATCATGTATTCTGTAACATGATGTCTCATATCATATTGTATGGTATCGTATTTTAAAGTATTGTATCATATAGTATTGGATCATATTGGATCGTACCAAACCGTATTGTGAAGTATCAATTGTATCGCATCGTATTTTAAAGTTTTGTATCATATTGTGTTGGAATGGTACTATGCCATATTGTAAAGTATCATATTGTATCGTATCGTACCGATCGTACTTCATCATATTGATTGTATCGCATCATATGGACAAAATGACGTTGGTTATTGTCGTAAATTTCAGTATCGGTAAATTTTCGGTTTATCGCCCAGACCAAGTCAAATTCTCTTAGATATATATATTTTGCTTTAAATCGTATCTTGTTGGGCTGGTCATGAATCAAAATGCTTAATATTGTTCTGTTTTGTATCCTGTTGTATCATGTATTCTGTAACATGATGTCTCATATCATATTGTATCGCATCGTATTTTAAAGTTTTGTATCATATTGTATTGGAATGGTACCATGCCATATTGTAAAGTATCGTATCGTACCGATCGTACTTCATCATATTGATTGTACCGCATCATGTGGACAAAATGGCGTTGGTTATTGTCGTAAATTTCAGTATCAGTAAATTTACGGTTTATCGCCCAGCCCTACCTGTACGTACAGATAGTTTGGCAGTTTTCTAGTTCATTTTAGATTTTCTTAAGACTGTTTGGGGGCCGACGCGAATTTAGAAATTACAAAATATTTGGAGGCGAATTTTGTCGCGCCTGACTATACACATCAAGCCTGATGCGATTTTGCGACTTTCCGGGGGGAAAAAGACGCATCCCAGGGAAGAGTTTTCCCGGGGAAAGTCCCGCCTCCTTCGCCTCTGATTGGCTAGAAAAACTGGAAATATCATCACGGCTCCTCTCCGCCAAACAGTCAGCACCTATAGCCAATCAGAGGCGATAAGATAAGCACATGAAAATATGTAATCTATGTGTAAACGATCATAAACAATCAGCCAGTCGGCCATGTAATCTCCACAGGTTGTCCTTCAGGTTGTTATCTTTGTAATATTTGTGTACACAATCATAAACAATCAGCCGGTCGGCCATGTTGGATATACCGGTGAATCTGACGTCGCAATCTGATTGGTCAGAAGTGGACACACAGTATGCAAAACTTTAGAAAATTTGACCATAATCCGAAAAATAAATGCCGCAATATCGCAGGATGGGAAAACATCGCTGATGTGAACGACAAAAAATGGTTCCAGTGTGAAAGGACCTTTAAACATCAACTAAAGCCAGGCTCTAGTAAACTGGCGAAAATACCCATTTCAGCAGCACACCCTCTTTGCAGCGTTCCCTCTTTGCCTGTTGGTTTGACTTTATTCATGTCTAACAGTCTATAGTTTGGACATGCTCCTGTCTCTCTTTTCTGTCTGGTTTTGAACCACCTGGAGGTCTCTAAGGTATCTAAGGACAACTTCCTGGTGGTAAACTCTGAAACAATGACTCGTCTAATTGCACCTTCAGTTTATCCTTCTGGGAACACTCCACCGCCTTGTTTTGGGTCTTCCCTGAAAGCTCCAGCCTCTGAACTCGCCTCATTTATCTTCTCTCTGAATCTCTCTCTCACGTTAGCTCGGCCGCCCCGGGGCGCTTCCGTCGGTATGTGTGCACAGGTGACCGAGCTGAACTGGAAAATCCTGACCTCTTCTCTCTCCTCTCATTACCTCTCTCTCATCCTCCCTTCTTTTTCCTCGTCCTCTTCCTCATTCTGACGAGAACCAGAGACTTCACCCTCGGAGCCTTTTAGCGAGAGTTTATGGAGACTTAATTTTTCAACGCCACCGGCTGAGATAAGGCAGCTTACACTCCCGTAAACAAAAGCCAATCAGCTTTAAGATAACCACAAAGAGTCTTTATCCCCGAGTCATCTTAACAGCTCCTTCTTACCTAAACAGAAATGTCCCCGATTGTTTTAACGCACAAGGAAGTTAAAGAGAAAGAAAGAAATGACCGGAATATCAGAGGGCAGGTCCGCCCTGCTTTTGTATGTCTTTAAACTTTATTTAAACTGGACGCCATCCAAGAGAGCAGGACTGACAAAGAGAGGTCAGAGTCCCACACGCCAAGGCAGGGAGTGGTTTTTCTGCAGCCCTACTTTTAGGCTTCCATCACGAACTCGCTCGCTCACAAACGCGTGCAAACACACTCAGACCGACGCATTGTCTCGCTCTTTCGCCCGCAGGTCAGTCAGTAACCAGTTAGTGCCGATGACGCATCTTTCTCTGCGTCAAAAGAGGTCAATGCATGAGCCGATAATGTCATTAATGCCTCGAAACAGAAGCAGACAATCCCCCGGATCTGGATCTGTGAATGCAATTTAGATTATTTTTAAAATCCACATAGAGAACCGGAGGAGCCAGAATTCACAGACCCCCTCAGACTAAAATCCGTCAATCCAAACAGGAGTAAGTGTTCAGGGTTAGGAAGGTTTCGATTCGCAGTAAATCAATCAGCGCTTCTATTTCCCGAAAGTGCAGGTAGATTTATTTTCACTTTTGTTTCTCAACACCTTTTTTTCCTGACAGCGACAAGTTCAGACTCCTCGCTCAACACCCGCAGAGACGGCGGTAACCTCTGCTGAGATGTGCCGACTGATACTCCTCCAGCACGGTTTCGACTGAAGGCTTTTGAAGTTCAGCGATCGTCCGAACGAAAGATTTCTGTCTGATTGTGTCGATTCAGATCTGTAAAATTAAGACTATTCTCCTGATTTTAAAATTACTTTAAAAGCTGCAATCAAAGCAGCACTTTGGAGTTTTTACTTTTTCCATGACGTTTACCTGCACTGAGTCGTTTCAGTGTTTAGAGTCGAAAAGAGAAAGTGAGAAAAGAAACGACTTTAAAGCTCCTGTGAGGAACTTTTGGTTTGTGTCGGTTTTGGCGCCCCCTGTGGACGAAACTAGAGTGACCATATGTCCTCTTTTACCCGGCTGTCCGGCTTTGGGGGGAGTTTATAAAATCCTTCAAATGTTTGCGGTTTTGTACGGAAGTTTTGAATTCGTGTCACGTGGACTTGCTAAGTTAGAAGCGGGTAAAAAACACTCGTCCAACCCGAAAAACTCAAAATTAACCACGCATGACTCCGCCCCCACATTTGGTCACCACTACAAAACAGTCTTTGCTCGTCTGTTTGCTCGTCACATTCTGACTTCTAAAGGTCGTTACACATCGGGAGCGTTTTTATCATGCGATTATTTCGGACGTCAATATTTTTTTTCGAACCCGTATCCTGTCAATACAAGCGTTCACATCAGCGACGTTTCCCCATAGTGCGATATTGCGGCATTTATTTTTTCGGATCATGGTCGAATTTTTTAAAATTTCCTATATTTCCCATACAATCAGATTTCGTGTTGTTGCGACATCTGATTCACCGGTATATCCAACATGGCCGACAGGCTGATTGTTTACGTGTCGGAGTACAGAGTGATTTTTGATAAAAGACACAAATATTACAAAGATAACAACCTGAAGGACGACTTGTGGAGAGTCATAGCGTCAGATTTCTCATATGACGATGGTTTGTGTGCTTTAACAGTTTGATAAACGTCTTTGTTTTAACTTTCATCTGTGCTAAGTAACTTTAGCTCGTAAGCTAATCTAAGCTTTCCCCCCTGAAAGTCACAAAATCGCCACGCGCTTGATGTGTATAGTCAGGCGCGTCAAAATTCGCCTCCGAATAATTCGTAATTTCGCGTCGTATATTTGCGTCGTTCCTGGTGTGTAAGGACCTCAACAGTCAAACATATTATTTTTCAGAAAGATTAAATGTGAAAATGAAGCTTCCCTGCTCGCACTTGTTTCGGGCTTTAAAACTAGCGTATAGAAATCGCCGATCTTGTCGCTTTTGGTCTATTTTGCTCTAAGACATAATAAAAAAAAGCATCAATATGAATTTCTATCTATTTCAGTAACTCCCAAAACTCCTCACAGGAGCTTTAACACGTACAAAACAAAAGAGAAGATGTTTGATTCGTCTGCAGTTGGTGCCAAAATCAACTACAAGTTTGCTTCACTTTCTATTTAACTCACCGTGTGTTTGTTAAAGAAACACAAACTGACTGATCTCTGCGTTTTAAAGCACCTGCTGCTGCTGTTATCATTTAAACACATTCCTCTGTGACTGATCGGCGTTTAAAGGCGTTCGGTACGCAGTTTCTTTATATTATCCTACATATAAAACATCTCTTTGGTTTCTCTCTTGAAGGAAACTCGTGTTGGCATCTGGACGCGTGTGGTTGCATGAACCCATGTTTAAAACGTTGGTTTCTGCTCCCCGAAGCCTCTAATGGTTGTGTTTTTGGCTCACGTTCGCTGGTCTGTACATGCACAGGGGCATGAGTGGGGGTGGGTCTGTCGTTTCACCGCAGACCAAAACTTGGCTCGCACCGCAGCAGTGAAGTAAACCCTCACCGGTCACGGTTGGAAAAGCCTCTGTTTTGTCCCCCCCTTGTAAATACCTTTTGTGTATGGAGGCCAATCAAAACCGCCGTGTTCAGCGCCCGGCTTGATTGCTCTTCAACATGATGGATAACTGAGCGAGCTGCTGGTCATTAAACGAACGGCGGAGATGAATCAGACAGCTTCGACAAATAAATCAACGTCTGAAACTCTGTGGCCGTCTGCCAGAAAACACTGGAGCCCTGCAGGTTTGATAAAGAGGGAGAGACACACTCCGGCTGCCTCGGACACACAAACACGCCTCCGCCATGAGCGCCACAACAAATGCGCTTAAAAGCAAGATCATAAAAGCGCACATGTGTTGTCAAATAAAAACTTATATGGACTCATTCTCACCCTCGCGCACATACCGCACTTAACTACCGGAAGCTTGTACGTTCATGCAAACACACGAGGTGAAAAGAGTTACATGTTGTGAGTTTTTAATGATCGCTTTGGGCAAAATTTCACAACACGGAGTTAGAAAGCGACTGTGCGAAGATGAAGAGCTGGAGAGGCTCGCCAAGGGTCTTATCTCTACGGTCAAAAATAGACGCCTCTTAAGAGCAGCGGTCATAAATCACCTCCAAACAGATGCACTGGTGTTAACAACGATATTCGACTTGAATTTAATCAGTTCAGCGTGTTTTTCAGACGTTATATTTGCATCAACATAACTGCGAACGTGTCTGCTGATTCCTGTTGGAGTGGGCCCCATTTCTGGCGTTTTGTCGACTCCTATTTCTGGAGCTATTTCATGATCACGTACTTGGACTGTTTACTGGTTTAAAGGAGACTCTCCTCAGAGACTGTTAATACTGCCAAAAAGAAACTGGTGTAATCCAGCCAGGTACAAGATGTACAGACATGTTTTTTAGGACATATTTGGGCAGGTTTAAAGGAAAAGGATAACGTTCAGGTTTTTGGCGTGGTCTGTTCATCACCATCATGGTCACATGATGGTTACATGATGTGAATTTAAGGTGAAGCACTCCTCTGTCAGTTTTTGACAGTTTTGTTGCAGAAAACTGGCCTATCCTCACTTTAACTGGTTTAAAGTGAAACATGTATGGATAAGTATAATCAGGTATCATCTGCATAATGTCGAAGACGCAAAGTAAGTTCTATTGAGTATCATCTGCATAATATTGAATATTTAGAGACACACATGACTTTGTATCATCTGCACAACACTGAACTCGTAAAGAAAGGTTAGTGGAGTATCAGTTGTGTAAATATAAATATAAATGTATCGTAGAATATAACTGTATTATCGCTGCGTAGCCCTTACATATGCAAAATTATGGCAAAGTGGAATCAGCAGAAATCGGAATACATATGAAAAGTATAACTAGCTATTATTTATCTTACTGTATTCTTCAGGGGATAATGTGCACCGGATTATATGGCGCACTGTGAATTAACGTGGCTATATTCACACATAAGGCGCACCATTAAGCATTGATTGGTTTATTGTTGCTAGCGCGTACTCCAGGCCACCTTACCTGAATGCACCTTTGGTTTAGAATATCCATTGAGCGGAGTGGCTTCGTTGCTTACAAATCGTACTTTTGGACAGATTTTTACCACAAAAAATCGGTCAGTAAGCACAACAAGTAATCATATATAAAGTGCGCTGGATTATAAGGCGCACTGCCAATTTTTGAGGAAGTCTAAGGATTTCAAGTGCGCCTTATAGTCTGAAAAATACGGTATGCAGAAACAGCATTGAAAATATAACCGGGTGTCATCTGCATAATGCCAAACGTTGATTAAAAAAAAGAACTGCTAGATTATCTCTGAAAAAGTATTGAAAGATTAATTAGGACTTATCTGCATTGAGCAAAAATGTATAGATATATAAAATATGGCGTCATCTGAAATACTCCAAAAATGCACAGGAAGGTACATTCAGGTGTCATCTACATAATACCGAATGTATATAAATATTTTTAAGACATTTTCCACATCACTTTAAAGTCCTGGTTGACGATCTGAGAAGCAGTTGAAAAAAACTAAACCGTTGATTAGATTGGTGGTCACATTTCCTCTTTGTCGCCGCCCTTTCTTCTGTCGGCTTGCGTTTTCTTCGCACTTTTGGCGGTGGGGTAAGCAGAAGTGTTGTAGCTAAGCTGATAGGCTACTTTTAGCCGCTCAGATCTCCGAGAAGGGCCTGGAGAGTGGGAGGGGACGAGTCGTACTGTGTGTCGAATGGTGATTGGATAGAGAGGCGGAGGAGGAGATTGACCAATAGGAGCTGTCCAGGGCCGATGGCTCCCATTGGTCAATGTTTTTCCAGCCCTGCACCTGCTCGGGCGAATGGAATTTTTCCGTTCTTTCTTCTCTTCACTTTGTGGAGATCGCACTCTAGGACCATGATCACCATAGAAACGAGGTTCATAATAATTATCAATTTATCCAATCATCAACCATGCCTTTAATTATGTATGAAAAGCTATTATAGTGTCTTCTGTACTAACTCAAACATGCATCGAAACGTACATTTGGGTATCGTCTGCATAATGCCAAATAGATCTGATCCAAGCTCTAAACCCTGTGGAACTCCAAGGCTAAATGAAGGTTCCCCCGTCCAGCAGAGTGTCCTGTTTATTACCAGACGTAGTAAAGTGTAATAAGAACCCTAAATGTTGAAGCACTTCCTTTTTCTTCACCCTTTAAGATTAACAGCTTTGTAAATCAGACGCTTCACCCCACTGACACTTAATGCACAGGCTGTGACTTTCACAGCAGGATGTAACTCAGCTTGATGAAGCTGTCTCCACCGGGTTCCACTCCTGATCTGGTGGAAATCCCTGCTCCCGTGTTTGGGTAAAGTTATTTATGTTTAGTGCCTCTTCTAGCGAGGTCTCAGCTGTTATTCCACCCCTGCTCCGTCTTGTCTACCTTGTCACAAAGCAGAGAAAGTACTCTGAAATACAGCCACCTCTCTCTCTCTCTCTCTCTCTCTCTACGCTCTCTACACACACATACACATCGGACCTCTGGCCTGATGGATTTGAATTACGTGGCCACCTTCTCCTCTTCCTAATCCCTTCAAATGAGAGTTGTGGTCTGCCAAGGAACTCCCAGACCAGCGCACACACACATGCACGTAGAAAATTGTAGCCCGGTTTCCAAGTGGCCCTCTGAGATATTCTTTTCAGGGTTTGGTGTCCAGTGAGGGCCAACCAAACACACACACACACACACACACACATCCAGAATCAGGCCACACACACAGATACACATGAGTTAATACATATGGACACGCACGCACTCACACATCTTCTCACACAGGGGAGGGAACAGTGAAGCATTGTTCCCCGCTTCCTGAGAGAGCCGGCATCAGGATCACAGGAGCTCTGTCAGCCCGGACCCTTCCTCTCTCTGGAGCCCAGTCATCCAACTCAGTATGGAGACTTATGAGCGTGTCTTCTGGATTAGAACAGGAGAATATCGCAGGCCAAGACGAACTATCCAAGTTTAAGGACAGTACGTTGCTGAAAGATTTGTGAAAGTTTCCAAATCCAAAAATAACATCCTGACAGCTTGAGAAATCTTCTCCTACTGTCTGCTCTGTTGCTGTTTTGGCTTCGACAGCCTCACAGTTTTTCTCACTAAACCAACAGTGAAGAATTTTACAGTAACTTACCCTCAAATCCCAAACCCCTCTCTATGATACCAAGAATGGGTGAATGATGGCGAATCAAAGGTCTCAAATAAGTGAAATATGACAGGATTGGTAAAAGTTACAGAACTGTAAAGAAGCTTTAATACAGTCAAGGTCCAATTGCGTCCTAAATCAAGGTCAATATTCAATCCCGTTTGTTGTTTTATTAGCATAGTCCATCCTTACTTAAAGGGATATTCCGTAAAATTAATTTAGGGTTAAACACACCGAAACACCAAGTTAGAAACCCAGTCGAGAGATGAATGTTGCCGACCCTTTGCTTCTCTAGTTATACCAACTTTAGTAATGACCGCACGATAGCAATACACAGAGAGACACGCCCTCAACCAAAATGCCACTCTATAGCCACAAATAATGTTCAGAAAAGCACCTAACTTCATCAACAGGACATGTTGGGTCCTAGCCACCAAACATCTTTTTAACTTTGCCTAATTTCTTTAGCAAAGAGACTAAACTGAACTTACCCACTCTCTTCCAGCAGCCATTTGTTGTTTGTTTTATGGACTTTCCATGAAAAAAATGATCATAAATGTTCTTCCTTGAGCTGTGTCACCCCGCTGTAGTCTGTAATGGACTGGCTTGAGGTCTCGCTTCAAACAAGCGGCTGCTGGAAGAGAGTAGGTGGCTAGTACTATGGCTAGGACCCTTTATGTCCTGTTGATGAAGTTAGGTGCTGTTCTGAGCATTATTTGTGGCGTTTTGGTTGAGGTTTGTTTATGGCTCCTCAGACCGCTGTGTATTGCTATCGTGCGGTCGTTACTAAAGTTGGTATAACTAAAGGAGCAAGCAGTTGGCAACATTCATCTCTCTACAGGGTGTCTAAACTTCAGAAGTGTATATCTCGCTGTTCGGTAGATTGTCTAACTAGTTTTTCCTTGAATTATCAATTCAGACTTTCTTTTCCAGCCTGAATGAAATGGTTTTGCCTTTTTTCTCGCCAATGATTTGCCTGGAGTGAGTTTGGCGGCGCACCACCTGATCAGTTTGATTAGGGCTTTCCAATTGCCTTTAATTACGCCATCAATCTTGGGTACTTTGTGTTCACAGTTGCTGCTCTGTTCTCTGATTTTGGAATCAGAGGATAAAAGATTTTGTTCAATTTGGGACCATCAGTTAATTTTATGCGATCAATGAAGGCCAGTTCCTTTCTGCAACAGATTCCAACCTTAACAGCTGGAACGTAGAAAACATTAACAGATAACGATGATAAAATATAGAACATTATCTGTTGTTTGGGCTTTTGATGGGACGGTGTGAAAGAAATCCAAAAGGAGGGGAAAGAAAGCACAAAGTTTCCAGCCTCTATACTCAGGGACCCCCCAAATGTAACCACGCTCAACTTGCACTCCTGAACTTGTGAAAAAAAGTGAGAAGTTGAGCATTTAGCTGTTGAGCCAATATGGCCGCCCATCTGCTCTTGCTATTACATCATCCGTGAGGCTTTCCAACTCTGTCAGGGAGCACAGGCCTTTGGGAAATATGATGTGGAAACCGAGTTTAACCCTTTGTGAAGCTTCGTAGCGGAGGGGGTCGGGGAGGATGTATATTTACGGACACTTCAAACCATCGCTCCTCGACTTCTGAATCAGAGCGGCGATTAACCGAGTTTATTGACACTGCGGTGAGTAACATCGGGTCTTTCATGTCGCTGGATGTTTTGAGCATGTGTGAGCCTAATGGACTCGAAGCTCGAGGGCCAAGGAGAGGACATCAGTTAAACACAGTTGGAAAATACAACACTTAGGGGACCCGTCGTTGGGATCCAAGTGTAAGACTTTGCCAAAAAAGGAGATATGCCAGCGCAACTAGAAAGCAGATAATAGGCTAGTAGTGGAATAACGGTCCCTCTTCGGACGTTTGTTTGGGAATTAAAGATGATTATTCAAGTCTTTGTCTTGAGTCGTTCCCATTATAAAAACAAACTAGACAAGAAGTTCGGAGCAGTCGGGATCCGCGCGCCGTCAGCTCATTGATTTGTTAGTGTTGAATCACCGAGAGGTTCCTCAGCGTAGAGATGAAATGCGAGCTAATGGGGCCAGCTTTGCAATTTTAGGATTTGGCTAAGTGGAGTCAAGGCTCGGGGAAGAGAAACTGCTGTCCAAGGAGCACTCAGGAGGGGAGCGAGGGGGGATGGGTCGTTTTTTTTCCCCCCCTCCATGTTTAAAACCTGTGGAGTGATTCCCAGTCATGAGTCCCTCGGTCTCTTGAGTCCCGCATGTCCAAACTGGCCCTCCCAAACGCTCACATTTTCCCCTCGGTCTTTCCAAACGCTTTTACTGCTAGAAAAACACGAGTAAGGGAAGTAACGCGTAAAATCATTGAAACCTTGATCCGATTTCAGATCCTTGGCTTCAAAAGTAGTGGAGGGTATCGCATGGATGCAAAGCGACGACGTTTTAATGCAGCAGGAATAACAGTCGGAAGAGTCAGACGATATAAAAGTCAGGATCAGTTACAGGGATGGAAATTGAAGAGTCGGTTTGGTTTTCTAATGGCACTGATTTACAAATTGAAACCGACACCAAAGTGTTCAATGTGGAGAAAACACGATAAAAACTCGATCAAAAACAGAAACAAACACTCGGAAAGTTTTGAACTTTGCATATTTTAGAAGAACACTAATAAACGCTGACACGAAATCTGTTTCTTGAAAAGCTAAATTCTCTTGATAAAATGTTCAACATGATGAAACTGACAATTTGAAAGTGATTAAAGAGTTAGACCGAACTCTTTTACATCTCTAAAAGGTCTGGAAATGGAAATTTGCATCGCTTTGGTTGCGTTTGTAAACATCTGTGGGATAGATTGGTTTGAAATGTGGCGCACATGTCCGTGATGTTGACAGGATAAATAATAGTAATGAGATTGACATCTAATACAAGCATATTGAATAAAACTGTGGTTTTCTCCTCAACTTTTCTGTCAGTGTTGAATATTATATTAACAGAAAGCCAAAACAAAATTCCCTTTTTATTTTTTTTTAGACCTAATTTAACCGTTTAGATTTTGTGTATTTTTAGATGGAATTTAGACGTTGCACTTTAACCCATTATCCGATCAACTGTGAGTTGCATAACGGATCTCCAAGTACTTAACCAAAGTAATTACGATAGCTGTTGAGCAATATACAGTGTAGTATACATATAGCCCAGATTTAGACTTGGTCTAAATTTAGACGTCTAAAAAACTAATTTTTAGACCTGTGGTAGCCTGATTTTAGACCAGTCGCCTAGGTTAGTGGTTCTCAACTGGTGGGTCCCGACCCAAAAGTAGGTCGCGGACACGTTCTGGATAGGTCGCGAACAGGTGGTCAAAAAAATGAAAATTTAATGCGCTTCTGATGTTTGAGATGTCTTTTATTTTGAAAAATAGCTTATTTTGAAAGGCACGCGTTATTTCGTGGTATGGTTTCATATTAATGTGGCCTGAATGCAGTAAAAATATGGTTTTTGTTTTGGTCTTTATTTTGTCCAATTTGATATTTGACATTTTCTGTATACGCAACTTCATGTGCTCTGAAATGCGCTTTACTCAGTAAGATCGGTGTATTTATGTTTAAGATTTGAGTCTTTAAAGTTTTTTTGTTTTTATAAAAATAGATTAGCTTGGTTTGAATTTTATAAAAGTAGGTGACGGCTTAAGGACCAATGGGAAAATGTGGGTCCAAGAGTGAGACCAGTTGAGAACCACAGGTCTAGACTACATTAAGACGTTTATTAGACCTCTTTTAGACCAAAAATTGCCCAATAGGACACTCTAGACCAGTTAGCTTAGCAGTCCTTACATGTGTCAACAACATTATCACTCAAAATCTGTCCTGCGTATTTGAACATTTTCTAGGTTTCCACAACAGTAGCGGTGTTGCAGCCCATGTGCATGTTTACATTCTACGGCCATGTAGCGCCAAAATACAGACACTGCCGAAATTGCAGTCAGATTCTCTATCTGTTAAATAAAAATAAGAGGCCACGTTAAAAGACTTTTTAAAGCCATCTGAATACATTCAAACTATTAAGTTGCGGAAAGTCTTTGCTAGCTTAAACATAACCAACTAAAAGTATACAGTTCGCAGGTTTGTTAGCTTGTTGTCTACTTAAGGTTTTGATATAGTTACGTAAGTTTGGTCAAGTTTTAAAGTTACCTAACCTAAGTTTGAGTCTGTTATATAACTTATGAACATGATGATCACTTTGTTGATGCCAGCCTGACCACAGATTATTCCATTACATAACCACAATCGCACTTCTGGTAAGTGAAACTTAATAACACCGGATTATGTAACTTTGATAATGTTGTCGGGTGAGTCGAGGTATTCACAATCTGTCAATCATGTCAGCTATTTACTGCAGTGTGTTGATGTTCCCACGCCTGACCGGTACATTTATCGTAACTGAAACTATTGTTATTGTGAGGTGATGATTAACAGCGATTTAAAGTTCGGAGACTTTGACGAGAAAGGCCTCTTCCTGGCAACAAATCCAAAGAAACTGGACAATTTGAGAAATATAGTCACCCCCTACTTACCCTTCTTACTATAAAGTTTTTATGCAGCTTAAAAACTATATAAATCAAGATACTGCTTAGAGTACTCTGTGTACTTTTGTGTAGTCTTGTTATACACCAACAGAGCGTTAAGTCTTTCTCTGATGTTTGTTATCTCCTCCTTACTCACATGAACAGAAACCTCCCAAAACTTAATGGACACACTAAACACACTGACCTCCTCACACACACACACACACACATGCACAGACACACACATAGATTCCCTGTGAAGTCTAACCTCGTATAAAGTCCTCCTCAATAACTATGAATCTGTCGACCAGAACCACAAAAAAAAGCAGGGAGTGTGTTTTGTCAGAGGCAGAGATAAAAATCCACTTTCACTCCATCTGTTGTGTCAAGCGGGCTCCCATCCACTCATGCATGTGTGAGCCTCCCCCCCCTACACTTCACGCCGCGGTAGCTGTCATCACACGCCGGCTCGCACAATAGACGGCGTGTCTGGACCCGGACTCCGCAGTCAGCAGGATTTTTACGGGATGTGCTCTGATTGTACGCAGATGATGTGACGACCTGTTGCACTTCCTTTTCTCTCATCGCATCAATGGGATACGTGAAGGTTTATGGAGGTCCTGCACAGTCCTGCACAGTGGGGGGTGATAAAATAGCCTGAAATTAATATGCATGTCTCCATAAAAGCTAAAGGCTAGTGGTGCTAGCTCCGCTAATCTGTCTTGCCTTTGGTTCTACTCGTATCGGGTTATCCGCTGCTTTCCAGGTTGATCTTGTTTGTAGTCCCTCCAGAACCTGGTCTGGGTTTGATACTCGAGGAGAAGTTTTCCCGTTTGTATCTTTACTTGAAAGCAGAACTCTTGCTTTCGCCGGTTTCCCTCAGTTTTGTTTTGTTGTATTCGTTCTGTCACAGGAATTCGGCTGGATTAATGTCATGTGTGTGTGGTCGGACTCTTAATAACTTGTTGTCCTAATGTTTAAACTAAGAAACTTTTTCCAGAGAGCATCTTCTTCTTTTTTACTCGGTTTACGCTGATTAATCGAAAACACGTTCGGACAAAGAAAGAGACGGATGAGTGTTTTTATTAAATATTTTGCTCGCCCGGTCTTTGACAGAGTCCGGAGAAACTTCAAGTCTCTCAAACCAATTTTTATACCCAGTTATTAGCTTGGAGGTGTTTTCATTTTAACATTAAACAACTTTTTCCATGTTTTTAAATCTTAAACCAAACGTTTCTGAATGGTACGACAGAGTATTAGAGCCTCATTAAGAGGAAAAAATTGAATACTCTGAGATTAAGGTCATTAATTCATGAGATAAGTCATTACTAATGAGAATGAAGTTGTAATAAAGTCTTTACTGACGTGAATAAAGTCGTAATAAAATCATTACTTATTTACAAGAATGAAGTCATAATAAAATTATTACTATTTTACGAGAATAAAGTTGTAATAAAATAATTACTTAAAAGAATAAAGTAGTAATAAATTCATTATGATACTGATGACAATGTGGTTTACTTTGTTACGAATTGATTCTAGTAATTACTTTATTACAACTTTATTCTCGTCAATGAGCAACAAATTTATTCTGACTTTTCTTATGCAATAACTTAATCATAACTTTATTCCCATAAGTTAAGATTTTATTACGACTTTATATCGGAAGAAATCACTTTATCGCGACTTTATTCTCATAAGTAACAAAATTATTCCGACTTTATTCTCGTAAGTAAAGATTTTATGACGACTTTATATCGGAAGAAATCACTTTATCGCGACTTTATTCTCGTAAATAAGTAATGAAATTATTTCAACTTTATTCTTGTACGTAAAGATTTTATTACGACTTCATTCTCCGAAGAAATTACTTTATCATGACTTTATTCTCTTAAATAAGTAACGAATTTATTCCAATTTAAGTCTCCTAAGTAATAACTTAATCACAACTCTATTCCCGTAAGTTAAGATTTTATTACGACTTTATTCACAGAAGTATTGATTTTATTCTGACTTTTTTTTCTTGAGTAATTACTTTACATCAACATTATTCTCGTGAGTAAAGATTTTATTACGACTTTATTCACAGAAGTAATCCCTTTATTTTGACTTTATCCACATAAATAAATAAATAAATAAATAAATAAAGATTTTATTCTGACTTTATTCTCGGAAGTAATGACTTTTTTTTTGTAAATAATGACTTTAATCTTTAAGACTTCATTTTTTTTTCCTTAATGTGGCTCTAACACTCTATAATATAAAGGGGACGCTGATTATAATTAAAATTGAGGTTATATTTACCATAAAACTGTTGGATTAATATGTCGCCTTTGCAACATTTTCAATTAGTTTTGGGATTTAAATGATTGAAAAACCACAAAAACCCTTTTTTAACAGGGTCTTGTAGACGTAGGGTTGTATTTGCTGTTTATTCTTGCATGCTGTTGTTGAATCGTTGTGTGCGAATGCATGACTCAGACTTTAATTACAATATTAATCTTTACGACGATATAAAATGGTTTTATAATAAAACTGCGTTTTCCAATAACGATCACAGGTGCAGATTTTTGTGGAAAATTAAAAAGTTGGATATTAAAAAAGTCCGTTTTAAGTTTTATTTTGGTGCTAAAGTATATTTGATGCGGTTGCTGCACATGTTGCATCATTTCTGGATGGAGTACAGCTCTCATAAGGAAGCGTCCTTCCTGCAAACTAAGTATTTAACTGGAATGAGCGCTAACCGGATTTATGGCATGTGTGTGTAATTGCTCTCATTATTATTCGCAGCTGAATAGAAAAGAAGCCACACTCACACACACACACACACACACACACACACACACACACACACACACACACACACACACACACACACACTGAGTCTGCTGAGATGCGGCCCCCAAAGAAACTCAGCTTTTCCCGTAAGCGCCCCGTCGTCTACATTCAGACACAGTTCCTGCTATCTTTGGAAAAGAGGAAATCTGCTTATGCATCAACATGACGGAGAGAGAGAGAGAGAGAGAGAGAGAGAGAGGGAGGAAGAGGACAGGTTTCATTAGAAAGAAGAGGTCGAGCGGAAAGAAATTAATAAAAAGAAAAGAAGAGAGGTGAAGGAGTGCAGCTCTGTAATCTCCCCCTCCTCATCTCTGCTTGTTATAGAGTCATTAGGAGGGCTTTCAGACCGTGACGCTTACAACCTCCCTGAAGGGCACACACACACACACACATAAACACACACACAGACGCACACAAGTTTCCTCCACATCCCAGTTCCCAAAGACGTCTCAGTCGACCCCTGCTGCCCGAAATGAGACCAAAACATCTCGTATTTAGGGTGGAAGCGGCTGCCAAACAGGAGGCGTAACAAAACAGACAAAGAAGGAACAATTTCCCCTCCGTCTCTGAGGGATCGCTGATTTAATTGTCTCGTTAGATGTCTGGTTATTTGTATGTATACGTGAGCGTGTGTGTGCTCAGACTTCTGAAACTGAAGGATGAAAAAGTTGAGAGTAAAGATCCACCTGCAGGAGGCGGAGAGAGTGATGGTTGAAGAGAGTGAATTTGTCTTTGTCGCTGGTCTTTTTTGGGTTGGTTCGGCTGACATCTCCTCCACCTAATCCTGTCTCATTGTGTCTTTGCGGTACAGGTGCGTAGTCAGGGTGTCACGGAGGAGCTGAAGTGTCTGAGTTTACTCAACGCTCTGGACAAAGACCAGGACATCCCCGACCAGCTGGCCCAGCTCTTCGGAGAGCCCTGCATCAAACTGGCTGAAGGCATCAAAGCGTACATCTCCAAGGTAAGAGCGAAACCTGAAGAGAGTCCGCGCTATCAGGTTTGAGAGGCAGGGGCCTTAGGCTTGGTGTGCTTCCTCAGTCTGATTGGTCGATCAGATTGAATGCAACTGTTGAACAGTACAAGCTGAGATGGTTTGAGCATCCAACTCAATAATCCATTGGAAAGCCAACAAGGAGGCAAGTTTTAGCACTTTATATGCTGGAAGTTCATCCAGAGAGAACTTCTCCAAGTTTCCTACAATGGAAGGAAATCCAGATGGCACTTCTTTTTACCCTAGAGCCACCTACAGGACATCTTGAGACTTCTTTTTCTAAATCAAAGTTGTTTTTGGATGTGTGTAGGTAGGCTATGGAAAGACAGGTGAGGAGATGGAGGACGGTTCAAAAGTTGTAGCGGCTGAAGTAGACAAAGTTAATGTAGGAGGGGGTGAGCAGCTTGTGGAGTAGTTATCGTCCATTTATCGTTATCGAGGTGAACTGATCAATATATCGTGATATTGATTTGAGGCCATATCGCCCAGCCCTATAACCAGGTTTGAATGTTTAAAAAAGAAACCCAATACTCCATACCCAATCAACTCAATTCTTAAACTCTTACATCAACGAATCGTTGACCAGAAGAAGTCCCTAAGTCATCTGTCGCACCCTGATTCATGGATTGGCCCCAGAAGTGAGGCCAACTTCGACTCGATCTGCTTTGTCAATATGATATATATGACATGATATTGATTTGAGGCCATATCGCCCAAACCTATCTGATCGTCAATCAATCGAAATGTAAAAAAATTCTACCTACAGGTCGTCCTGAATGTGTATTTTTAGGTTTTCTTACATTGGAAGGAAATCTAGAGGGTCCTTTTTACATTTGAGGGCACTTTGTCGCGTTTTTATTCTTCTTGATTGTGAAAGAAAGTTCCTCAGGCGAGTCTCACATGGTCACGTATGGAGAACTCTTATCTAACACGGTCCCAGAGTCCATCAAATAAGTCGTCTGTAGATATAATGATCTACTTTTTACTTTGACGTGATGTAGTTTTCAACCTCTTCACACTCTGCTGACCCCCGGGGTTCAGAACAGATGGGTTACAGTAAGCTGAGAAACATCTGTGGGGACTGATGCGGAAACTCTGGGTGGGTCTAATTGGGCGTATTTGTCATCGACCTTCAGCTACGAGGGGGTATTGTTCATCTCGTAAAAGCATGTGTGTTTGATTGAATCATCTCAGATGACCAGGATGAGCTTGTCTTCCTAAGTGATAACATCTTTGGCAAATCATCCAATTAAAGGTTAAAAATCTGTGAATTTTAGGGACTTTTTGGAGCTTTTACGGTTTATTAAAACTAAATTTAAGAATAGTTTGTTCTTTTGTCGGGGTCTGGATGTTCCCATGTGAATTTTAAAGGTAATTCAATCTCCTCGGTGACTTTGGCTGAAACACAAACTTTTGCATGACTCTGAAACAAGAACAGAACGTCCAATAGGACGAAATTAGACTTATTAAAGAGCAGATCTGATTCAGAAACTGAATTTTGATGGATGTAATTCTTCGTTTGTTCTCTTCAGACGAGTTTTAGCAGGTCACAGTCTGAGTAGTTGGTGACAGCGATGGTTTAATCTGTAAGCATCGTTGTTGACAGCGTCAGTCGTCGGGTATTACCACCGTTGAGCCTGTTTTTGCTACAAGTCGACTTTTATTGGCTCTTACTTGTACCTACACGAGTCAAGAGCCGTGTGCCCCGGGCTGTTTAAGAGCACACACGCTGATCTCCAAGTAAAAATCTGTCCGTCTGGTCATCTGTTCGGATTCAGTCTTATTGGATTTTTCAGTAAAACGACATCTGAGGTTGAAGTTGTGAAGTTAAGTCCAGGCGTTTGGATTTAATGAGGTCTTTGTAAGTGATTTGGTGCGAAGTGTTTCTTCTCGGGGGAAATTAAGACGAATGTCTTCACGCAGCGCTTAATCCGTGACGAATGAGAGGTTTAAAAATACGCTGAATCAAACTCACACATGACAGAGGGTTAGGGTCTAAAAAAGTCATTATGCTCTTTCAGCTCCTGGTAGAAGCTTTTACGGTCGAAAAACGAGCAAAATAGACTCCACAAGGGGGCGCCAAATTTGAAACAAACTAGAAGTTCCTCGTGAAGCTTTAAAGATTCAAGTTTGACATCAGAATTTGGACCCGGAGAGCAAAGACATCTGCCAAAGCAAATGTCCAAGTGGAATCAGACCCAAAGTTTAACGGGTTCTTCCGCCGATCCACCAAGTTTTATGAAAAACAGCCGAGTCGTATTTTAGTTGTACAAAGAGACACCGGAGAAACGAAGGGTCCGACCTCTTGGTTTCTGCCGCTCAGATTCAAACAGTGAAGCGAATGTCAGAGTTAGTTTTAAGCACCTTAACGGCCTCCATTAGGGTTGTTTTCAGAGCACCAGTCCTTTCCACTTTAAGGCTAATTTAGCTTAATTGTTGTGCAGCAGCTACATGTGATTAAAGTGGCCATTATTCCCAAGATCGGGAGTCGTAATCCCCGGGCTCCTTGTGTCCACATGTCAAAGTGTCATTGAGAAAGACACTGATCCTTTAAATTGCTCCTGATTGTGCGCACATTGGGGAAAATTGTGAGCCAATTTGTAGGAACGTGTGAACTGAGAGTAATGTCTTTGTGTTGAAACACTTCGGCCCCGGGGCGCGCTCACCTTCCCATCTGCTGCTGCTGAGTTCAGCGTTTAAACACCTGGAATCACTCGGCTTTGATAAGTGGGATCTGACATGAGATGTTTTCACCGAGCAGAGATTTTTCACAGGCCCAACATGATGGATCTGAACCCTGATAGATCCTGGAAATATGAACCAAGATCTGACTGTACTTGCAGTTGTAAAACAAAAATAGACAATTTTTCCTGAGATATTACAGACCTGACCTGAAACAGACAAGAGAGTGAGTATGTCTAACCAAAATCAGACAAGTCTTGGAGCTAGAATTTAAACTAAATTATCCAGAACCCTGATGGAGACTTTGAGTGACCAAACTTTCCACTTTGATGCAAAAAAATTTCTGCAGTGGTCTTAAAAATAAACACTCTTTGTTCAAACCTGGTAACAGTAAAGACAGTTTCATGGCAAAAATATTTGTTAGGCTTAGGGGACTGTGAGCTGAGCTGCTGCTACCCTAAACTCAGTTTGTTTCAAGCATTGCTCCTAAGGTTTGAATCCATTTTTTCAAAAACTGGAAAGAAAAGAAGCATTGAAATACAAAAAAACCCAAATAAACAACAAAAAAACAGGTTTTCCAGGGCTGTGAGCTGAGCTACTGCTACCTCAAACTCATTTTTAGGCATTTTTAAAAGTTAGAGATCCGTAACTTTTTATATCTCATGAGGTTTTTAGTTATAAAAATATTTTAAAAAGGCAAAAACATCAACATGATGATAACAGATGCGACTCAAGGGGCTGTGAGCTGAGCTACCAATACTATATAGATTTTTTTAAGCTTCTTTTTAAGTTAGAGATTTTTCATTTTTTTAAATCCATGTGATATTTAGTTTGAGCAGAGTTTAACTTTAAAGAGGAAAATGAAAGGCATTACAGTTCAGGTTCAGTGTTGTTGGGGGCTGTCAGCTGAGCTACTGATACCCTAAACTCTGTTTCTTAGCTCCTTTTTGAAGTTTGAGATCCCTTGCTTTTTGAAGTTTAAGAGATAAAAAAGCACTCAATTCAAAAACCACAGAGCGTTCAAAAACGCTCTATGACGTGTTTTCAGGGGCTGTGAGCTGAGCTACAACTACTGTACACTCAGTTGTTTTTTTAAGCTTCTTTCTAAGGTTAGAGTTTTTTTTGTTTTTTTAAATGTATGCAATTTTCAGTTGGAGCAGAGTTTTACTTTAAAGACAAAAATAAAAATCACTTACAGTTAAGGTTCAGTGTTTTCAGGGGCTGTGAGCTGAGCTACCGATACCCTAAACTCTGCTTTTTGGCTTCTTTTTGAGGTTTGAGATCCCTTGCTTTTTGAAGTTTTAGAGAAAAAAAGCACTTACTGTTTAGGTTCAGTGTTTTCAGGGGCTGTGAGCTGAGCTGCTGCAATTGTAAACTCAAGTTTGTTTCAAGCTTTTGATCAGGGTCAGAGATACTTGCCTTTTTAAAGACTTTTATGTGGAACAAACCATAAAAACTATAAAGAAATAATATGACATAAGCATACCGATGCTCTTTGACGTTCCCTCAGGGAGTCTGAGCTGAGCTGTTATTACTTAAAGCTTGTTTTCCTGTTATAAATATAGATCTCTAACGATTGAGGGCAATTATATTTTAAATGCTGTGGGTTAATTGGAAAGAGATGGCGCCAGAATCGAATAACACGAAAAATTATTAAGCTGGAAATGATTGTAGGTCCAGCTGCCACGCGTCACATTTGGAACATGTTGAAAACGTTTGGTGTGACATCCAACTGCAAGTAGGACCAAAAAGCAAATCCAGAAATCATTTATATTTAGAAACAACCACGACATGAAGATATCTGCCATCCTGCGCATTAATAATCACAAAGCCGTTTATGAATAGTCCCTGTATGTATGGGCCTCCTCCAGGCTCCAAACTTTGGTCTAAACTTGGAAGTCACATGGGTTCAGACAGGCTCACTGATATAATTAAAGCCACACACTCCTGCAGTCAGAGAACAGACTGTGACTGACACACAATAATGTCAGACTCCCCCTCAGTGCGGAGGTTGAATCAGCATGAAAATACCAATGACCCCGGGCAGCTGCGGTTTAAGAGTTCCCCGTCACTCACTCTAACACACACAAACACAAACACTCATTCATAAACCCTGTGAGTCACTCCCACAATATGAGTCGTCTTTTTGGAGACGCTGCCAGGACGACTTTTCCCACTTAGTCTGAACGTCTGGGCGCTTACAGGGGTATATCCTCATCCTCCTCATTTCCTATCGTCTGTCTGTGTTCAAAGCGGCGCTTTCTCGAGGCCAATTTCTTGCCTTCTTCGTCTTTCTTCTGCTCTACTTGCTCGATACAATCAGGGATCTGCTCTTTAAACCCAAGTGGACGGGAACGGGAATGTCTAGTTTTCCCTCCAGTGTAAACAGGTTATCTGGAAGTCCGTGAAATTGCTGGTGACGCATATTTTTAAACTGAAAAAGAGGAGAGAAGTCGAAACTAACCTAGTTTTACAACTTTGCTCTGGTTTACTTTAACAAAGACGCCTCAGATTTGGTTATTTCTTGTTGTTCTTCGGTTTGCGTCACTCTTTGAAAACTTTCCAAAAAGTTATAGTGGAGATAAAACGCCTAAAATAGCGGTTAAAAAAAGGAGCTGGCGGATCAAGCAGACACTGTCTATTGTCTCATAAAATACTTCTCTGGGATCGACTCGTGATCCAGATTTTAGTAGCGGGTTTTATGAAGATGGATCATGAGGCTGAAAGGCAATTACACACCAATACACACCAATGAATCACACCAATGTTATGAAGTTCAGCTGTGCATAATCTGTTTAGCAATCAAAGCTCTAATTACCGAGCCATGAGGACATGACCCCAGTGCTGTTTTTACCGGAGGCATTATCACCACGTTTACTGCCAAAAGTGCTCAGAAACCATCGGAGAGCTAGCTGGGAGTGGATGTGTTATGCCAAATTGGGATAATGGTGGTTATTGTCGGAGTTCAGGGGATTACAGAGCCTTAAATCAGTGCCATGCCTTTTCCAACGCACAGGACAGAATTCATGGTCGACATGATGAAGCTGGAAGGATGAGGCTTGGCTTGACCACTCCCTCTAAGATGAGTGTCTGAAACTGGGAATCATAACAGTCCTAATAACTTTTGGGCCAGGTAGATCAAGAAACCCTTGGTATGCCAGATGGTGTTTGACCGTTTACAAGAAGTCCTTGATCGGTTTGTTGACATTCGTGGTTGTCATCTCACCATCCCATGAAATTCGGTAACCTGACCAAAGCACTGTGATTCTTATGACCGGTCTGATTTGTCCTGATCTGCTTTCTTGCTGTGAGATTCAAGAGAAGATGGGAACCAGTCTGCGTCTTCCATTGAAGCCAGTTAGCCTAGTTTAGCTCAAACGCCAGGGGCAAAGGGGAACCATTCGCCTGGCCCCATCTGGTAGGACAAGAAAGTTGTCCAAGCAGGAGCGCTAGAACCAAAAATACGACAAAAATATTAGGTTTGATCTTGTGAAAGAGTGTCAGACAAGTCGTTTCTACCATAGCCGGAGCCATACTTGACACCCTTCCATTGAGATCGCAAAAAGTTGATCCTAAATTCCCAATCACACAACTTTGAAGTAGGGATGTTCTGGTCTGATATCACCAAGAAAAGAAATATCAGATTATCTCGGCCTGCATCTAAAATCTCTGATATAAGCACTTTGATACAAGCAGTCCATTCCAGACTCCACTCCAGCACCTCTAGCTAGCAGGAGTGATGTCAGCTGTGTGGCAGTATTTTTCGTTAAAATCCGAAAAAAGACGTAGCTAAATGCAAAACTTGTCATGCACAAGTTGGTGCCAATACCGGATGAATATCGGTATCAGCCAATAATGAAGGCTACAATATCAGGTAAGTATTGGATGTACTTTTAAGACAACACAACCTCTCTAAACCAACTGATTTTAAAGGTGTTGAAATCGGAGAATCAAGTTCTGGCATGTCGGAGTGTAGCTTCTATGGACTTTCTGTGTAAGAGGCACGTCCCAGTTGTAAATGTGTTGCGAAGGGCTCGCAGGATGATGGAGATACTTTCCCCGGGGGCAAATAAAGGTCAAGTCCCAGTGACGGCACTGGTTGCAGCCGGTTGGTTCAGCTTGTTGGTGTCTTAAAGGCATCCCAGCTGTTGAAGCGAACAGGTGCTGGGGAAAGCTCCAACCGCGGCTCTGCACTGCTTCTCTAAGACTTTTGATCCAGTACTATTGCAGTGTGTTGAGAAATTTAGACTTGGACGGAAATGCTTAAGTCTTGACATGTAACAGGAACACTATCAGGTCAAATTCAGAACGAATGGTCGAATAATATCAATTTATTGTCAGATTAGGGGTTTAAAGTACCTAAAGTAAGCAATTAGTTAAAAATTCAGTCATTTGGAATTAAATCAGCCCAAACCAGATCTCTCTGATAGATGCTCTCTGAACCTCGCCATCTACTATCAAGAGTAAATGGAACAAAAAGAGGAGGGAAAACTCAAAACGAATGAAAATAAAGACAAGAAAGTGGAGCATTTTTGCTGCTTTGGCTTCATTTCACCATCTGGGAATCATCAAAAAGTGTTCATAGATTCCTCTGAACTGAAGCAAATAGGATCAGGAATGATTGATGATGACGGTGTGGCAAATGAGCACCATAATTTTGGCGTGAAACGATGAAGATAAAGCCGATTATGTCGACCGAAGTGATAGATACGAGTGAACTGACAGACGTTGGGGGAAAATAAAGGAATCGCTGTACGAGAGAAAAAAACCAAGAAGGAAAGAAGGTATTAAAACAAGGAGCTAGACAGGATCCATAAAAATGAAGCAGATGACAGGTTTGGAAAGTGATGGTGCTGCGGGTGAAGAAAAAATAAAAGACGAGGGGAAAAAGTTTAAACAGAGTGAGAAACCAAAGATATTTTTACAGTTATGAGGTTTGAACTCGCGGAGGCGGAAGAAAAGAACGGAAAATAACGATACGGCCGAGTTCAGATTTGGGTTTTATATGTAGGCCTGTTCGTCTGTTATTACCCCCACTCTTTGAGCTTGATTATGATTGGTCAAAACTACATAATAATGAGGATTAAAGGGTAATGACAACCTAAATCTTCAATTGAATTACCCGATGGCAAACCAATAAGAGATGTCGCAATTTGGCTGTTGGTTCGAAGTCATGGGTGGGCTATTCTCTGAGAACGGCAATCCGGAGGGGAATCATTTGAATCCACATAACCACCCTTTCACAATACATTATTTCATTATGATACGATTGGTGCATTTCGTATAAACGCGTAAAGCTATCCTGGCAAACGTCAATGGCGAAGATCTGTTGCGTATCGCGAACTCCTCAGAATTCGCACTTTTAAAGAGTTATTGTTGGATTGATTCTCACTCACCTTGTCTTTTCTACTGTTTTAAAAAAAGAGTATCTTATACACATGGATGGAAATTGGATGGATGGATTAAGAACTCCGTCCAAGTTTGAAGCTGGAAAAGAACCAGAAGAGGATTTAGATGAAGAGGAGGAGGAAAGAGACAGCTGTGCGCTCCTGGAGTTTCCTTCTGGTTTTGGTCTCCTAAATTGGAGAATCCAGCTCCTGCGCTCTTTGATCTTCTTGTAGTTCAAAAAGAAATAAACGCTTACAGGGGGGAGTCCAGAGTTTATACACTTCCATGTCAAAGTGAGAGACGGTGAGCCAAAAAGGAGGAGCAAAAGGGACTTGAACCGGGCCGGGAGGAACAACAGAGAGGGATTTAGGATGGCATGCGTGTAACTCCTCTCAGGTATTCGGATCTTAATCTCTCAGCTCCTGCAGAGACCTGAGTAACTTTCCTTCATTCCTCTACCCCGCTGATCCCGGTTTGAGACAGCAGTGAAGCATGTGCACCTGCTGGGACAAACTGCCGATACATCAGCTCCCGGTTTGCAGATGTAGTGGAGGATTAACGGAGGATAACGCTTCCATCCCAGCGGGAATCTGATAACCGTTAGCTTAAATTCCAGTTGAGAGCAGTTTAGCGCAACTTTAACGCCACTCTCATCAACAGAGGCAGCATGTGTCCCGGAGTTTAAGACAATGCCTGTTGTTTTATTGTATTTTCACAGACAAAACCGATGAAGACAAGAGCAGCAGTGATCTTTTGTGGTAGACTGTTTCTCCTTGGTTCAAAAAGTCAAAAACTGAGCACTGGAAGGATTAACTTTGGTTTTAAGGTGTTAGATGAAGTTTGGAAATATCAGCCAAGACCCAAAAGACATTCCTTTAGATTTATTGGATTTGGAAAGCGGCCGGGAGGATAAAGTGATCATAGTTTTGTCTAAAAGGTGGTAGGAATCCTGTCTCTGTAGGAAGACAGATGAGGAAACTATTTAACCTTGTTAAAAAAAGAAGTAAACCCATAAAGTTTAAAGAGTTCTTGGACTTGTAATCGAGGAAATTCCAGGTTTAAGATAACTTAAGTGACCGTTACGAGGCTTTTGACCATGTCAGGTGGTCTTTGTTGCTCAGGAGACACATCAAGGTGTTTTTGGACGGTTTGAACCCGTTGAACCTAAAGCTCCTGAGATGAGTTTTTCCCTTGACCAATGGAAGATCAAACCTATCTTCTTATCTTGCACCGCAGGAGCTTTTGGTCTTCAATGGCCACCAAAGGGTAGGTGGTAAGAAAGGGGGCATTTTAATCTGGAATCTTGATCGATCAGTTCAAGGTCCTTGGTCAAGTCCAAATTCCTGCAGTCAAGAGATCCTGTCAAGAAAACGTGGGTAACTCAAGATCCTCCCACCTTATTTTCTGTGAGGTTTGAACTTGGGACCATCTGGTCTTTGTAGAGGTTTGCAGTGAGGTCAAGAATCGTCCTTGGTCCATGGTACCTCAAAGACCCTTCTTTGAACTTTGCGATGAAGACCAAGGGGAACAACTGGTGACGAACCTTGAGTAAAGACGTCAAGAGGCCAAGAAAAGGTTTTATTAGGTAGACAAATAAATCGATGGTAAGCAAACATCATAAATTCTGTCTGCGGACAGATTTATTGTCTTATATTGCCATTACAAGATGAATTATCACGAGCTGTACTTTATTGACTATCGTCCCGTCACACTCCAGCGTTTCATTTCTTATCGAAGTTTAGTTTCCTTGGAGAAACAAAGCTCCACCGGCCTCTCTTTGTCTGACTCAGACTCATTGTGGTGCCGTATCTCTGAATCTGCTCCGTGTCAAAGCTCTGATGTCATGGCGAATATTTGGCCTCCGCTGCTGATGCAAAGCAGCTGTTTTGACATCGCGGGTCAGGGTGTGGACGGACACTCTGAGGGCTTCGAACATCATGGGATTTGGCTCGGAAAGAAGCCGTTATGAGGGCAGGCATGAGTCTCTTTGGTTATTGATGAGCTGAAAATGAGTTTCTTGAATCTTAACAGATTTGATTATCCGTTAATCTCTCTCCGCTTGTCTTCTGTTTTCCTAATGAAAGACTCTGTGTTTCCAAAAAGCTAAACCTCTTTGTTTGAAGAACCTCAAAGAAAGCTCTTGACATGATCCGCTACCAAGAAAGGGACAGTAAACCGTAAGTCATTGATAGAAGTAAAAAGTCAACGGGACACATGACGTGAAAGTTTTACATAAAGCGTTGAAGTTTTATTACCTCCAAGGTTTTTCGGACTTGTGGGTTTCGCCCATGAGGAAACTAAAATGACTGACATCAATAAGCGTCAGTAAGTGTAGTCATTGAATATCAATAAGCCTTTGACTGTAAATATCATTAGCTTAATGGGGCCCAAATTCTCAGTCGTTGTTGCTTGTCCTACCCGAACACTACACTAATTGTGTTTCGTTGATCATGTGTCTTCTCCATGTGACTTCCAAAAGACTCAAACATGCACATGATGTTCCACCGAAAACACGGAGCCCGTCGGCCATGCATGGTTGTCCCGGCAATTTGGCATCTTTAAGAGATGTATTCAAACCGTCGTAAATGACACAGTCCAAAGCCTGTGGAGCAGAGTGAACGAAGACGGGTGCGACAAGTAGGATTTGGGCGCAACATGAATCAGACCAATCAAGTAGAGCAGCAAAACCTCATTAATCATGTCAAACGCAAGATAGACAGACACTAATTGACAGATATGATGCACCATCATCAGTGGTGGTTTAGCTTTGGTGCCGCGCAGGGCCAAGCGGAGAGCCAAATACAGACATCTGCAAGCCCAACGTTCCAATAAATTCTGGATTTGATTAAGATACCATCATGTCTAGGTTAAAGGTAGGGTAGTCAGGATCTGAGGAAGTGTCAGTTTTTTGGGTGAAATCTTGAATGGAAACTCTACCCCTTCCAAACAGTTTTCCCCTCAGCTCCTCCCCTCTACTCCAGCAAGCCCCGCCCACAAACAGATAACAGATAATTACAAATGGAACCCAGTCAAGATGAAAGTCAAAAGCATTGGTGCTACTGTAGATGCCAACAGACTACCAGCAAACACAATGTTTGCAGGACTTCTACAACGAGGATAAAGTGACATAGTCCAGGACCCGAGGGAGGACAGTTTAGCGGCGCTACAACATGCTACAGCAGGTCCGTTTGACAAGAAACACTTACAGAAACGCCCCCCCATCATTGTTGTAGCTCTTGTCCGGTCTACCTCCTTTTTAAGCGCCCGTTATTCCTCCAGAGTCTCCGGTATTTACTTTGTTTTCTTGCTTGTGTTGGCAGTCGTGGCTAAAGGAGGATTCAGACAATTTTCCGAACTTTCTGGTTGGTTTCTACTGTCCGATATTGTAGCACGCTAACTTTGTTTGGGCTCGTGAACGACACGGGGGAACAGCGTCTGCCTCACAACCAATCAGGTTGAGGGAGACAGAGAACAGCTTTGTTAATAGTCAGAAAGAAAGTCAAAATGTTGACTACACAGACGTATCAAAACACAGCGATATCATTATATTCCCAAATGTCATCAATAACTAATATCTATTGACTGATGGTAAAATCTTTTTTGTATATACACCACAAAAAATATGCTTCTTTAACGGAATCCTGGCTACTCTACCTTTAACTAACTATTGCTGACTCAACTCTAAAAGGCTCTTACTGACGCCCTCAATGCCTAACAGCATGTCAAATGATGAAATGGACTTATTTACCAAAGCTGACGCACATCCTGCCCCCCTAAAGGCAGCCGTTATATCACAATGTCCTCTCACAGTCTCTTTTATGCAAGCAGGTGGTTCCATGAAACATACTGTTCGACATTAAAACCTGCTCATCTTCTCCGGACCTGAGGGGTCCACGCTCAATCGAAGTTCATCCGTCCTTCATGCATTTGTCTACGCTGACTTTAAATACAGAGCTATCACAGTTTTTGACCTCGTGTTGCAAGAACACGTCGTTCCGTCTGAAGATGCCCCTCATTCATTCGCTTGTAACCGTCTTTGGATGAACAAAAGGACACTGAGAACAAAAATACATGCGGTTTCGGATTTACAAGAAGATTTTGTAAGTGGGTCGGAATCATTTTTAGACGCCCAATTCCGTACAAAAGAAACGAAGCTCATGAGATTACGAAGACGTCAGTGTGGTCGTCTTTGGCCGAGTTCAGGAGGAGTTTAGGATTACGGATGTTATAGCTTGAAGAGAAAAGTTGTAAAGTTGTATAAACTTTGTTGATGAAGAGATGTAGTGTTTGAGCGGTGATGTAACCGTATCAATATCGTAACTCGCCGTGTCTTATCAGGAGTTTATCGTCATTCCAGAGGAACAAGTCGGCTTCTGAGCAGCACTTCCTTATCTGACTGTGTTGGCTGTTCAAAAGCAAATGTCAGTCACTGACATGCTGTGTATACACACTCATGCAGGGAGAGAATGGAGGGCTGCTGTGTTGTTAGTGATTTCCAGCTGATACACAAAAACAAAAGGCTTCTGTGTCTGGCGTCGACCACCCTCCCCTCTCCTCATTTTTCCCCTCAGGCTGCAGGAGTTCCTGTCCAGCGACCCCCCGAAAATCCCCCTTCCACCTCTGTTTTCACACACTGAACTCCTTCACTGTGGCTTTTTTTTTCTCCTGTTAACTGTTTGGTAAAAACTAAAGACAAGAAGCTTTGATGCCGTTTCCAGGGTTTCAGATCTCCGTGTCGTATTCCCTTCCCAATGTAGCGTCTGTAATCCAATCGAATAATCTAAATTCACTGGGATTAAGTTTATAAAAGCAGGTGAGATGGAAGTGTCTCATTGTACCGTCCTTTACGCTCCGTTAGCATTTTTGAGCTAAAGACAAAACATCCCAAAGACGTCCTCAAGGGAGTCGACCACAAGAGCAATATTTGCTTCCTCGTGTGGTGGGAGAAAACAGTCCCCTATCTGTTGTACCATCTTTAAGCCAAACAGAGTATGTTGTTGACTGTAATAAAGATTATATATGAAGGCTTTTCAACAAAAGCTGGGGAGATGGAAACGTACCAACAAAAGCTAAGCACTGCCAGCTAGCTTGTTTTGAGATTTGGCCTTGAACCATTCTTCCCGTTGGCTGATGGAGTTCCTGTCCAGAAACTTCTGAAAATCCCCCCATGATGTCAGTTTTAAAGACCAGGTTCTCTGACTATGAGGTCTGACTGACGTTTTCAGCAGCTCAGTGTTTGTTGGATATCAAGACGTGAAGTTTTTATCCAGTTTTTAGCGTGTCAGTGCCTCAGATAGCAAAAACGAATGCTTCTCCACTCACTGTTTCCTGTAGTAAGGATTAGTGGTCGACTAATGTCAACATCACTTTTTCTGCGTTTGATGAAAAACAATTTAATTAAAGCTGGGTACAGTCAGGACACAATGTATGCTGGGATTAGGCAAAATATAAAGGCATGAGATGCATTGTGAACGAACCAATGCTCATCCTACCAAATCGGCTCAAGCTCTTGTTGACTTTCTGGACTTTGACGAAAAACAGTAGTGTCATTTTAATCTTAAACGTGAAGTTTGAGGCAGTTCAGACTCTGTACGTGTGAGTCAGAGTGACTTCCTGTTTAGCGGCGAGACTTTAATCTAACGAGCAATCTGGACAAGCTAACGATTATTTCTTTCTTGGAGTGCGTTCTCAGGGTGGCGATTTCCAAAAGAAAAAACACGAACGCAAATAATGACACCAGAAGTAATCTTGCAGCGGAATCAGAAATGGACAAACTACCACCAGCTTTTCTGACGGACTGTTATTACTGATGGACACGTTGTTGAAACGGGTTTTACGAAGGGTCCATTAAAGGGATATTCCGACGTAAAATTAATTTAGGGTCAAACACACCAGAACACTGAGTTAGACACCCCCGAGAGAGATGAATGTTGCCGACCGCTTGCTTCTCTAGTTATACCAACTTTAGTAACGACCGCATGATGGCAATACACAGCGGTCTGAGGAGCCATAAACAAACCTCAACCAAAACGCCACAAATAATGCTCAGAACAGCACCTTACTTCATCAACAGGACATATAGGGTCACAGACATAGCACTAGACACCAAACATCTTTTTAACTTTGACTAATTTCTTTAACAAAGAGACTAAACACAACTCACCTACTCTCTTCCAGCAGTCCCTAGTTTGTAGCGAGAGCTCCGGCCAGTCTATTATGGACTACAGCGGAGTTTCGCAGCTCAAGGAAGAACATTTATGATCATTTCTTTATCATTTCCCTGAGTAATAATCACCATAATTGTCATTTTTCACTGCAGACATGGTAGTTCTTCTGCCTTAGCGTCTCGGTCTGATTGTATTTTTATAAAGTAATGATCATAAATGTTCTTCCTTGAGCTGCGAAACCCCGCTGGTTGGTATAACTAGAGAAGCAAGCTGTCGACAACATTCATCTTTTGAGGGGGTGTCTATCTCTGTGTTATGGTGTGTTTGACCCTAAATTCATTTTATGCCGGAATATCCCTTTAACTACATTTAAACTCTGGTTTATGCTCTTGAAAGTGTCCCTGTCTTTGCTGTCAAAAAGCAGCTTTTACTTCACCCTTTTAGTGCTTTTATTGATGATGTGTTCTTGATATAAAAAGGGGTTTTCTTGTCCCTGAGGATCCTCTTTATCTTCTGTTCTCCAGGTTAAAACAGGCAGCACTCCTCATAAAATCCTTAAAAGGTCCCAAACCTCAGGGGGGAACATTATCTCCAGCATCTACATGTTTGTTCTCGGCGCGGCGACAGACCAAACATTGTTATAAAATCACAGCCAGTAGACTCAGTCTCTAACCGCAGTGAAAAAACCTCCACAGTGGATCTATGTGTGTAAACAGGCCACACATTACTGCTGTCAAAAACAGACTGCAGGCTTTGTTACAACCTTGGAGAGTGCGGCGCGCTGGTCACGGTTTTATTACCGCCATCAAGGATGTTTCTGTTGATCATGTTTCAAAGAATTGACTCGGGGGGGGAAATAAAGTCCCCTCAGTAAACCCCCGACCCGAAGGAAGAGCGTCTGTGAATTTTTAGATTGTTTTCTATCATTTCTTGACCGCACTGTCTCCTTGACTCAGACTCTTATCTCGTTTTATCTTCAGCCATCCCCCTAAATGTGAACCGGCTTCACGGACCGCAGACTGCCCGGGCTGTCAGCGTGAAAAATAAAGCGGAGAAGCTAAACAGGGCTGCGAGATAAAGGAATAAACACACAACTCCTACATTATGAAGTCATGCGCTGTAAGCAGAAAGCCCGAAACCGCGCTGTGTGCTTGATAAATTAGCCTGTTACCGACAGTCTAAACAAGAAGTGAAAAGACCCACCACCTTGGGCTTTGGAGGTTTAGACTCAAAATGTTCATTTCTTTGGGGTTTTAGTTATTTACAGTGTATTTAAAGGAAACTGTGGCCTCTGGAGATGATGTAGTCCAAACCACAGTCGAGTGAATCCGGGCCAAACTGAGTCTGAGAGTTTGTTTTGCAGCAGATGGATTTGTTTTTTTATTACTGCGATTATTTCATCGTTTTTTTATCTCAACCACACATCTCGGTTCGGGATATTGGTTTTAACAGAGAGTTACGACAAACTGAAGGAAACGTTTGGCCGATAAATCAATATTTAATCAGTTTAAAGACTTCGAGTTTGTAAATTTGCCAGATTCAAACTCCAGCAGAGAAATCACACGTAACGTCAGCGTGCAAAAACAAGATTTAATCCAATTCAGTTTGATTAGATTTAAACCGTTTATTATCCCCAGAGGAGAAATTTCAGCCGCACTGAGAGTTGTGTATTTGAGAAATTACACAACGCAGACCAACAATCAGGAGTCATGCAGAGAAATAACAGGATTCGGGTATTTTTTACGGCCCACCAGCTTTGATTTTCATTTTCCCGGGATATTCAGAGCAGCGCCAGTTTTTGGTCGGATCTGAAATACACGGTTGTCTTCAGGGACTCGACTTATTCCTCTCTGGTGACTTGGACTCGGCTCAGACTTGAAGTGATTGAGGGAATGATGACCCCTGCATGGACTCTCAAACTGGTAAAGGGAACTTAATTTGGACTTGACTCAAATTTCTTTCTGGTGACTTGGACTCGACTTGTATCCGGACACGAGAACTCAAGACTCGACACACTTCAGGTTAATCAGATAATGAAGACTCAACTTGGACACTGAGGGTGCGGACACAACTCAAACTAGAAGTTGACCTACACTGGGACACAGGTAATGGGGACAGGACTCTGATGGAATGACATTCTAGTGACTCAGACACTGAAGACTCGTGACTCGGCTCAAACTCTTTCAATAACAACAACAGTCACTGCCAAAAACAATAGTATAGAAATATTGAGGTCAGTTAACTTCACTCTAACCTCACTCTGACTTCACTCTAACTTTACTCCAACTTAATTCTAACTTTGACTACCTTTACTCTAACTTCAATCTACTTTTAACTCTAACTTTACACTTACTTCACTCTAACTTTAACAAGATCCCATTAAATTTACTCTACCTTTACTCTAAATATACTCTGACTTCACTCTAACTTTACTCTAAAATCTTATGAAATTTACTCTAACTCTACTCTAAATTTACTCTGACATCACTCTGACTTCACTCTAACTTTACTTAAACTTCACTCTAAATTCACTCTACAACTCTTACTTCACTCTTACTCCACTCTAACTTTAAGTTCCCTAACTTGACGCTTACTTTACATTAACTTAACTCTACTTCTAACTCTAATGTTACACTTACATCACTCAAAGTTTAAGTTCCCTCTTAATTTACTCAAACTTCACTCTCACTTTACACTAACTTCACTCTAAAGTTACTCTAACTAAAACTCTTACTTCACTCTAACTTAAACTAACTTTATTTTAAGTTAACTCTTATTTTAACTCTTACTTTACTCTTATTTCTCTCTAACTTTAGGTTCCCTCTAAATTTACCCTAACTTTACTCAAACTTCACTCTAAATTTACTCTTACTACAACTCTTACTTTACTCTAACTTTGTCTAACTTAAGTCTAACTTTAACTTTATTTTAACTTAACTCTACTTTTAACTCCAACTTTACTCTTACTTCACTTTAACTTCAACTCTAAGTTCCCTCTAAATGTTCTCAAACGTTACTCTAAATTTACTCTACAACTCTTACTTCACTCTAACTTTACTTTTTACTCTTACTTTACTCTAACTTTACTACAACTTTAAGTTCCCCCTAAATTTACTCTAATTTTACTCCAACTTTATTCTAATTTTACTCTTACTTCACTCTAACTATACTCTAACTTCGACTCGTCTATGAGCACATAATAATCTGCTCCTCATGTTGAACATGACCTGAAATACTCCACATTATGACTTGTTTTGATCTTGTTTTGGACGACTTCTCTCTTCATCTTTGTTTGGATACTAAAACTTTTACCCTGACATATGACTCAGCTCTCAGCGTGTGAATACAAACAGGTGTGTGAACCTAGTTAAAAAGTGTTTTTTTAACCTTTGGGAACTCGAATAATTGACCTATATTTACAGCACACCTCACTTCAAACCTGTTCTCCAGCTCACGTGCAGCAGCAGCAGCAGCAGTTTGTTATTTCTCTGCAGGCTCATAAAAGATTTGTTTTGTCTCTCGGTTTATTCCTGTAAGTGCTGTCGGTGATGTGTCAGCACTAAAGGACAAGGTCAGAGTCCGTCTAAAACTATAATAAATGATGTGGATTACAGATATGACGACGTTCAGAAAACTACTGAGTCAGGCGTGAAGCGTGTTTACATGGAAAACCATTTTTAGCGCAAGATTGTCAACATTACTGTCCAGAAATTCAAGTTATTTGACACAAATTGGTGCAAAATTATGACGGATATTTTTAGATATCTGCAAAAGCAACGTGCAATTCTGTCTTTAACTGATGCTTTCAGTTATTTCTACATATTTCTGTATATTTCCAGGTTTAGTTGTTGTGTTTTTGCAGCTAAAGTAGCACAAAGGCCTCACCTGCGCATCATTACGTACCTCTGCAGGTATTTCTATTGTTATTAGTATTTGCACATGAAACTTAAAACACACAAATCCAAGAATATAAAGGAGTGGAGCAGAAAAAAAACTCCACGCCCTGGCCTAGTTTCAAGCTGCTCGTGTCTTCAGGAGTTAAATCCGGGTTTTAAAAAAAGAAAGAGAGAGTGAAAGGAGGTAAAAACTAGAGTCCGTGTGTCTGCAGAGGAACAATAGAGAGAAAGACAAACACACACAGATATAAGGAGGTAAATAAACATGTTTTATCCTGTTTTTCTCGTGACATTGAGTCTGAAATCGATTAAAAGAGCGAGAGGAAAGAGCGGCGAGTTAATAACCCCGCGTCTCATCAGCGTGAGTGCAGAAACTCGCAGTAATAAAGTCTGATATCCATCTCCTCTTCCTCATGTGTGTGAAGTGAACTGTTTCCTCGCCTGTACACAACTTTTGTCTGGCAGGAAACTCCCACAGCAAACAGGTCTGTTATCAGAGACTGGCATCGAGTCGGCCACTGGTGCGTTACCTGTCGTAAAAGCCTCGACTCGCTGCTTCTCCGCGATAAAGACGCCGATTCTGAGAATCCGGTTTGTTAGCAGAGCGGGTTAATCACAGTCTGACCACTGAGCTGGAGGGAAGCTGGAGGGATTTACGATCATAAAATACTGCATACAATTACTGAGAGACACTTACTGTTTAACATACACTATGAACTCTGTCTTAAATATACTGTTTACTGTGTTTTTACTAAGTATATGTCTCAAATCATATCTTAAGCCAGGTCAGATCATATAGTACCAAATCATGTTGTTTTGTAACATAATGTAACATATCCTGGTGTATCATTTTGTAATACTGTAATATATGATATTATTTTATACTATATTGAATCACACTGACTGGAATGTATCATATCATATCATACCGTTATATATTGTATTAGTACTATTATATATCATATCACATTGTATCAATCATACAACAAAATCTTGTTATAGTACTAATTTATACTGTATCATATCTTATCATAACATATCATAATGTATCATTTTGTATCATACAGTCATATGTTTTTAGTGTACCAATACATATTGTATCATATCTATTCATTATGTACCATAATTTACCATATCATACTGTCATATATTATTATAGTACTAATATATATTGTACCATTTCTTATCATAATGAATCATATTGTATCATGACATACCGTAATATATTGTATTAGTACTATTATATATCGTATCGTACAGCAATATCTTGTTATAGCACTAATATATTCTGTATCATATCTTATCATAACGTAACAGTGTATCATAATGTATCATATTATATCAAAATACTATTAGTAGTTATATATTATACCATAATGTATCTTAATGTATCGTATCTTAAGTTATCTTATTATATCATGACATACAGTAATATATTGTATTAGTATTGTTATGTATCCGATCATATTGGTTCGTAACCTAATGTTTTGTAGCGTATCATTTCATAATTTATCGTATCATATCATACCATAATACATCATATTAGTGCTGTTATTATAGTTACATATCCTAAAGTATCATAACAGTTCACATCATATCATATTTGTATTGTATCACAATGTAACGTATCATACTGCAACATATTCTATTGTATCATATCATACAGTGATATATCATCTTAGTACCGTTTTGTATCATATCGTATCATATCGTATCTTATTTTAACATAACGTATCTTAATATATCATATCACAATGTATCATAGTGTATCATATCTTAATATATATCATATCGTTTTGTATCGTATCGCAGTGTACCATATCATACTGTAACACATTCAATCATATCGTATCATACAGTGATAAATCGTCTTATTACTGTTATGTATCATGTTTTATATGAATGGTTGATATTGTTTCATATCATAACGTATCTTGTTTTAATGTATTGTATCTTAATATATCATATCATTTTGTATCATATCGTAATGTACCATATCATACTGTAACACACCGGGTTGTATCATATCTTAATGTGTCTTACCAAACCATACTGCATTGTGGGAGATGTAGGCAACAGATTTAGATGCTTTTTGTTTGTAGTGTAACATGCGCTCAAGTCCTCATTCTGTTTAGGTTAAATAAAATTAGCCTCAAAAACGTTAATATAAGTAATATTCAGGGACTGTTTGATAGTTCAGGTTCTCAACTGTGACACACTTTAAATACACTCTGCCTTTGTTTTTTGGGTGTTTGTTGGACAAAGTGTCAAGTTTGCAGCAGCATCACTATTTCTTCATGTACAGACAGTATTTCTGCTTATTGCAAAATAGTCAAAGGACGTCCTTGGTGGACATTTGAGCAATTGGGAACTATTGCCTCGAGGCTAAAGGGGACATTCTTTCTTCTTTTCGACAGAGCAGACTTTTTCATTTCAGACGTGTGTTTGGAGATTTACCTGAGGTCAAATTTTCCAACCGCGGATCAGCATCCATCAGTGCTCTGTCCTGAGGGGAGGTTTCAGGAGGAAAAGGAGCTGTGAAAAAGAAAAACAAAGAAACCGTGAATTGTTGACGCAGGAGGGGTTTGGTTTGAATCATACTAACTATGCGAGGGAAACTCTGAAAACATCCAAGTGTTACATTTTAATTCGCGATGTTATCTCCGCGGAGCCGGTGCCAGTTTCCTTTGACGTGGTTTGACCAGGAAGAGGGCCGAAACTCTGAGTGCATTCCTCCATCCTCCGAATCTGCATACCAATCTGGGTTTAAACAAAGTCTGGGTTACTTATTAGCGACATTAGCCGCACAAACATCCACCGACTTCAGCTCCATCTTTGGCACATGTGCGCCCGTACAGCTGCTTTGGTTTTCCCTGCGCCGCGTTTACCAGAAATCAGATTTACGTGCACATGAACACACACAGTGAGGACGGAGTAGTCTCTCAGACCAGATTAGGCCTGATAAGAGTTAGTAGGGGAACACACACACAAACACACACACATGCACACTCAGCCTGTCCGGGCCTGTCGGGGTCGAGCAGCATATTAAAGTATCTGGTTGCAGCTCCTGCTAATCTGCAGAAGAAACGCTCCTTCATGTGCATACTTGTCCCTCTTTCCCTCTCCTTCTTCTCCTCTCTCAATCCCCTCTTTCACTCCTCCTTCCTCCCTTCCTTCCTTCATTTCGCCTCCTCGGTGTTTCCCCAACTATTTTTCCTTCTTACCCTCATTCCTCTTCTTCTCTTGTTTCCCATAATTGTCCATCATCTTTGGCTCTCTGGGCTTTTTTTTTTCCCACCGACTTCTGACTCTTGGCACCGGGTCTCGCTCGGACTCTTTGAAATCATTTCGTTCTCCTCAAAAAGTTTTAAAAAGTTCGAACCTGGAGGCAGAAATGATGGAAGTAATTTAGCCTGATCCGTAGATGCTTAATCACGCAAAAGTATGATAATTTGAGTTCAACAGTCCAGCGGTGTAACGGTTTCATGCTGCAGCTTTCTTGGCTGTTTTTTCGAGCTGTTAAAGGGACATTCCACCAGTTATACCAATCTTTCCTCATATGCTCTCCTCAGAAGCTCTTAGTACAGTACATGATTGTTTGACGACGGAGTAAAGCTGACAAGATCAATAAATCAAACCTCGACCGATGACCCAAACTAAACCAAATACGCTCGACTCAGTTGGCTGAATAGCTGTGATATTTCGCGTGTTTGGACGTTTATTTGGCTTTCGCCGTGTCTACAGATCGATGTTTTTTGTTTAGCGTCTCCATCAGGTTCAGATTTGTGGTTTTTAGTGAAATGTTATGACAGCTTTTGGATGGGTTGTTGTTTTATTTGACACAGACACTCCTGCCGGTTTTCCTTTGACTCTGTCGATTCCGTGAAATTTTCACTGTTTTCCAACATCAGGTCGAGATTTATTTTCTCGGAGACTCTATGACTTCATGATTTGAGTTATGCGCAAAACTCCCGGCTTTAGCGAGTGTGTGGCCTACTTAACTGGTGGACTCGGTCCATGTGACCTACTGTGTTTTTTATTGGTAGGAAACAATATGATTCCATGCTCTCTGTTAAAATAGACACAACAGGGTACAGTATAATACAATACAGGGTAATAAGAGGCTGTGGAGACACAATGAAATTCAATTGGATATTATGTGATATGAGGCAAGAGGTTGTGATATGATAGGCTATGATAACGAACTATACAGTATAATATGATAAAATAGGAAACAGTACAGCATGAAACAGAAGAAAAGGGTTTGATCTTATGGGATATGATATGATAAACGTCAAGATATGAGAAACAATGAGATGAGACATGATATGATATAAAATAAGATGATACAATATGAAATGATAAACTATATATGTATGAAGCAATTCAGTAGAAAATAATATATGATAAAATATGATATTAAAGATGATGATATGATAAATTAAATATGATGATAAAATATGATAATAAACATGATAAAAAAATATGATATCAAATATGATGAAAAATAATACAACAGGATGTGGCAGGCTGACCCAAACATACAAACTAGTATGATGTAACACAATACTACACCGAATCATTCATGATACGATATTAAGTATGACAAGCGAAAAAATGATATGATAAAGTACAATATGACATGATATTAAATGAGATGATACAAAATGATATGATAAAGTGCAATGTGATATGATATTAAATGAGATTTTATAACATGAAATGTAAAATTCAGTAGAAAATAATATATGATGAGATATGATATTAAATATGATACAATACAAACTATGATGAGAAATGAGACTTTACGAACTGGTATGATATAACGCAATACTAAACCGAATTATTTAAGATACGATATTAAGTATGACACGATACGAAATGATATGATAAAGTGCAATATGATATGATATTAAATGGGATGATATAATATGAAATGTACGATTCAGTAGAAAATAATATATGATAAGATATGATATTAAATATGATACAATATGAACTATGATGAGAAATGATACTTTACGAACTAGTATGATAAAACGCGATACTTAACCAAATTATTTAAAAAACGATATTAGGAAAGACACGATACAAATTATATGATAAAGTACAACATGATATGATATTAAATGAGATGAAACAATATGAAATGTATCATTTAGCAGAAAATAAAGATATGATGTTAAATATGAGAGATACAGACTATGATGAGAAATGATACTTTACGAATTGGAATGATATAACGCAATACTAAACCGAATTATTTACGATATGATATTAAGTATGACACGATATGAAATGATACGATGAAGTACAATGAGATATGATATCATACAATCCAATTAAACATGATTAGACACAATAAACGATTCGATGTAAGATGATGTGTTGTGAGGCAAGTTTGACTTCATATAGAATGTTACCGTGACAACCCGACTGGTTAGAAACAAGCTGTTAATGTATGAGGCTGGATAAGACAATACATTAAGATGCAATTAAGTATGAGATGATAAATGAGACATGAGAAAATTTTTACCGGACTCAACTGACCCAACAGTCAAATAAACAAACATTTGAAACAACAGTTATTGCAAACAACACATACCATAAATAAGAGAAAATGAGACTTCTGAACAACCTGTACAGCCTTAGATGGTGAACTGAGTTCCTGAGATGGTCCGGTTTACATGTGAGAACTCTTTTTTGTAACAGATGAGGTCTGAAAGTCAAAGCGCCGCCTTAATTCTGAGAACGCTGTCATAAATAAGTCCATTTAAAAGTTGAATGTTTTAACACTTTTAATAAACTTTTAGAGGTGAAACACTCGTTGGGGTTTTGCTTTCCTGGTCCGTTTCCTCGACTAAAACAAGACAGAGATAGAGTAGAGCTGGATCAGAAGAGCCCAGCAGGAATTTTTGATGCGTAACCCAACTTCACCCTGACATTAATCTCTCTCTCCTCCTGTCTGGTGAGGCTTAGTTTCCCCTCTGATCTTCGTATTTGTGAATCTCCTTTTTGGCCGAATTAGGTGTGACGTAAAGAAATCAGACTATTCTTGTGTCTCTGTGTGTGTTTTTCTAAACTGGGTGAAAGTTCAGCAGAGTTCTGGTTTTAGTTTTTGTTGTTGTTGTTGCAGCTGGAAGAGTTTTTCAGACTTGTGGCCTTTGAGAAGCTTCCCTGGCCTAGTCTACATACTCTCTCTCTCTCACACACACTAACACCAGACACACACATTTACGGGTCGAGCTGGCAGTGAACATGAACTTTGAGTCTTGTCACATCAGAGGCTGCGAGCTGATTTACTGGAACAAAAGAGACCCACTAAACAGGGGCAGGGGTGTAAAGTTACATAAAAGCCATCACGTGACGAGGGTTTAACCTCGTCATGGGTAAGAGCTTCAGAAACATAAATATGACTTACTTCCTGGTGCAGATAGAGACTCAGAAATCAACCTCATGGCTAAGAGTCAGGTGAACAATAACTACTGCTCTAAAAAGGTACAAAGGTTTTAGTGAGCTTTACCGAAGAAACTGTTAAAATGTGACTTAAAATACGAAAAAAGATAAGAGGTAAGATAAAACTCCAGGATACCAAAGAGTACGACGCAATTTCATGTGACACCATACAATAAGATACTATTAGTACAATACAGTACGATACGGTATGATACAAGATGATACAATCAATACGATAAGATACGATTGGTACAAAACAGTCGATATGATATGATACAGTACGATACAATACGATCATTATAATACGAGATGATATGATGTCATACAAACAATACGATAAGATATGATCAGTATGATACAGTCGGTACAATATGATAAAGTATAATACACTACGATCGTTATGATACCATACAATACGATACCTTACAATACGGCGTTGTACGGTCCAATACGATCAAATACAATATAATGCAACACTTTAAAATACGATACAATAAGATACGATCAGCATGATACGGTATGGTACAATATGATAAGATGCGGTACAGTTGATACAATGCGATACAATCGGAACAATACGATCAGTACATTACACTCGATATGATAAAATAGTTACGGTATGATGCAGTATGATACAATGTGATCATTACGATACAATACTGCGTACTATGATCCGATACGATCCAATGTAATATGATATAATACTTAAAAATCTGATACAATACGATATGATACAATACAAAACGATACAGTATGATACGAGATGATTTGATGCGATACAATCAATATGATAAGTTACGAACAGTACGTTACAATCAGTACAATATGATATAGTATAATACAATACGATTGTATGATACCATACAATACGATACTTTACGCTACGGCATTGCACGGTCAAATACGCTCGAATAATATAATGCAATATAATGCAATACATTAAAATACGATACGAAAAAATTCGATCAGCACGATACGGTATGGTACAGTATGATACGATGTGGTATAATTGATACAATCGGAACAATACGATCAGTACGATACACTCGATATGTGTATAATGAAGTACGATACAGTGGGATGGTTACGATACAATACAGCATAGTACGATCCAATACGATAAAATACTTAAAAATCTGATACGATATTGTACGATACAATACGATTGATATGATACATTACGATACAATTGATATAGTATGATACGATATGATATGATACAATTGATACAATGAAATACAATCAGAACAATATGATAAGTACGATACACTCAATACGATACAATCAGTACGGTATGATACAGTGCAATATAATATTATCGTTGCGATGTGACACAGTATGATACTTTGCAATCCAGTTTAGAATTATCCAATATGATCCAATACTGTATGATACAATTCTTTAAATACGATACAATACGATATAATATGACGATATATTACAATACTATACAGTATGATATGAGTGTTGTATGTATAGTTCATAGCGCGAACATCTCAAGCTGAAGTTGTGCTGCTCTCCATCATAGGATCAGAGTTGGAAACACTTGTTAAGAACGATAAATATGTACATGCATGACATCCGAACAGATTAATTTCTGTATGTTTGTATAAAAATGATGAGAAAAGGAAAGTATCGGTCAATTGGCACTTCTAAATTTCCTGTAACCACTTTTCAGAGGAATCCAGCCATTAAATGTGATGGATTTCCCCCCAAAGCAGAAATCCATAAAGGTATGAAATAACTCAACCGCACGCAATGAAAACCAGATTTTTCTCAAAAGTACAAGTACGAGCTGAACGTTTCCATCAGGTGTGAACACAAGAACAGCTCACTTTTGGTTTTCCAGCGTCTGCAGTGGGATAAATCTCCAATCACAGGAACCTAAAGCTCCTTTTTTTAACTCCGGTTACAGCTTGAAGTCATTTACTCCGCTCTTTCAGTTAAAGGTCAGACTTGGCGAACATTACGGGGGTCATCCATTGTATTATAGACTTTAAATTGCTGTAGCGTTGCACTAATGATAACAACACCCCAATGAAACCAATTTTAACCTCGTAAATGTCAAGCTTCATTCAGCAGAAGTGGTGTATTTGTAACATATTAAAGAAATAAGTGACGAACTTTTATTTGAATATATAGAAAACATAAAAAAGTAACAAACCAATATTGTGCAATTCCGACACAGTACTGTTCTGATGTGACTGAACCCCCTTAGAACAAAATATGGCCAACGAACAACTGCCAACAGTTCTGTATGGAGTTCACAGTGTCGGCTACTTTCTTCTTATACTTTATCAGTACTTGACTTAATCAGAGTTCTACGATTCCAATCAGAGTTCTTAGACTCTGATTATAGTCGGACTAAGGTCTTAATCGGAGTAAGGCAATAATTTGGTTTTCTCGAGTTTTACTGAGTGTTAAAGATTCGAAGGAGTTTGCGGCTCTTTATGGATAAAATGTGTCCGGATTAGATCTTGGATCATCGGGACCCTTTCTAAACTTTTTTATTTAACAGTTTAAAGCAGGACTGGGCGATTATATGATTGTGATCGATGATCCTCATAAATTTCAGCTCGATCACGGTGATCAGCTGTGAGCATATTTACTCGATCAAACACAGCGGAACTGTGAAGTAAACAGAGGGACCGAACAGGGATCTAAACACGGAGGTGAGGACAGAAAAATAGATGTCAGCCGTGACTTTGAGTCATCCTCCGAAGATGTTATCATTGAGAAGTTTTCAACGTCGGTTGTGTGGTGATGGTTCGAGTATCTCCAAAGTGACGTCAAGTTATTAAGCCGATGAGCAAGGTATGTCGGCGATCGATCTGTTTAACCGTCTAAAGAAGTACTTCCTGAGTGATTATGAGGAAAACATGAAAATGTGAGCGGACTCTGAACAACCATGTCACTGTTGACGGTACAAGAAGCATTAGCAGTTTAGCCACAACTAGCGGTGCAGCCACCAGACCAAAGCAATCAATCGTATCATCTATGTTTATCCCTTAGGGGCCAATTTGTTTATTTTGGGTCTTTCATACCTGCAAAAACACTCAGGACTGTAAACTAATCAACTGTTTATTTAGTATTTATCTACATTTGTTGTTCTGTTGAGTTAAAATGTAAGTGTATCTTATTCAATTTTCTTTGTTATTTAATTTGTATGTTAATAAAATGTTAAACTAATCTCTAGTTTCTTTAGTTTTTAGTTCAGATGCTTTAAAACAGGCAGTTTGAAAAAAAAAATCGTGATAATAATCGAGATCGGACGATATGACGAAATATATCGTGATCATTTTTTTTGCTGAATCTCTCAGGCCGAGTTTAAAGTTAAATTTCAGATTTAACTACTCTCACCTTTGGTTCTAACCGCAGTTTTGACCTCCTTCAGTCCAAATGTGTTGGTCGAGTTCCTCAGTTCAGGTGTGAGATGTAACAACACCGCAGAAAACGGCTTTAACTCCACCTGACAGCGGTATCGTGTTAAACATGCAGCCTGTCAGTACTCTGAGACTCCGCCGCCGTGAGGAGCATGAATTATGCACGCGGCCTCCGCAGCTGATTTCACTCTTTAGGCGTTAAAGATGGCAGCCATGTTGAATTTGCAGATTGAAAACATGCTGTTCTAGAGTCAGAGACTTCACCCCCCTGTTTTCTTTTTCCTGCTCGGCTGCAGACACAGTTTTCTGACTCTGGCGTGTTTGCGGGTGATTTTCTGCTTTGAGGACTCGAGGAGCGCGGCCCGGTCAACGCTCTGGACTTTACTGCGTCGGGTTCCCCTCAGAGTATATAGGGCACACTCTAGTAGGGGGCCTTTTTTACTTACATTTACACACGCCAAACCCCAGAGCGATCACCTCTAATTTGCAGGTTGGGTTGAGGGTTAGCTGCAGGAGGACCAGGCGAGGCGCCAAGAATAACACGGCGGTTCGAGCGGGATGACCATTAAAAACAGGAGTGAGATTAATCATACTCAGGATTTTCAGGCATTTCAGCAAATTAATCAGGGAGATTTATTCCACAGGGGGGGCTCGGCGCTTTGCTGCGGGGCGCGTTAGACGGGCAGCATTACTGAAAACAGGCGGTTAAACGCGCGACCTTTTGGCGGGGAGGGGTAAAGCTGACGTAAACGTAAGAAAAGAGGTAAAGGGAGAGAGGTGAAGGAGGGTTAAAAGGATCATTAACGAGGAGAAAGATCGAGAAACGAAGAGTGGCAGGAGTTTGATACATGGAGTGGAGAAGACGAAAACGAGCTGAAGGAGTCAGAGCAGGACGCTGTAGCATGAGAGGAGAGGAGTGAGTGAGTGTGTGAGAGGGAGATAATGCATCTGTACATGTGTGTGTGTGTGTGTGTGTGTGTGTGTGTGTGTGTGTGTGTGTGTGTGTGTACACTGTAGATATCGGTATGTCAGGGATGAAACGGAGGGAGGAGGGATTACAGAGAGGAGTGAGAGAAATAAAACAGAGACAGGGAAGAGAGGAGGAGGGAGAGCTTTGAGTCTCAGCCTGTGATGTCCTCAAACTTTAAACTTTCAACGTTTAAAGGGATATTCCGGCGTAAAATTAATTTAGAGTCAACCCAACCCGGTCGAGAGATTAAAGTTGCCGACTGCTTGCTTCTGTAGTTAAACCAACTTAAGTAGCGACCGCACGATAGCAAAACACAGTGTTCTGAGGAGCCATAAACAAACCTCAACCAAAACGCCACTCTATAGCCACAACTCACCTACTCTCTTCCAGCAGCCGCTTGTTTGTAGCGAGACCTCGGGCTGGTTTATTATGGACTACAGTGGAGTTTCGCAGCTCAAGGAAGAACTTCATGGATTTCCATGAAGAAATGATCATAAATGTTCTTCCTTGAGCTGCGACACCCCACTGTAGAGTGTAATGGATTGGCCCGAGGTCTCGTTACAAACAAGTGGCTGCTGGAAGAGAGTAGGTGAGTTGTGGCTGTAGAGTGGCGTTTTGGTTGAGGTTTGTGTTTTGCTATCATGCAGTCGTTACTAAAGTTCGTATAACTAGAGAAGCAAGGTGTCGGCAACATTCATCTCGAGGGGGTGTCTAACTCTGTGTTCCGGTGTGTTTAGACGGAATATCCCTTTAAGTGGTGGGATTAAAACGTTCAAAATGTGGATTGGTTGGTTTTGACCTTTGAACTTCCAGATTATATTCACCAACTTGATGCTGATTCGTCTGTTTTCTGTCTTTCAGGTGACGGAGAACATCATCTCCAAACAAACCTTCAAAGGTCGGTATCAAACACAAACCTGCTAAAAGACACAAACACACATGATCGCATAAAAGCGACATTTCTGACATTTCTTCGTCTCCTCTCTCCGCAGAAGCCCGGACGATGCCTCGCACCTACAACACCTCGGTGGCCCAGAGGCCGTCGGCCCACTTGACCCTCCGGGACTCCGGCACACAAGGTGAGTGTGAGTGAGAAAGTGAAGCGGGGTAAACTTCATGACTTCCAGATTGACGGTAAATCCTCGGTGAAACATGCGCCGCTCCTCAGAGGCAACATTAGGATTACAGAGGCTCGTTTTCTCCATTAGAGGTCCTTGTTTCGATCCCGCTCTTATCCCACCCTAATCTTCAAAATGAAACATGAAGTTGCACAATGAAGGACTGAGCCTCTTTGTGTCTCAGCTATTGTTCTTCTCATAAACATCGCTTCCTGCATACCAGAGGAGGTTTTCTCTTTCCCTCTGTAAGAGCTGAATCAGTGAAGTCGCCTGTAAAACAGACGCTCATCAACGCCGCGTCATTTTTGAGTCACGTGGAGCGTTTGTGTGTCATTAAACCCGGAGGTTGAAAAGCTGGAATGTGGCGCTCCGAGCATTCGTATCATTCGATCGGAAAGTGGCGTGCAAGCTGAAGGGTGTCGGCAATCTGGCAAAGGCCGAGTGTGTGTGTGTGTGTGTGTGTGTGTGTGTTTGTGTGTGTGTGAAGGAAGACAGGGGTGAGGTGGATTTCTCATAAGGAAGTCGAGCCGAGAGAGATGACCTCTGTTGAGTTTTCTAATAAACTACTATGTTAATGATGGGAACTGAATCGTAGCCAAAACAAACACACCCGACAAACACACACACACATTCACAAATATATGTCACACTGGGGACTTTATATCCTGTCAGTGTTATTGAGCGCAGTAATCGAACATACAGGAAACCGTGTATGAAGAAAAGCTACAATTGTCTATTTGCAGGATGCTAACTAGCTAACTTGCTAGCTAAATTCTACGATACAAATGTGGATCTAATAACTCATGCTTCCGTCTCTACCACAGGGTTCCTCCCGTACCCGATCCCAACGGCAGGTCTCCACCAGTCTTGTCGCCACGTGGTCCGCACGTGGGCCAATCAGAGCTTCGGTGCTCACCTTCACAACATGACGCTGACCAATGGGAGGCTGCGAGTGCCCCAGGATGGGCGGTACTACCTGTACTCACAGGTGAGCACACAATCATAAACATGAAGCATCTTTTTTTTGTGGTGTATATACAAAAAAGCTTTTAATAGTTATTGATGACGTTTGGTAATATAAAGATATCGCTGTTTTTTTAAGGTCTGTGTAGTCAACATTTTAAATTTTTGACTGACTGTAAACAAAGCCGTTCCCCGCCTCCCCAACCTGATTGGTTGTAAGGCAGATGCTGCTCCCCGTGTCGTTCAGGAGCCCAAACAAAGTTAGCGTGCTACAATATCGGACAGTAGAAACCAACCAGAAAGTTCGGAAAATTGTCTGAATCCTCCTTTGGCCACGACTGCCGACACAAGCAAGAAAACGAAATAAATACCAGAGACCCTGGCGGAATAACGGGCGCTTAAAACGGAGGTAGACCAGACAAGAGCTAAAAGCCGGGTCATAATCAATGATGGGGGACTGTTCAGGATTTTACGGACCCTGTAACCTTTCTGCTGGACCTGCCTACTCCACTTTTAACATGCAAGCTCTCCATCATGCGCACTCTCTTTTAGTTTTAACACAACCATTAAACTTTGGTGTCTTTTTGTCGTCTTTCCACGCAGGTGTATTTCCGTTATCCGTCTCCTGCAGCCAGTGACGGAGACCAGCGCAGCGTCAGCCACCAGCTGGTGCAGTGCGTCTACAAGAAAACGTCCTACCCGAGCCCCATACAGGTGTGTGTCCTCTCACAATTGGGTCTAATTTAGTTTAAGTTGTGAAATATTCGTCTTACCTTGAGCTTCTCTTCCCTGCAGCTCCTGAAGGGCGTGGGAACAAAGTGCTGGGCCCCAGACGCCGAGTACGCCCTCCACTCCGTCTACCAGGGGGGACTGTTCGAGCTGAGGGCCGGCGACGAGCTCTTCGTCTCCGTATCGTCCCCGACGATGGTCAACGGCGACGACTCTTCCAGCTACTTCGGTGCCTTCCGCCTCGACCTCTGAAAGGGGACCTGAAAGGAAAACGAAACTGATGGGACAGTAGAAGGAAGGCTGAGAGAGTAGACTGGAAAAAAAGGGTCATTTGGAGAGAGCTGCTGGAATTTGCATCCTCAATTTGCCCGGATGGATTCACTCGAGTGAACAATGCAAGAGGATGCGGAGAAAGGGAATCGGTCTTCCTTACTCTTTCAGCAAAAAAACCTAAACCTTTGAGATTAAGTTATGCAAAGATTCATGTGCAATCACTCAAAAATACACGCAAGGATATCCGTTCTCTTACGATTCTCTGGGACAGAAGTTGCTTCGAACGAGAGTCGCCCCAAATTTAGGCCACCCATGCTGCCCGTACCCCAAATTTAACACGTGAATCTCGGCGAATCTCGCACATCAGCAGCCTCTTTTTATGGGAAGCGGGCGGACCCTCGGATTTGGATTCCAGACGGAAGAATGTAAACACAATAAAAACTTGATCCTCTGCATCCAAGATGTGAGGAAGGACTGCGGAGAAAATCAAACCAAAGCAAAAAATTGTGGAATATAACTTTTTTTTTTAAGTGTGCCATGAGAGTTATGTATATATGAACGGCTGAGACTGAAATCTGGTGATGAACTGTGGTGATTTTTCAAAGTGATTCTTGTGTATTTTTTCTTTGACTGGACTTAAAACCACTTGGACTTTGCTGAGGATTTTCTACCCGAGAACAAGAGCGGTGGATTTAACGTTTGGACTTTTGAACGGACAGAAACGTTTGCTTCTTTGTTCTGAATACTGTAAAAAAAAAGACTGTCAGGCAGAAACATACAGTGTCTTTGAAACAGAGGAGTAAAAAGCAAAGAGAAGAAATCTCGTAAATGTAGGAAGAATGAGCTCAGCGGGAGGAGGAGAGAGAGGAAGAAAGAGGTTTTAAAGGGAATGCAGCTTAACCAGTTGGCATTCCTCCTCTCCTCTCTTTCTCTCTTTCTCTCTTTCTCTCGCTTTCCTCTCACAGACTTTGTCTTTCGTTTTCTGTCAAGAATTTGAGCAACCCTGTTTTTCATGTCCGGCCGGTGAAGCTGCATTCACTTTTTTGTTTAAGGTTCATTTAAAAGCACAACCGGAGACAATAGACGAAGAATCAAAACAGACGCACGTGCGAAAACCATCGAGAACATTTCAGTGATTTCAAAATAAAAGTCCCTTCAAATAAGATCACTTTCATGTTTTCAGACCAGGGTGTCGAAAGAAAAAAGTCACTTTTCTATCAAATGTTGCCAGAATTTAAAACTCCTATGAAAACTTTTGGGTTGTGTTGGTTTGGCGCCCCCTGTGGACAAAGTGGTGATTGCTGATTTTCCAATCCAGTCAAAACTCTTGAATGTATTTCTTTAGGTCGTAAAAAGGCAACGATAGAAATTCCAGTATTTTTCATAACCAGCTTAAAACTCCTCACTGGAGCTTTAACTCGGACATAGACAACCTGCGAATAATTAAAACAAGATTCTCCGATTTTTCCTCGACTCAAATTTGGCCGAAAATTCATGACTGTAAGAAAAGAATCAAAGGTATAAATCCAAAGAAGGTAAATATTATTTATATTGGTAGAAAAAAATAGCCAACTTGTCTGAAACCGTAAGAGCTCCCTCTGGTGGCTAGCTGCAGCATAGATCACAGCACATCCAGCTTAATATCTCCACGTTAAAGCATCCATGCGGAATTTTGACATTTTGTAAAAGAACAAAATTAATTTTGTTGCCTTTTTTTGATTTCCAAAAGCAAACAAGACCATCTCCATCAAGACTGATAATCTTTAAATGCCTGAAATCGCTAAAAAAAAAAGCTAAAAAATTAATAGCAAACTCTAAAATCCACAAATAAAGTAAAAAAAAAAAAAAAAACTGCAGTTCCTAAATTGTCCACTTGAGGCCTATTGCAGAAATAGGGTGATGTTGCAGACGTTTTTTTTTCCATATTTACATTAAAAGAGGCGTTTTATTGTCAAAAGTCGGTTAAAACTGGAGATGACTTAAACATGTAAAAAACAAGATTAGCGAAAGACTATTTTGTCCACAGGGGGCGCCAAACTGAAATTCCAAATCGGAGCTGTAATAGATGGATTAAACTTAAAAATCCAAGTTTCTGTCATGGTGTTGAGTTCCAACCGTGCTAAATTAATTCTTGGTGTTTGTCGTAGAAATGCAAAAACGTACATTATCAAGTAATTGGAAGAACGCCGTCTGTATTGATGTGTGGTCAATGATTGGTACAAAACACTTCAAACTGAGCCTGAATTTGGGAATCTTGGGTCTCCGAAGCAAAAGGTAAATTTGAGAAAACTCGGTCCAAACTTGGACAAGATACAGATGCACACGAAGAAAGATTTGACAGGAGTGAAAGACATAAACCATGCACCGACAAGCACAAACTCAAGCACATGCACATAAAAAGGATACACACATCAGCTCACACTACACACACCCCTCTTTACAGACACACACATCATCCCACGTCACTTCCAATGTAAAGACACAAACACACTCCGACACACACCTTCATTTATCTGCCTCCCTACGAGCCGTCTGGTTGTTGTCAGCCGGAGGCACGCAGGGAGTGGATGTGTGTGCATGAACTCGGCGGACATGTTTGCTTAAAGGGGGTTCTGTTCACGTGGAAAATTTCATAAAACGAGGTCCAAGACAAACAAATACACACATTTTTTTTGTGTGTTTGGTTTGTTTTAGCTGAGAGAGGAGAGGATTTGGACGCCTACGCACACACACGTTTCTAATGAGGTGACGTCCAGGTTAGACCCGCTCTTCTAGCACTGTGGTTCACACTGACTTGTGTATATACTGTCTGCAAAATCAGCCCATCCTCTGTACTTTCCTCTCCTAATTGAAGGCAACTTTCCTTTTTGTGTTGGCACGCACCTTGTCGAGTTTACTTCTGGGCTTCGCATATTCCCCCCTCTGTTGAACTGAAATGTTTATTATCCAGGGTGAACTTCAACAATCGAACTTTTCGCCTTTTCTTCCTCGCACTCCAACCAAAACAAAAGAGCTCGACGACGATGATAACGCGACATACACACTACGACGGCGTAAATCCCCCGGACCAGCTGGGAAAACTTCTGCTTTGAATGTGTCTGAGGCGTGTTTGTACTGGACGGTTTTGTAGCTGTGAACATGTGTAGCACATTGTTGCTCGGAAAATAAACAAATATTTGAATGTCGCTTGTGTGTGTGTGGAGATCTATACATCGATATAAGGATCACTTATAGTTCAGACTGGTTTTAAGACGTCTGCAGGAAGAGTCGAGAGCTCGGGCCAAACATGACGACTCCTCGAAACCTTTTAAAAACCGAAGAAACCACAAATAAACACTTAGAGATCAACCTGACTGTTTCAGACAACACACTAAACAGCTCAGGCTCAGGTTCTGGCTGAAGAGGACGGGTTCTTCTCCCAATACAAACATGGATGGTAACCAGCCGCTTGTTAGCTTTATATGAAGTGCAATCTGGACTAAAAAGGCCAAAAAACGGAGAAAAACACAGACGAGTCTGGCTGGGATGCAGGATTTCATTGGTCCAGTTCTTTCTCACACCGAAACCCTTTTTTGTCTTGTTTATATACTGGCATGTCGAAACACAAGCGCCTTTTGTTTCAAAGTGATTACTCTTTTGCAACACGTAGTTATGATCTTAAAGGAGTAGTTTGGGGGTTTTTCAAGTGGGGTTGCATGAGGTACTTGTGGATATTAAGTAGGGGATCCAGGAAGAGAAACCGTAGAAGCAAAGCTCAACCCTTGCAGACGAGGTCAGCTCAACCACAGAGTACAGTCTTGTTTTTAAAGTCTTGTATAATAAAAATCAAGATCAAACCGTCTGTCTATCGGTTTTCCACCCCCTGGAGAGATCTGGGTTTCTGGTCCCTGAGGTTCTGCATGACACTGTTTTGGAATCTAACTCATGAAAACCTCCACCAGCCAGTTATCTCCATCAGCACAGGGTGTGGAGGTGTCCTCTCAGAAGATGACTCACTATCCTGGTTGGTAGTGGACATGTTGAGGGGCAGGCATTGCTTTTCTCTCGCTTTAAACGCTGCTGATACTGGTCATGGTATTTCGCCCTATCAATCTAGGACACGCAGCTTTGTCAGACACTTACGCTGCCTTCCAGTTGTACTCGGAAGTCGGAATTTCCGAGCTTCGAGTCGGGAATTCATCTGGAACGCCCCCCTGAAGACCAACCCTGACTTGAAGACAATGTCATGATCCAAGATGGCAGCGCAGTGCATCAACAATAAAGAGTAACATTGAAAGCTCTCGAATGTAATATTTATTAGCACTTCTGTTTTGTTTTTGTCAAATTAATTAAGTGGTACATGTTGTACTGCCCAACGTCTAACTGTGGACACGATGCTATGGTGTTTGTAAGAGTAAAATACTGTGATAAACAACATCTATCAATGGGTAACTGTAGGCGTCCATCTTGGTTTTCCGACTTGTTTACTGGAATGCCGTCAACCCAGGTCCGACATCTGACTTTCGGGGTCACTGGATCGAGCATTAGTCATCTAGAGCTGCAGATCACTTGCTCTACATCTGCTGGGTTGCTCACTTCACTGTTTCTTTTGAGACAAGACAACTTCAGCCTCCTACTGTTTCTCGATTTAGCTCCCCCCAGTTTGAATTATTTGCTTTGGTAGAACCCCGCAGAGTGAGCTTTCATTACCATCCCAACTTTTCACTTTCTATTTGCACTAAATCTGCAAAGATCCGAGGAACACATGCTGCTTTAGAGCCACGCTCTTTGTTCTAGGACACTTAAAAAGCCACAAGTCTTCCTGCACAGTATGAGGCCACGTCATCCCCAATCAACCCGTAATTGCAAACATCTAAAGCAAAGTTTAAGAGCGCACTTTGTAATTTATTCATCATGGGTTTAAAAAGACCGAGTTAATCATCGAAAAAACAAGGAAGTACTCGACCTAATTTTTTATAGTTTTGGCTGCGCTCTGTGGCACATTGGTTTGGTTTTAGAACAATGACGAGGAGGTTGAATTACTGACTCAGTCTTAATGGTGTTGGAGGATGTTTGGAGGATGTTCTGTCGCTTTACCGGAATCATGATGACTGGTAATCTGACCTCGGTTCAAATGACCGAATGATGATGATCATCAGTGTTTCCAGTGGGTTAAGGAGAGGGCAGGCTGCCACCAAAGGAAACAAGAGGGGAGCTCGGTCCAGAGCAGTCAAACACAGCATCTTCAAGAGTTCAGAAACGACAGAGTCAGCAGTTGTTTCCATGGCAAAGGACGAAGTTTGGCACGACAGGAAGTAGATGAGTGGTACTCACTTAAGGGACTGTGTCCACTAATGTCTGGCAGCCTTATTTTCTATTGTGCCAAAGGTAATGGTTTAACTGCAGAGGGTTTCATGTGAGCTGCACTTAAGTTTTGGAAATCAGTGGAAATCAATGCAAAATACGAGAGGAAAATTCAAACGCTGCACCGATTCCCAGGCAATTATGGTCCGGTCTGAACCAGGAACCTCTCCGCAAACTGCTGAGTCACTGTGGCCCTCATAGAGGATTTATACATCTACAGAGATTTTTAGATTTTTAGGTCATATTTATTTATCATGACCAAGAAATATCATGATAGAAATGTTAGTGCAATATGTATAAAAACCCAATCAGTCAAACTGACAAGAGTGCAGCAACTCATTACCTGGTAGGTCTCGATCTAGATCAGTGGCGGCTGCTGGTCTTTCAAGGAGGGGAAGCTCATTTTTCTGGCTTACATCATAATTGTATTTGTTTATTAGTATGTAACAGAACAGAGTCGCCAAACACTACGGCAGTCGTTTTTAACAAAGACAAAAGTCGCTGAGGATCGGTAAAGTCTCTGGAGCAGTTAAGAACAACGGAATGAATAACTTGGAAAATGCTCTGGTAGATGTTTTATTCTTCAAGATCGCTGATTCGCTTGTTTAGCTGTCAATCAAAAAAGGATTTCGCCTCAGACAGCTCATCCAATCATGGATGCAGAAGCTTGCAGTCCGGGAGAAAGTCGGGACCGCCCTCTCGCCATAGAACTCCAGTGAAGCTGGGCTTCCGATGGGCGGGACAAAGCCCAGCATTTATCCAATGAGCGTCTAGTTTCGCTGCTGGAACAACCCACTTTAAGCTTCCACATTGAAGTCAGCAGAAGCCCAGCGTCCGGCTGTTTAAAGCGCTGAGGCGCTGCGAGGATGAATGAGAACGAAGTTATGCCGGTTACCTGTGATTATCAGCTTCTTATCACAGTGTCTGAACAAAAGATGAAGGCTTTCTAGTGCGTATTTAATTAATGAAATGTACACACAGCCGTACGTATTTCACCACTTTTTCTTTTTTTGGGGGGGTGACATTTTAAGGGAAGCCGAGCTTCCCTTGCAGTCTTGGAGCAATCGCCACTGATCTAGATGGATGGAATTGTTGGAAAGTAGGTCTATAAAAGTGCAGTTGTGGCACAAGCTCTAAACTCTCAAGAATCTTGAAATGTCACATTTTAAAATTGACGAATCATCCCTTCAAGAGCTGCTACAGTAAGGGGAGCAGACATCCCTGATTTCTAGGGACAGTCCTCGTTTTGGATGACCTGTCCCCGGCTAAGGCTGTCCCCTGAAATGTACCTGATTTAAAGGGATATTCTGGCGCAAAATTAATTTAGGGTCAAACACTGTAACACCGAGTTAGACACCCCCTCGAGAGATGAATGTTGCCGACCGCTTTCTTCTCTAGTTATACCAACTTTAAAAACGACTGAACGATAGCAATACAGCGAGCCAAGCACTCAACCAAAACGCCACAAATAATGCTCAGAACAGCATCTAACTGCAGCGCAAAATGATTAATATGGTGATTATAACTTCAAGGAAATGATAAAATAATGATCATAAATGTTCTTCCTTGAGCTGTGACACCCCGCTGTAGTCCATAATGGACTGGCCTGAGGTCTCTCTAAAAACAAGCGGCTGCTGGAAGAGAGCAGGTTAGTTGTGTTTAGTCTCTTTGATAAAGAAATTAGTCAAAGCTAAAAAGATGTTTGGTGGCTCGTACTATGTCTGTGACCCTATATGTCCTGTTGATGAAGTTAGGTGCTGTTCTGAGCATTATTTATGGCTATAGAGTGGCGCTTTGGTTGAGCACATGGCTCTCTGTATTGCTATAGTGTTGTCATTACTTAAGTTGGTATAACTAGAGAAGCAAGCGGTCGGCAACATTCATCTCTCAAAAGGGTGTCTAACTCAGTGTTACGATGTGTTTGACCCTAAATTAATTTTACGCCAGAATATCCCTCTAAGCCTTTCATGAGTGAGAAAAAAATTGTTGTGCGTGGACTAGAATAACGGTTATTACAGTAGCCGAGTAGATAGGAAGCGCAAGTAAGCATGTTGCGCGCAATCCTGAACAACAGTTTTTATGGGGGGTTATGCACTGCTACTAAGTAGTACCAAGTTGTTGTCTGTGATCACCCAGCCGATGCCCCCTCAGCAACCCCCGCCCCCTGGATGACCTTGGATTTCATTACAGAAATCTGGTCACCTTATGTTACAGCTAGTTTGCTAGCAGCTGCTGCTTCTTCTTCGTCTGTTTTGTTTTCTGGCATGTGGCATCCAGCGTCAAGTACCACTGCTATGAACTCATTTTAAGCATGATAACCTTCATCATTAAAGAAGATGGTCTGCAGTGAAGCGTGCATGACTCAGCATAAAAGAAAAACTCATGAGAGAGTGGGTGATAACACAGCAGAGAGCCATAGGAGGGGATCGGACCAACCTGGCAGCCTGTTTTAAAGAGGCCTCCGCTCATGGGGTGAAGGGTTTAACCACTAAGCTGCACCGGCGCCCTTGGTCTGTCAATTTTAAAAAGGGCTTGAGACGCATTTCCTCTGAGAAGTATACTTTTATTGTCCAGAAAGCTGCTCTCTTTCCAGATATAAACATAAGGAGGGAATCTTGGAGGGAAACTCCGTATATGACAGGACTGAACATTAGGGCTGATATACAGCAAGTTCATGGCTCTGAGGGAAATGATGGACAATGTGTCCCACTCAAGGTCTGGCTGTTTCGAACGTAAAGCTACCGAGTCCAATAATAAAGTTAAAACCACATTTACTGCAGAGCACACCACATAATTACCCAGTTTTTAACATGAAATTTCAGTGAAATGAACCAATTCAAACTGAGTTCAGCTGGTTCAGGATTTGAGATTGTAATTGATTAAGTTGGCCTTGTGTTAAAGTCTCCGCAGACCACAGTCGGGATCTGTCAGTCCACACAAAGACCCTCACAAACGGATCCTCCTGAAGGGGTTTTCCTGCTGAGTCATGCACATTTCAGAGCGTGCACGTCTTCTCAGAGAGCTACAGTGTTTTAAATACATCATGCTTACCGTCATCCGTCACACCCGGGGCTTACAAAGTCAAAGTAGATGATTAGAACAAGCAGGTGGAAACTGTGGCGATCGGTTAACATGGTTGGACCGCCGCGAATTCGCCATAACAACATATTAGGACAGGTCGGGAACAGATCAGCAACTCGGTTCAGGGTTTGAAATGTATTTCTGTTGGAGCTTTACAGTGAAGAACAATGTTCACAGCGCTGTAATTACATTTGGAGACGTTATTAAACGCAGCAGTCGAAATCCAGGCCAGACTCTGAGCCCTCCAGAAACATTTGTTTCAGAGGAGTCAGAGAAAACCTGAACAAGTTCAATAAGCTTGGATAAAACTCTAAATGTAAGAGGTGAAAACATAAAAACCTTGAATTGAAATATATAAAGTGACACTCAGTTTATTTTTAGGGTTAGGGTTACATTTCTAAGGGTAGGCCTATGTGACAGTTTCCATAAAAATATTCACAATAATTGTTTGACTGTACAAAATCAGCAGGATTACTTTTTCGGCAGCATGTAGAGGACAAGATAAGTGAGGGCTACTTTGTCCACAGGGGGCGCCAAATATCACAGAAACAAAAGTTTCCTCACAGGAGCTTTAACCAGTAATGAAACACACGTCAACATCCTGATACTGCGATTTCAAACTTTCTTTTCACTAATAATGAGTAACTTTGATGGAAAGAAAGGCGGTCTCCTGAATCAGGATTTTTTACAGGCAACCTCTGCAAAGAAGACAAATAGCTTTATAACTAAAAAAATCCCTTGGTCTGTAATATTAATCCCATGTTAAGAATAATCAATACGGTTAAAAACCCTTTACCTACTAAGGCTAAAATGGCGATTTGGAGATAATTTGTTGTTATGACTGGAAAATGGTCAGAAAATGCTGAGATTTTTGGACATGACCACAACTCTCCGCTTTCCAACACCGTTGAAGTTTTCCTGATCGGACAAACTTTGACGAAGTTATGGTACGAACACTTCGGGCATAGAAAACATGGCGCCAGCGCTGTGGCCGTTGGCAGAGGGTTTTAAAACACGCCTACCTTACTCGATGAAAACAAAGTCCATTCGTCGGTCCTTCTTATCCTCCACAGCTGGTAATTGTCCACCTTGAAACACCGTTCCGTCATTTTTTAAAACTTTATCTTGTAAGTCTAATCCTGGATTTGGTCTTCCGGTTTTATTTATTTGTAGCTTCTCTGTGAAGGGCCGCCTTGAGAAACGTGATGCTATAAAGCTAGCAACAACGTCACTCTCGTTTGCTGCCGTTTAAATCTTCCGCTCTGATGAGATGACGTTGGTCGGAAGGTCTGTTTTTTTGTCCCGCCCATGTGAAATCCAATCTTGATTGGTCAATTTTCCTCTCACTCACCAATCCAAAATACAGAGCCTTACTTTCACTGTAGTCCATTACGGGCTACAGTGGGGTGCCGCAGCTCAAGGAAGAACATTTATGATCATTACTTTATCATTTCCTTGAAGTAATAATCATATTGATCATTTTGCAGACGTGGTAGTTCTTCTGCCTTAGTGTCTCAGTCTGATTGCATTTCCATACACGGGGTAAGTTGACCATAAGAGACCACTTCTTTTTATCGTGCTATATTATAGCGTGATAAAAACTCTCATCTGTGAATAAACTTTAAGATAAACAAATAAAGAGACACTTGTTGACTCTATCGAAGATAAACTGAAGGTTTTAAGGCCCTAATGTCACGGCTCTCTTACTTCTGCTGAGCGTGAGTGAAAACGAAGCTCCTTGGCACCACATCAAAGCTCAGAGCATCTGCAAAAGCTTTATTTTTAGCGCTGATCTCCCTCACCCGACAAAGCCGCGATCTGCCCGTAAACACAGACTCTTAAAAGCTGTGGTCATGCTTTTGTTTTCCAGATCAGCTCAGATTTTATGGTGAACTTATCCAGATTTGAGCTTTCGGACATATTTCACCTCTTAGATTTGATCCCGCTGAAGCTGGAAACAATACCACCCAGAGAGAGGCGGCCTCGTGCAAGAATGCCGCAGCTGATGGGGAGCTAAGCCGACATATATCACTGATAATCCACCGACTTCCATCTCAGATGCAGATGATGCCCTCTGACCTGTGCTGATGATAGTGGGAGCTGCGAGGGGAGGGGCCCGTCCTGAGCCCCCTGAACAAATTACCTCATAAATTAAAGGAAACTAAAGGCCGAGGGCGCCACTCAAATTCCTGAGTACAGACCCGCCATGATGGATTTCTACGAGGGCCTATAAGAAAAGTCTCCAAAGCGCCATTAACGTTGGACAAGCGGAGTTCTGGATATCACCCTCAGGCTTCGAATTTTGCACCTCAAGTTTCATGGGACCTCAATTTGACCAGGAAAGGCAATAAACGGTTGATTCTTGACGGAAACTTGAGCCAACTAAAGGATAATTCATTCAACATTAAAGGGATATTCCGACAGCTTGCTTCTCTAGTTATACCAACTTCAGTAACGACCGCATGATAGCAATACAAAAAAACCAAAAGCGCCACTCTATAGCCACAAATAATGTTCAGAACAGCACCTAACTTCATCAACAGGACATATAGGGTCACAGCCATAGTGCTAGACACCAAACATCTTTTTAACTTTGACTAAATTCTTTAGCAAAAAGACTAAACACAACTCACCTACTCTCTTCCAGCAGCCATTACGGACTACAGTGGGTTGCCGCAGCTCAAGGAAGAACATTTATGATCATTTCTTTATCATTTCCTTGAAGTAATAATCACCATATAAATCATTTTTTCACTGCAGACGCGGTAGTTCTTCTAGTGTCTCGGTCTGATTGCATTTCCATTAAGTAAGATCATGAATGTTCTTCCTTGAGCTGCGAAACTCCACTGTAGTTCGTAATGGACTGGCCTGAGGTCTTGTAGGTGAGTTGTGTTTAGTCTCTTTGCTAAAAAAGTTAGAGTGGCGTTTTGGTTTAGCGCATGGCTCTCTGTATTGCTATTGTGCGGTCGTGACTTAAGTTGGTATGACTAGTGAAGCAAGTGGTCGGCAACATTTATCTCTTGAGGGGGTGTCTAACTCTGTTACGGTGTGTTTGACCCTAAATTAATTTTACGCTTACGATACTAAAATCGACCATAATTTCGATCAACTGCTGTTAGATTTATCTCCGATCATTAAAGGACTGACTTTGATATTTCAGTTTCAAGCTGGGATTTGTTTTTTTGGGGGAATTTGTAGTAAAAATGGATATGGGTTCAATAAAAAGAAAACTGTTCCGCAAAGAAAAGTAAAGAAAGGAGCATAAAAATAACAAACTAAAACCAGGAGGGGTGAGAAATATAGATTTTTATTGCACATTAGAGGGATCTTTATGTATACAATGCCCTTATCCTGAGTTACCCCCGTTGCGTCAGATTATACGACCTGTTCATGC